AAAAGAACCACATTTACATTTATTCATTTAGCTGACGCTTTTATCCAAAGCGACTTATAATTGCTATATATGTCAGAGATTGCACGCCTCTGGAGCAACTAGGGGTTAAGTGTCTTGCTCAGGGACACATTGGTGTCTCATAGTGGATTCGAACCCGGGTCTCTCACACGAAAGCCATGTGTCTTTTCCACTGCGCAATCACCACCCTCATTTACTTTAAAAATAGAAATCCTTAGTAACATTATTGATGTCTTTACTGTCACTTTTGACCAATTAAATGCATCCTTGCTAAATAAAACGATTAATTTCTTTAAAAAAACAAAACTTTGACCCCACACTTGCAAAGGCGATGGTCAACTATTACTACTTGTAACTAAATATCTGTCTATATCAGCAGGTTTCAACAGTCTATTTTCTTCATTCAAAAGGGAAACCAAAACTAGTACTGCAAATATAGGCTACAAACCGTAAACAAAGCAGCGCTTTCTTAACATTTTGGATATCAAATCACACTGATCAATTTAATAATTCCAGTTGACTCATGTTTTTATGAAAATATTTGTGCATTTGAATGCTCAAGCAAGATACCGCCAAGGTCCCTCCTTGATTTCTTTGCTCACTTTCATCACTTTCACTTTTGTTCTTGTGCAATCAGAGTCATCTCTCATCGACAGTCAATGTGGATTCAACATGCTGAATGGTCCCTTAAAACTCAGACCAAAGTTTGTTTCTGACCAACGTTTTCCACTTCTGATGACACTTCTAGCGACAAATTACTATTAAAGTAATACACTATTTGTTTAGTTATCACCAAAGCTTGCTCTATTTTTCTGTAGATCATTACGCTACCACAGAAGTCTGTCTAAAATCAGTTACATGAGATTCCTTCATGTGTAAACGCTGCCTACAAAGTCATTGCTGATAAGTTCTCGGACGTAGCCAATGTCTCTCTTATTTAATACACCAATCTGAGGTCTTGGAGTCTTTACTGATGAGCTGATGAGTTGAATCATGTTTGATTATTGAGACATCTAACTGTGCAGTGCTGGCAGTACACCACACCCAGGGTTGGGAACCACTGTCCTAGATACATACAACACACAATGCCCTGCAGTGCCAGAAATAGTGATAATCTCATAATTGATGGAGCTTACATAAGTAATCCATGAGTATTTGGAGTTGATCAGAAATAATCTTGAAGTGTTAGGCAGTGATGCATCCCCAGTGTGACTCATAAATGTCAAGTTTACTTCATCTTCTTCTGTTTTTGGAGTACCGTAAATGTGGCTCTGCCTGTTAGTGCTTTTTCAGCAACTGCTCTCATCGGTGATTTAACTATTATAATGACTCACTAAAATGATTTTTTTTTCCGACATTCAAGTTACTAATAATTCTAGCTGTTGTGGGAGTGGGGAGTCACAATCATCCAGAAAGATGTAAACTGACTTTCCCTATAGAGATATTTCACCCCAAAATTAAAATTCCTCTGCCTTTCCAAACCTGACTTGCTTTTTAGATATCTTTACAAAAATATAGACAAAAACATTTTTTTAAATATCTTTAGTGACCCTTATGTGATCTGCATGATTAATAATTCATGATTCATTCGCTTAGAAACGATATCAACCATTTCAAGACTGCACAATGTACTAAAACAACAACACTATAACAAAGCATTCAAGGTGCCAAGCAAACCATGTTAAATCAGAGCCTTTTCCCTTTCTGATATCATGTTATAGACACTCCTTGGTTCTCTTGTATGCAAGCTTGCTTTCTCAGGATCTTTGCTCCTGTGCTACGGCCCCTCTGGAGTCCCCCCAGTTCATTTGCCCCCATTGTTCGTATGTCTGGAACAGCGCTCCTGGCTGCAAGAGACTTGAATAAGAGACACCCAACCCCCTCTACCCTTCTTAACCCACGGCCCAACTCCGTCACCCGCCCTGAAGGTTCTTTTATTTTATTAAAGTAACACTGTGCTCTTATGATGGGGATCCAAACACACACCACACACACACACACACGTTGATAAAGGCAAATTCCATGTCTTTTCCGGCCCTTCTGAAATCCAGCTGCTGGGAAAGTTCATGGTCAGCTGATTGTGCTCTGCCCCCCTCCATCTCTGAACAGGCTGGGGAAGAACAGAAGAAAGAGCCTGCTGGCATATCTCCAGTGCTGTGGTCACATCAGACTAACAAAACCTCTTGATCTGCACTAAACATGACACAGGACGCAGGGCCGTAACAGGCATTAACATCAAGATGACAAACGATTTTTAGATTTAGTCTGCAATCTTCATTATTTGATTACATCTAGAAGCTTGTCTATCATCACCATGTGTCATGGTTTATGATGTCATGGTGAAGGCTTAATTTTTTCTTTATATATAAGAGTCTGTTGGTTTATTTGTATAGGTTGCATAGTTTTTACAGACATTACGTTCCTGTGTATATTGCGTGAATGACGGGTGGTTGGGCAGATATTGTGTTTTGAGGTAGGTGGTATGCCATACGGAACCGTTGCCATTGAAACTGCTTTAACACACCAGTGGGGTTTGACAGCCTTAGTCAAACAGGTTGGCGCGTATGGTTGGGTTGCGAGAGATTGTGAGATTGTGGTTAGGTCTCAGCAGCAGGAGGGATGTAGAGGTCAGGAAGCTGGGCTGAGTTGAGTGGGGGACGCCAGAGTCACTGTCGAGCCCTCTTGAGGTGTCGTGGGCTAGTCGACGAAACACTGAGGACGGAAGGTGCCCACTTGAAGACCCTAGAGATGTCCCCTACTCGGCTCAATCCAGACGGTTGTCGTGTTGGTCCACTAGGAAGACCACACTGTAGTTGCAGCCGTCGTGTGTGCTGATGCGCCAAATAAACTGCAGCATTAACGCCGGACTGAAGGGAAGTCACACTACCATATGGAAAGAAGCGTAAATGGATGGAGAAGCATAGTTTACTGTAAAGCTACGTCTTAGTTTTGCTTATCCTGGCGAAAGCCGAGTACAAATCAGCATGAAGTTTTAACATCTACTCTTGTGTAATGGAAATCATATATAATCAGCATATTATAATGATTCCAGAAGAATCATGATCGCGACACTGAAGACTGGAGTGATGATGCTGTAAATTCAGCTTTGAGACCACAGTAATATATTATATTAAATATATTAAAAGAAAAACAGTCATTTTAAATTTAAATATCAGCCTTGGTGAGTGAACAAAACTTTTAAATAACCACACACACACACACGAAAGAAAATATTCTACTCAGAAGTAGGGCTGGGTAATAAATATCGATTTCTCAATATTAATCGATTCTCATTTTTACAAACCGATATCGATTCTTAAATCTCAAAAATCGATTAGTCATCCTGTTTCATTTGAATGAATGGAAGATTGTATCGCAGCTGCGCACATCCAAAAAAACGCTCTAGATAACTCTAGAGCATCGCTCTAATAACTCGAGAGAGTTATTTATATGTATATTTTGCTAAATATATACATAATATTACATATGCATTATAATCTTAATGTTCTTTAATATTTAATGCATATTTGAATAAATCTGGCAAGTTTTTTATGACAGACACCATATAAATGTTTATATTTTTTTATAATCTTCCTATTATAACAAATAAAAAAGTGTAATTTAAGTGTTTGTATAGCTACAAAACAGTTCATTATTACCTTCAAATTAGGCTAATGAAGCCTAGTAGGCTACAACTAGACTCCCATAGTTTACAGCACTAGTTAAGAGATTTGATTTCCTTGAGAAAATTTGCCATTTATTATAACTGATATCCAAAATAATCAATATTGAATCGAATCGAATCGGGATCGAAATTGAATCGAATTGCAAGCTTGTGAATCGAAATCGAATCGAATTGTGAAATTTGTGTCAATACCCAGCCCTACTCAGAAGTGTCACCTAGTATAATGCTGATGGGAGTGGCCTGCATTTCTGCTGCAGTGTCCAATACATCCCTGCAGAGACCATAAACATCTTTAGCCCCAACTAGCACAATGCTAAGATCATCACTGCTACCAACCAATAAAACTCTTATTTTAAGTGTGCCATCACATCATTTTACTAAAACTTGCTGTTACATACATATTAATCTTCTTGAGAGTCATTAGTAACGCATTACACTTGGATATTCTGGAAGAACTTTCAGAGCTTAGCGCCAATAATAATCTATAGGACTGAAATGCAGTGTTAGAAATAACAAAATTCAGAATGAAGCAGCACACCATACTTCTCACATTTAAAGGTGTGATTGTCACACAGACTCTCTCACACTAACACAACATTCCCTAGTCATCAAGCCATATGCATAACAGCTAGGAATATTTTGCACTTAGATGACAATCCTAATTATGATTCAATTCATGTGATGTACCTCAGACAACATTTAACATAAAACAAATACTAAAGGTTAGGTTAGGAACATCATTTATTAATTTTTAGCGTGTTATCAAGTACATAAACTACAAATACTCAAACTGATGTAGATTGTATTATCTTCAGAAAGACAAATCGGCTAAAAACAAAAAGTGCAAAATAATAATAATGTGCATATAAAGAAGACAACAACAACTTGGCTCTATCAAATTCAACAGCTTTCTCTCATTCAACTTGCTTATCTTATCTTTCCTGCCACTTTCCAGTGAATTAATACATTTAGCTGCAAACTAAACCAAGGACAAAAACAGCTCACTGTTGTATTTTTCAGATTTCAACCAGATAAAGTGCTCAGACAGCTCCAGATACACAACAGCATTAGACCACAGTCCACCTCAGAGAACAATGGTGGCAAATCAAAGCCATGGGGTCGAAGTTTACATTTTTACTGACCATTGCTAAACAGTCTAGTCAAATACAATATGACCAAAACAAGCTTCTCGATATGACCTTATGCCTCGGGCAATGAGTGCAGATAAACATTAGCGCAAAGACATAATTAGGATCACAAGCTTACAAGAGTGCAATGGTTATGGCCTAGTTCATACCTTCTGAAGGCTTGTAGGGTTGAGTTGGGTTTTGTCAATGATTTTTATTGCAACCTGGGAAGACACAAAGTTAAAAATCATCAGAATGCAGCTGACACATTGACTTGACAACTAAATTGGATATAAAAGGAGCAACCACCCGTTAAATTATGCTAACTGCGCACACCTCAGTAGGTTGATAACATAATTGCTTTTGGTCAAAGTGTGACAAACCGGATGAGCAAATGTAAAGTTTTTTTTATATATACATTTTTCACATCTGGCTCAAAACGTACACCAGAGACCACTCTGGTTACAATGTAGAACAATGAGTTTTACCTAAGAGTCAATCAGAGGAGCCTTTACATGTATTAATTTAGCTGACGCTTTTATCCAAAGCGACTTACAATTGCTATATATGTCAGAGGTTGCATGCCTCTGGAGCAATTAGGGGTTAAGTGTCTTGCTCAAGGACACATTGGTGTCTCACAGTGGATTTGAACCCAGGTCTCTCACACCAAAGGCATGTGCCTTATCCTGCACCATCACCACCTTCTTTATTCATTCTTTATTCATTTAATTCCCCACATTAATATACATCTCACCTCCTTGCCGGTCAAAATATGGCGTGCCAACTTGACTTTGGCGAAATTGCCCTTGCCGATGGTCTTGAGCAGCCGGTAGTTGCCGATGTGTGGCAGTTCGTCCGAGCAGGAGGCGATGGAATTTCGGCAACGGGCTCCGAGTGAGCGACTCGACCATCCCGAGCCCTTCTCTGAACGACTGGCAGAGAGAGAGGCATGCTGGGGGTTAAAGAGAAAATGTTATTCATGATGACCAAGCTCAATAAAAGGCAATGTTATTTTAGTGTAGAATATTCAGTACATGAATTCATAATCTTGCAAATTGTAATTAAACATAAAAATATATTTTGAAGAAAGTTTTGTCCACACAATGAAGGTAAAAAGGGTTTAAAATATTGGACCTCAGTCACTTTCCTTGTATGAATAACTAACAAACAAACAAACATTGAGACATTTTTTGTGTATATAATTTTTTTTTGCATTTTTTGAGAAATATATTGTGTGTGTGTGTGTTCCACAGAAGAAAGAATGTCAAAAATGTCTGGATTAAAAAGAGGTGAGAAAATTATTTAGATGGTTAAACTTAACAGTGCTGTTATAATTTTTGTTCATTGAAATAAAGCTAAATTAATTAAAATATAATATTAGCTGAAAACCCTAAACCTTAATATTATTTTCAAAGAACTGACATGAAAGTACTAAAACTTAAAACTCAAATAAATATAAATGAAAACAAAATATAAAATAAAGCACAAAACAAAACGACTAAAAATGATACTCAAAATTTAGAGTATACACTAAAAATAACACTGCTTAACATCTCAACATACTTTTGGTATACGTTTTTGTAGTTTCTCCATAAAAAAACTAATCTCTGATTTGCTATACATTGCTGACAAGTTTCATGTTTGGCTGTTGCAAGATCTTAAGTCTTAACTCTAATCTACCCAGGAATGCATTGCGACACTAAACTGCGCACTCGCACCTTGATGCAATGTGATGCATGTAGCATTCTCAGCCGGACACTGATCAATCATTCAATGTGGGAACAGAATAATCAAAAAACAAATACAGAATGCATCTTTTTCTTGAATTCTGACAAAAATATCCTAATTTATTGTTTGTACATTCTAAATAGAGTATAATGATATATTACATATTTATGAGGAGAAATATTTTCTATAGTCTCATGAGCTCAAATTTTAGTAATGGGAACATCTTTCACACCAATAAGGCTCTTTTAGTGACTCTACATCCCCACGTCGCCGACTATCCCCAACAGTTTGACCATTTCATGCTGACATAGACCTCATCGCCTGTCACCCACACATCCTCCTCCACCACCGCCCATTGCCCCACCCTGTCCAAGCCACACACATTGATTGTTCCACTGCTGCTCTCTGTCTGATTGCCCTTGCAATTTATATGAGAAGGTGGGGGCAGGGTGAAGAGGAAGATGGTTTCTCAGTGAAAGCAATATGTCACTGAAATAGATGGTTTAGATGGGGGAAGATAGCACCTTGCTATAGAGCTGCTATAAATGATGAAACATAAAAGATCTTCAGTTTCCTCCCACTCAGTGTTTACATGCACTTTAAAAGTCTGATTTACATCTGACTAAAGTCATGTAAACGCTTTATTGCAACCAAAGTCATACCAGCCTGCTTTTTGCAAAAATTTTATTTAAGGTGTGGTCATGTTAGCAGAATTTTGTGGGCAAAAAATCTATAATTCACAGTCAATAGTGTAACAATCCATAAAGCACTCCTCACACTGAAGTCATTTTCAAACAAAGCAGATTTCAACGAATTCTCATGACCAACTTGAACACAAATCTTCAAATTTCGATTGTATGGATATCTATCAAAATGCATAATTTCAGCCAACAACACTAAATATTACATTGTGCTTTTGCTCAAGAAACACAGAGGTGACTCCTTTTTTAATCCTTCAAATGTTCAATTACGTAACATTGGTTCTTGCAGAAGCTAAAACATGCTGCGCAACACAAGAAAGAACCTCATTGGTTCTTGCAGAAGCTCAAAAGTGCTGCGTAACACGGGAATGAACCTCATTGGTTCTTCCAAAAGCTCAAACGTCCTGTGTAACATGAGAATGAACCTCATTGGTTCTTGCAGAAGCTCAAAAGTGCTGCGTAACACGGGAATGAACCTCATTGGTTCTTCCAAAAGCTCAAACGTTCTGTGTAACATGAGAATGAACCTCATTGGTTCTTGCAGAATCTCAAAAGTGCTGTGTAACACGAAAATGAACCTCATTGGTTCTTCCAGTAGCTCAAACGTACTGCGTAACATGAGAATGAACCTCATTGGTTCTCGCAGAATCTCAAAAGTGCTGCGTAACACGATAATTAACCTCATTGGTTTTCACACGTCAAGCAAACATGCTTGAGCTTCCGTTTACCACAACTGATGTGTGCGTTGATGAATGTTTTGTGAATAAAAGCCTAAATTCAATCTGTTCATCATATAAAGTGATTGTTTCTCTTCAGAAAATTTGGACTAATAGATTGTAAAACCAATCTCTTTATGACCCTTTCGAAGCTTCAAAGTAGTAGTTGCATAGCAGTCTGTGGAGGGACAGAAGGCTCTCAGGTTTCATTAAAAACATCTTAATTTGTGTTCTGAAGATGAAACAAAGACTTATAGGTTTGGAATGACAAGAGGGCGAGTAATTTATGACCGAATTTTCATTTTTGGGTGAACTATCCCTTTAATTATAACTGTAGATTTAAAAATATGTATTGATCTAGACCTGGTAGGACTATGCAGCGCCCAAGACATAATTCTATATAATAACGTGATTCTAGAGTCCCACCCCAGACTGAGACAATAGACTGCCTATCTAGCCTGCATCCTGCTCGTGGTAGGATAGAAGCACATGTGAAGGGGGTAGAGATGGGTCAGGGTCAGTCCATCCAGACACACATCCTGCTATTGCATCTCATGACTTACTCCCAAAATCCATACAGGAGACTATGTCCTGCCCTGTCCTGAAGCTTTGCATGTGCCATTGCAGCAAACCAGTTTCCTCTGTGCTGATTTCTTTCACAGCGTTTCCTTGAAATTAATGCACAACAATGAGATTTAGTTGTTGACAACATCACTCTGCAATATTGTGTTGAAGTGAGATAAAAGTCAGTGAGGAAACAGGTGTACACTTGAGCCAGGTGTGAAGCACCCAGCCAAAACTCAAACGTGCATGGTTTCCTGTCTTGGATAGATGTTTTGCTTTCCCTTTGTAACAGTTTTCTGGTGTGGCTCCCAGAGTAAATGCTTGCAACAAAGCTTTAGGCTTCTTAAACTCTTTATAGGCTTATGTTCACTAACATGGAAATAAAAGAATATATTGACTTATAAAGCCACTTTTTGTAATGTCTACTCAAAGATTTTCTTATCTGCCACAATATTAACAGGCTGCATGTAAAAACGAACATACGTGACCAGTGTAGCCCAATTCCCGAGATGATTTGCAGCATTAGTAGAAAGAATTTCGTCACAAGCAAAATGGACATAATAACTGAAATTTACCTAAATTAATCAAAATAAAAATAAAAATAATGAGCTTATGAATCAGAATCAAATTGATTCTGGAAATCTGCTTCAGTAACCAGCCCTGCATCAAAACTGTTATTAATTATCCAGCATACAGTATCATGCAATTAATTTGGTAACATTTTAGCTGAATGACAGTCCCTCTTTGACAGTTTAATTTTAATTTGAGTTAATTGAATCAAGAGCTTGTGAATCAGAATCAAATTCAATATGGAAATCTGTATCAACTTCCATTCCTGGCAATTAATTGTGATTAATTATTCAGCATATCATGCAATTAAAATGATAACATTTTTAAGTTTACATAGTGTGAGATAATCAAATCAAGAGCTTGTGAATCGGTATAAAATTGAATCTGTAAATCTGTATCAATAATATCCCACCTTGGCAATTTACTCTGATAAATTATTCAGCACATCACAATAGCATTTAATTAAACACATAAAATGTTTAACTGAATGACGGTCCTACTTTGACAGGTTAAAAATGGATAATTCACATGGCTATTGTGAGATTCATATATTTGAATGAACATTCAATCTTTCTCTATTCAGCAGATGACCAAATTCTAAGACACTGCCACAACACTGGATTGTGCCAGGCCTTGTGACTGAAATCCTACAAGCTCTTTTGCTACTTGTTACCCTTAAGTAAATCTCTCTGCCATGAGTGAAACATCTGAATAACTAATGGTGCCACAGACACAGACAGGCAGCAATCCTCATGACTACAGAGCAAAAGTCTCACCTTGGCATCAGATGAGTGAGCCAAACAAAAAGCCCCAGCTGAGGCCCATCTGCTAACCGTACTCCGCAACCCCCTTCCCCATCAACTAGTAACATAACCCCCTCATGTGCCCGCACACACATTAGCCAAATACACAAGGAGACAACATCAGTATCAGTTGTCAAGAGCAACTATTGGCTTGGCAACGAAACAGGGGGTGCCATAATACTTCCACAATGACTAGCACAAAAAACATGCTGATTGTGTGATTGTCGCTCATGGTTTAAACACACTCTTATCGCTTAAAAGTTATCACGCAAAACCATGCAAATTATACTTTGCTCTCAAAATGTTAATGTTAACAACATAAACAAGCATTGTGTGACTACATGTTATGTCCTTCCGATATGTATCCTTGTTTTCTGTAGCCACTCCAAAGTCCAAACAAGTCTTTTGCATTTTCCAGCGGCTGAATCTGTTCATTGGTGATTGTCGTTTGAACCTTTCTGGATCCGCCATCACACGCAATATAGCTGACTAGCCGTGACGTAAACGCGAAAGGCGAAGCTTTAATTAACGGGTATGTCCCTCTTTGGCTAATGTACTTTCAAGATGGAGGGGCAACATGGCGACCGACATTAGAACCCCTTACCCTTATATATTTTCAATGGCATATTATACACTCAAAAGAATACTTTATTACTAGAACGAAGTAAATGTACATTAATGAGCACACATATTTTTGAAAGAACTAAGTGTTTTTAGCTAAGAATAATCTATAAGAGTTACACAGTGTAGCTTTAAAAAGATTATTACAAGCTTATCGTTTTGAATCGAGCTAAGGCAAGCAGACAGTTTTGAACACTGGCTTGTTATGTATTTTCTCAAACATGTATTTTGGATCATTTTTAACCCCCCCAAAAAGCGCCGGACTGCAGCTTTACTCAAGTAGCTGGCCAAGCCAACATAATGTATTAGTTTAGGCTGACTTGAAGACACTGATATACTGGACTGGATATTTACTGGACACAGAAATATTATTAACACAACAAACTAAGTAGCAATATGAACAAGACTTGCCACAGCCTTAGACAAACCAAGAAGCGAATGCTCTTTATAAAAGAAGTGCCTTCAACTTCAGTTTCTTTGCTTTCTTCACCGCAGATACAATAACCTCTTTATTCAGAACATGAGTGTCTAGGCCTAGGTTTCACTAGTTCCTCAAAAAAAAAAGCCACCAGGCGTGTGGTACCCCCGACTATCTGAACTTTACATTGGATCAGCTTTCCTGCTTTACTGAGGAACAATGAAAGATCCTCTTAGTGAATTTCTTTTGGCTGAAAGTGGAGATATAATGTCCAGTTACAACTATCTTTTAAAGGGTTTGATAGTGTGTTTCTCTTGAAGGGATCATAATATAAATGAATTACTTGATAGACTTTAACAACCATTTCCACCCTCTCTTTAGATATCAACAAGCTGTATGTTGTTGCTGTCCCTTTAAGAATTCAATGGAAGGGGAAAAAATTAGAGACACAAACTGTTTCTTTTGTTGCCAGGTGCAATATAGTTTGCATTACTCCATCATTCAATAAAAATCTCTTTAATTTTCCATTAATTTTCATTAATTTCATGCAGTTTGTTCATTAAATTGTCACAGGTTCATGAAACAATGAAATTGTTACATTAAAATTAAGACCGATCTCGCGATCTGGTTGAAAAAAAAACTTCAGCCAACATTGGGATCCTTCAGAATGATGTGCACTGCGGTAGGTGCTACACATCCAGAAACAGTAGTACGTGATTTTGCAGACTTGTTAGCCTGTTATTCTTAAGGTGCGGTCCCATTGGCGAAATTTCATAGGCAAAAAAAGTCCATTGTCCATTCATTAGTAGAAGTTTAGTGATACACTAACCACCACCCATAAGTCACTTTCAAACAAAGGAGATTTGCAGATGTGACTGCACCTTTACTAGGGATGCACAATATATCAGTTATCAGCCAATATTAGCGATTTTTTTTTAATTATCTGTATCGGTCACTGTTAAATTTTTTATTAAAATTTATTATGTCAAAATAGTACAAATACAATGCAGTAGAATTCCATTTATCAGCTCATCAGAATCATCCAGAATTTTAGGAATCATATTCTTATCATACCATTAGCTCTTACAGAAGAATAATATAATCTATCCTTTTCCTCATTACCTCACTGTGACTGGGAGGGGCAAATTTCTAAACACTGAAAATATGTCTTTGTAAATGATGTGTTAGAGTGTAAAAACACGTAACAGATCAGCAATGAGGAAGCCGAATGCGTGAACAATGACGCACTACTTTACCAACCAATTCCTCTTTTAAAGTTTCAACACTTTGACACATAAGTTAAACGTCCACCAAACAGTAGCTAACACGTGAATAATTATCGTTTCAAACCAGAGATTTTTAGCTGATATAGACATCATTTGAAGTGTCTGCTCCTCTGTGAAAGCTGCAAGCTTTAACACATAATCAAAATCAACATCTGTGCGAATTTACAGAGTCTTGGTCAAGTCAAACAAAATGATGCAATTCTAACATCTTATTTTCCATCTGTACCATTTTCTTTGGATAAGCTGTAACAATATGATGGTTATCAAGATGGCTGCAATTATAGAAAAACTTTGACCTTGCAAATGAACATGAATTAATTTTCAAATATGGCCTTAAATGTACTGAACATTCTGGGCTTCCTTCTTAACCAATGATGTTTCTCTGCCCTAAATGGAATCTGTGGATTCACTTGCAGGCTCTATGTTCCGACATCATCGTTCCACTCTTGTTCCATGGCTAGACAGAGAGTTTTAATAACCTCTCAGATCGGTAGACACATTTCCTACTGTGTATGCTTTGCTCGCTATCTCATCCCTTCACATCAGCTCTCATCATTCTAGATTAGAAGGTCTCGCAGTGCCCCTATGTGACATGTGGTCTTTATGTATGCTTTTTAATTTTTCAGTCTATGACCATCTCCAATAAGTCGCTGTTTAGGGGATCCTTTTGTGTGTTAATAGTTTTTGCATAACATATAATCCGACTTTAGATTACAGTAGCAATAAATAAAAGCAATCAACTTCCCCCATAGCAATCAAATTCTGAATGTGATGTAACAATGTGTACAGGAGATGTATTTTAGTTACAGGAGAACTATTTAATACTCCAGCCAGATAAATGGACACCTGGTATGAAATCCCACTTATAGAGCTTTCGTAACAATAAGTACACTGAACAGTTTGAGGAGGAAATAGAGAAGCAGTTCTTACAAAATGTGTGAAAGCCGTATTTGCAACAGTCTACATGATTGGCCACAGATAAATACTTGTTGTTTGCCACATTATGAAAACAAATTCCAGAAACATTTCTCATGGAAGGAACCAAATAAAAGAAAGTTATTATGACATCAATGACTCACTTCAAAAGCTTTTTAATTTACATTTCAGCCTTTTCATGACTTAAAATGTATCAATTGGACTACTTTTTAATAAAATAAAATAGTATACAAGTTTGCAAGTAGACAAAAGAATGTTATAATAAAATGTCGGGCACCTGTTCACATTATGTGCACATCATAAACCAAAGGCAACTGTTTAAGCTTTCAATTAAAATACAACAAAAATACTATAAATGTTATTCCACTTTGGCACATGCACAGAGGTCACCAAATATTCCAGACTGGGGAAGGGCAACAGTAATATGAAATAAAACTGCCCATCGATCGAGCATTAATCTGAATGTTGATGGTTTTTATAGCCCTGTTTATCTATACATATAGCTCCGCTTCAGAAAGCTGAATTCACACTGATTCACAAAGAAGTGAGTCCACTTTGCATATTCAAGTATCATTTTACTCCAGGACACGAATAGGCCTAACATAGGTTGCAAATGAATCTTCCACAAATTAAACCCAATAGAAGGTATTTAGTTAAAGACCCAATAGAAGGTCTTTAGTTAAGAAATGGTTCACTTTCTCTTTGATCTAAACGATAAAAAAGTTGTACATATACCCTCAATAGTGTCAATGTGTCATTTGTGACAGACAGTGGCAGGACGAGTGTCAGAACATTTGTTAATTTATGTGTTAATTTATTTATGTTGAAAAAATTCATGTTTTTTTTTTGTCAATGCAACTCCTTAGTTAATAAAAATAATTGAGCCACACAACTGACAATTAGCTGAGCTCCTTGATCACTCCTGGCTTCATGCCAGTGCTCTTGACTAGCGATTAACGAGTCTCTGAGTCTGTAGTAGACTCGAATATTTTCAATGAATCGGATTCGGCTGAACCTTTTCGGAAAATCAGTCCGACGTGCTGAATTCGTTTATGAATTGTTGGCTCTGTTCTCGAGAACCGATTCTTTTTCGGTCCTGTCTGACTCATATTACGAACTGTGTAGCCGACTGATGATAAGAGCATTTGGTGTTAACCGAAGAATTGACAAACGGGCAAATAAAGATACTGTAATTTGCCAAATAACAGAAATACTAATGAACATTACGTGTTATAGGTTAGCTACTTTATGTCACAAAATTATGACTGCATGGCATGGCAGTTTTATCCTCACATAAAACAAAACATACTTTTTTGTCAAATGTAGCCTAAATGAACTGTTTAACGTCAATACAAAGTATATGCCTATTTCATTTTCGACTCTTTATGAGCTGAATCGTGATTGCAACAACAACTAAATTAGGACAGAGGAAATTACAAAACCACTGCTGTTAGAAAAGAACGTAAATAAATAAAAATAATAAACAGCAATATTTACTAAACAGCACATACATTTAATAATATGTCATCTAGAATGTCGTAATAATTACGTGATGACGTAAACGAGTAGCTGATAATCATATTTTGAACCATTTTTTTGAAGCAAACTGTTTTGAAAGAACCGATTCGCATAAACGAGTCTCACTTCCCATCGCTAATTTTGACGACAAGCGTTGTGATCAAATGACGTAAGAAAGCTTTTAACTTACGTGGTCTGCATTCCTTTCGTTCCCAGGCTGCAGCGCTGCGCGTGAGGACATCGTCCCTGAAGCTTCAGCTTACAGCAATACTGGGTTTATTTCAGCGGTCCGTGTACAGTTGCTAATTGAATCAGCACAGACAGGAGAAGCAGTCCGTAGCCGAGCCAGTATCGCGAGGCTATCGCTGCCCTCTCCGACCACCAATACAGTTTTCCTTATACAATCCTCATTTTTGGTCAAGTTTACTTGATTTTATAGGCTACGCAATGTGGATGAGATGTGAACAAAGATAAAATAAATAAATAAATAAAAACCTATATGATGTTCATGTCTTTGGAGGTTTGTCTAGCCGGAACAATAGATCATGTTGTAACGTTACTTAGCTAAACGAAAATGTTCCATCCAACACTCCGTACAGTGTCTGTTTTACAGAAATGTATGTTGAATTTTCAAGAATACGCCGTCAACGATTGTAGACCACGAGACAGAGAGAAAGACAACAAAAGCAGAACAGAAGAGGAAAAGAAAAAAATCGCTACCGCAGCATCAAACAGGGAAAAACATCCTCATTTTTTCCCCAATGAGTCTGGCTTGTCCAGAGAAAATAAACCACTCCCACGGACACAGCGTCCCCTTCAAAGAGTCATCTGTGTACATTTCCAGGAAAACAAAATATTAATAAATACACAACAGCGGATAGCCTACAATGCGAAATACAATCTATTACGCGTAACTCGAGCACACTCCCGGCCCAACAAAGACCACTGAACAATATCCTTTTCGAAGAGGCATGGAATGTCAATGTTCCCAAACATAAAAACTGTACAGTCGCTGTAAAATGTTCATCCCCAGCAGCGTGTGACACTGGCATCAAGGAAGGACGTCAGGAGAAAGAATAGGCTGGGCAGGGCTGCTGCGGACGCTCACACACACCCTTCCCCCATGGTCCTAAACACACAGCCTGTTCATTCATTCAGACCCATCGCCAGACAAACAGGGTTGCCGAATAAATGTGCACCACTCCTCCAGCTGGTCACTGTACGCTAGTACATTCTGGTCCTGGAAACATGATTCAAAATGCATCTGCATAATATAATAATAATCTGCATAAAATATATATTAATGTTGATGGATCTTCTGCATTGCTAAATTTCAAATAAAATGTGGATTTGAACAATATTGAGATATGCATTAACCCCGCTGACAATACAAATGTTCTTTTAAAATTTCTATATCAGGAAACCTGGAAAATGTATAAAGGTTTGCAAAACATGATTAGGTGTTTAAACCGTTTTTAACACTGATAAGAATAAGAAATATTTCTTGATATTTCACCAAATCAGCATATTATGATTTCTGATTAATCATGTGACACTAAAGGTGGAGCTTTGCCATCACAGGAATAAATTACATTGATGCCTATATATATATATATATATATATATATATAATACTTCAATCATATTTCATATGTTTTACAGCCTTGGCAGTGACATTCATTTTGTGTTTTGCTCAGTTTGCTGCATGTTTCTGTTGTTGATCCCCCCCCCCCCCCCCCCCCCACATCTTTCTGGAAAACTTTTATTTATTTATTTATATATTATTTCCTATAGCTTACTGGAAAACAATAAACATTTCAAAAGTTTTAAATGCTTTTACCTGCAAAAAAATTAAATATATGCAAAGAGTCAGTATTTACAGTGCTGACCATTGTTCATCATTCATAGCCTCTGCAATTTGCTCCAGCATGCTGAATATCAGCTTCCGGGCCAAATCCTTCTGATCCATTTATTAGTGCTTGCTCCTTGTTTAGTATCACATTTTGAGGATTGACCACAGGTTCTCTATGGGATAAAGAGGGAGTTGCCTGCCACGGTCCACGGATCCAAACTTAAAATGCAATGATCTCTGAGCAAATTTATTATCACTCTTGACTTGTGATGACATGTTGTTCCATCATGATATAGAATACACAGATCATCACCAAATTGCTCCTGAGTTCAAGAATGTGCATTATGTGTTTGATTTTTGCTCTAATACCTAAAATTATTTGGGCTATATGATTGATTAAAGCAATAGTTGCTTCAGATCATGATGATAGTAATTGTTTCAGTCGTTTGATTTTATATGACTCTTGTTGTGTTGCACAACCAACTGCATCAAGGGATGGGATGATCAACTTTTCTTAGAATGCAGTGATTACAATTTTCATATTCATGCAGTTTCTTTTACCAGTAAATGCGTAATTAGCTCAAAATAATTAAGAATATTTATTTATAAGAATATGTATTTACCAACTGTTTGATTTTGGATGCCTTATATTGGATTAATTATGTTTTAAACTAATTATTTACTGGAAGAACAAACCTGTCTTGATTAAGGTCTACACAATAATAGTCAATTAAAATCAATATTTATGTTTACAGGAATTTGGATATTAGCTGAAAAATAAAACTCCCAAAATATATTTACTGTCCAGTCCTAAAAATATGAATCTACTTCTGAATGAGAAAAGCCATCATTCATCTCAACTGCGCCATCTATTGTTTAATAATGGGCAGTGCAGTGAAATAATTAATTTCCCTATTTTTTCAGGCAGTGACTAAAGAAGAGCTTTCACAGCTTTTTCAAAAAGCTTTTCAGCTTTATTTTTATTTTTAAGAATGTATGTGAAAACACGTGTCTTCACTTGTTTTACACAAATTTGATCTCTTTCATGTGTATTTTTCTAGAAATTAAAGTGAAAAATAGTGTTTGTACTGTTTGTACTTATTCCTGAGGAGGGATTGTATTATCAGTAGTATGCTTTGGTAGTTTGTCCTGATGATAGTTAGCTCAGGCCCTCTTCAACCTTGGAAAAACTGCGATGCCTGGTGCCTCTGTGTGTGCGTTGGCTGTTCTGTGAAGGTCTTGTTGGAGCCATGGACACTTCGGCATGCAACAACAGACCCAAAGATGCCTTTCTCCGACCTTTGGTCTGCAGGTCACTGCAGACCAAACTCTAGGAATCGTGCGACAACTATCTTGACTAATGGCGGCATACTCTCCTATCTATCCATGTGTCGAAATTTGCTGTGTCCAGTTGCTCTCCACTGACTGCGCTGATCAAACGCACGATAGGCTTTTTAATCGACTTGCTTAAAGGGATACTCCACTTTTTTTGGAAATAGGCTCATTTTACAACTCCCCCAGAGTTAAACAGTTGGGTTTTACCGTTTTCGAATCCATTCAGCCAATTTTCTGATATTTAGAAGAATATCAGTAACCAGACAGTTTCTGGTCTCATTGACTTCCATAGTAGGAAAAAATATATACTATGGAAGTCAATGAGACCAGAAACTGTCTGGTTACTGATATTCTATCCCTTTAAGAGTATGCATGGATCCAAAAGATCTAAATAAAAATATAAGGCATGAACACTTTCAGAGCCCAAGCCGGCCTTTAATAACACTAAAGGAAACGGGGTGGCGGTGCCACCGGCTTGGGCCCTCCATCGCTGCTCGCAGCTATATTTATCTTTGTCTTTGGGTGAACACACTGAAAGCTGTCTGTCAGTGTGTGAGTTGGCCTACTGAATTTGAGTTCTCTTTCATGGCATAGGCCTACTGCACTTTATCAAACACACCTCACTCTTTATTACTCATTTATCCATGCTTCTTTATCATTCTAACATGTCAATAACTCCTGACCAATAAAAGTTGCACAGATATACTGTATTTGCATAGCCTACGAAAACCCAGACAACTTCCAGCAAATTTAGATTTGCTCTGAAAGTTAGTCTGGCAAAGAGCTAATTCAATCCCATTTCCAATCTGTCAAAATCGCGGCACCAGTCAGAAACGTTGGGGCGGGATTTACACGATGACGACAGTGCTGGGATTTTGAAGCAGATTTTGTAGCCTACATTACAAAAATGGATGCTGCCATCGAACATCACTCGCTCGAATCAGCTATTGCGTCTGTTTTAAGCGATTTGAACATTTCCTTTTTGTTAAAACCGAGCAAAAAGAACAACACTCGCGTTTCTCCGCCGGCCACCGCTCTGCATACGTCATCTCCTTCATCGCTCTGATTGGTTTTAGGCCTACCTGCGACGTCCATTGGTGATGCCCCTCTGGGAATGATTTGTCTATGACGCTTTGCCAGACCATAACTCAGTTACAACTGAGAATGGTCTGGTTTCAACCAGGCTAGTATTTGCATATAATCCATACAGAAAAAGTTTAATCAATTTACACTTTATATCATCACAAACATATATATTGTTATATAACCGAGCCATATTAAACAGTAATGCTTAAATGTTAATGAACACATTTGACTAGCTAGCTGATAAAAACAAAATCTGACTGAAAAAAAAACCTATCAAGACTGACTGGCTAGCTCTAATGTCCAGTGGTAGTGCTAATGCTATTTTCCTTTTGATAGTGGTCTTCGAATGGAACTGTTCCATTCTAACCTTAATTAATAAGTAAAATTGACCTCGACATCCTTACCTTATCTCACGCTGCCTTCACATATCAAAATTACTGTGAATGAGTTTCCTAGTTGGAAATTGCACATGAATGCCCTTGCCGTATTTACTACTGGGAAACTTACAGATAATTTTGAAAACCCAAGTTTCTGAGTTAGGTGTGCCATAAAATTTAAACATGGCGGAGGGAAAAACTGGAATGCTTTTTTTCCACAAAAGCTATATCACCTTGTTTTAATGTTAAAGTAGTACAGTAGTGCAATAACCATTTCAAGAATTTTGTGTTTTATACACAGCAAAACCGCATGTATTTGACTGAAAATCCAGAATCGTCAACTAGCTGTCTATATAGATAGATCTGTAAATGTTTATTATGGTTGACAACAAATCAGATAATTTTATTTAAAATGAAATATCTTCAAAAGATTTTGGCTTTAACAAGATTTCCCCAAGAAACCTGGTGTCCTCATGATTTCTATTCTTTCCAACAGCAAAGCACTTGAATAAGAGAAGCTTGTAATCACGTCACGACTTCAGAAATTGGAAATAGGAAAGTTTTGATTGCACATGAAGACAGCTTTATTCCCAATTTCCCTAGGAATCCAGAAAATTCGCTCACCCAATTATAGATGGAGTCATACATCTGCAGCTTACCTGCATGAAAGCGGCACGTTGATACCTATGGTTGATACAGTGAACTGAAAGTGAACTAGTGGAAACAGGAAATCAGCAGCCTAATAAAGAGGTTGACTGCCAAAAAGTATTTTATGTATTTTGAAAATACAAAAATTCTAAAATTAAATGCATTTTAATAAAAAAAAATACATTTGATTTTTTTCAAAGGCTTTTAAATACAAAATGGACTCTATACACGAACTGTTGATCTAGACTAAAGCACCATTGTTTTATACAAACAACACACACACACACACACACACACACACACACACACACACACACACACATATTTGCATATATATATATATATATATATATATATATATATACAGTATATATAAATATAACAGTATTAATTAAATACTTGATGTAAACATTTATATAGAGTATTTTATTAAAAATTAGCAGCAACTGTCACTGCACATATGGTTTTGAATTCAATTTTGTATTTGTTGGGTTTCCCCAGCTGTGGTGAGATTTTTGTTGCGTTCATGTGGTTAAGATGAAAAGTTTTGTATGCATGTGACATCAGAGATAGGATCTTTTAAGCTCAGTTGTTCTGCTGACAGGTCTTTTTTTTTTTACCTTATGCTATTGTAATACAGGGCATTTTACATCTTTCACAACCATTCTGTTTCGCAGGTCGACTCTTCCTGCAGGTAAGTGTATCTACATGCATTAAGAGCAACATTGCTGATATCAAAGTTGCTGATGATGGGACATCAAGTTAACAGATTTGTGACATTTCTATGTGTTACCATTCAAGATTTTTATAATTCGTTTTTTGTAATATGATACATGATTGATGATTTCTAAAACGAATACAAAATGGATATTCTGCTATTTTATTTAAAATGTTGCATCTCTGCAAAACAAAAAAGCATTACATAATTTCATTCTGTTTCATGACTTGCTATCACTTGTTTAAAATGAAAGTGAGAACATTTTTTAATACATGCCCGGTTTCACAAATCATCACAATATAACTTGTGGTTTTCTTTAGGTCTTGCAGATCACATCATTAAACATGTTTTGGCCCTTGTCAGTGGTTCTGGCTCTAATCTCAGTGATTGATGCCTGTCCAATACCATGTAAATGTGAAGATGTTGGCACCATAATATGCTCAAGCCAGAAACTTCTGGAGGTTCCTTATCTGCCTAAGGGTACCTGGCGATTATATGCCACAAATAACATGATTGAAGCTCTCCCAAATGAAGGTTTGGAAGAATTGTTGGTTCTCGACCTCACCAAGAATGTCTTCAATATGTCACTGAATACCAACTGGCAGAACATGAGCACACTTTCAAAGCTATTTCTGAGTGGAAATGGACTGAGTATGTTAGAACCAAGACAATTTCATGGTTTGCTGAACCTCCAAATGTTGGATCTCAGTGACAATTGCATTAAAACTCTTCCTCGGATGTTTCTATATGGTCTGACCAAGCTTCAAATCCTCAATTTGAATATGAACGAGATATTTAGTTTGTCTTATGGGGTCCTGGAGGGAGCTCCTGCCCTTATGGACCTTCAACTGAGAAATAACATGATCGAGATGATCGAGGTGGATGTATTTGAGAATTGCACCCATCTAGCGAAACTCTATCTGTCATTAAACAACCTAAAAAGTATAGGCAATGGGAGTTTTAAGGGTGCCATAAGTCTACAGCACCTCGACCTTAGTCGAAATGGACTAGATGCCATACATACCAGTGTCCTTCAGGATATGTCAAACCTCAGTAGCCTCCATCTTCAAAGAAATTCCATAACTTCAATTCCTGAGGACATTTTCTCTAAGGTTCCAGCACTGAGGCATTTGGATATGAGTCATAATGCTCTTGTTTCTATGTCTGACGGTTCCCTCAGAGGTCTTTACCAGTTGGGCGCATTGGATTTGAGTTTTAATAAGTTAGGGACACTTACACCAAATGTGTTTAAAGACTTGGGGAAGCTTGAGAACCTTAATTTGTATCACAACAATCTAATGTCCCTTCCAAACATCGTGTTTAACAACTTAAGTAAGGTAACTGAGCTCCAGCTGGACAACAATAATATCTCTGCTATTCCACTAGACCTCTTTTACCCACTTTCAGCATTGCAGGATCTACAACTGGACAACAATCGCATTTCTGAGCTCCACTCACACACATTTATGAAGCTGAGGAAGCTTAAGGATCTCGATCTTAGCAACAACACCCTTGTGAAGATTCCCAAGTACCTCTTCAAAAGGACACATCTTCTGAGGGATCTCAATTTGGAGAACAATCATATCCACTCAATTCCAAAGTTGTCCTTTAAAGGTTTATTCAGACTACGGACTCTGAAACTCAGCAACAACCACCTGGCAAGGCTATTTAAAGAGCTACTGACTAGCCTTAGTCATTTACGGGAGTTATGGCTGAACAACAACCAGATAGAAACCATCCCTATTGGATTTTTCACAGGTCTTACGGACCTGAGGGTTTTAGATATGTCCAACAATAAGTTGCATTTCAACTCCTCTGATATCTTCAAAGATCTGTTCAAACTGAAAGAGCTGGATCTGAGCTTTAATACTCTCAAAAAGCTTCCAGATGGCATCTTCACATCTTTGAGAAGTCTCACATTGCTCCACCTGCAAAACAACCAGCTGACACACTTGCCCACCAAAGTGTTTTCTGCTCTAACAAAGTTGGACGAGCTCCATTTGGACAGAAACCATCTCCAGCATATTCATCCAGCACAGTTTCAAGGCTTAGTGAAATTACATGAACTCGATATTAAATTTAATCAACTGCGATCCTTGGAAAATGGGACACTGATGCCTTTAGGAAACCTAACACTTATCCATCTTGACGGGAATCCATGGGAGTGCTCTTGTGTGTCCATTCTGTATCTAAGTCAGTGGTTTAACAATAATACTCAGTTGGTAAAACCTACACCCATGTGCTCTTCTGGACAGAATCTCTCCTACCCAGCTCTTTTCCCATCATCGTTATCAAAGCATTGCACAAGTTCAGCCTGTTTCTCTTTAAATAAGGAGAAACTGATGATTCTCATTTTTTTCTTTCAAGGTTTGCTTTTCTCATGAAATTTCTGTGCTATGCTGAACGACCATATGTGTGGTTAAAGTGTTGAGAAAAGAAACCAAACCACCACAGCTTGTGTGCAAAGGATTAATGCTTTTTACATATCTGAAATGCAAAATGTTCGTCAGAGAACATGACTTTATTCCATACAACACTGATAAAGTATGTATCAGAGACTTAATGTTTTACATTATTATTCCATAAAATAAACTGCTATGCTGAATACTTGCAGGCTATTCTCAGAATGTGTGACAAGACAAAGCTTTTAAAGAGGCCACATGCTGATGCTGCAAGAGGGGATTTCCATTTACTCATTTCAGAATCCAGGTAATCATATTCTATGAACTCACTCATCTGGGTGTTTTTAAGAACTACATCTCAAGGCAAAGATGTACAACCGGCTGTAAACTGTTTGTTTTTTTCCTGAAAAACAGATTTCAGGAAGATTTCAGTTAGATCAGATTTGTCTGCATAGATTTTTTTCAGATTCTTTAATAGATGTTTTCTGTTTCTTCATTTTATTGGCTTAGGCTTATCAATAATAATTGAAGAGTTCAGATGCAAAAGCCTCTAAATGCCATTTGAAATTTTCTTCTTTCTTTAATGATGATTTTTGTCAAGCTTGTATATTTAAGTTCAGTGATTTCACTTAAATGGCAATGATAATTACCTATTAATTGTTATTTAAGTGAAATTATACAAGTTTGACAAAAATCATCATTAAAGATGAAAATTTCAAATGGCATTTAGAGGCTTTTGCATCTGAACTCTTCAATTGTTCTAATGATGACAAGAAACTTGACAAATGTTTCGTCTGTTTATTAGACTACCATTTTTCATAACAAAAATCACTGTAGTTTAAGAAACAGATAGAAGCAACAAGTAATAATGTAACTTAGGTAGAGGCTGGCTATAATGGAAGATGAAATCTATTCAGGAAGGGTGGAAGATAAAGAAACGCATTGCAACAACTATATCTAAATTATATTTGACTTATTTTGTTTTGTTTTTAAGTTTCTCGGTGTGGACAAATCCAGAATATCCACTACCAATAATATTTTGACTTTTGTGTGACCAAGTCAGTTATATTAAAGACAGCGCTTAAAAAAAAAAAGTTAAATGTAAAACAAAAATGTAAAAAACCCACCTTTATTAGCATAGATAACTAGATAATCTGGTGCTTTTGATTTATTTGTTGATTTATAACAAAATATCTTTACAGTTTTTCACATTCAATTGAAGATTAATTCTACATTAAACAGAATTTTAGGGAACTAACTAGTGTACTGAAATATTTATATCAAGCTGAAAAACCGAAGAAAAATGAACAAAGCACACAATGAACAAAGCCCTGTTAAAAGACAAATAATGCTGTTAGTTTAGCCAAAAATATCAATTCAATCGATTAGTCACCCTCATGTTGTTCCAAACCTGAATGCTTTTTTTATCTTTCTGTGGAACACAAAATACGTTTTTATTAGTGGATGAGGGCCAAAGGGGAATGTTTGAAAAAAAGCAAAATCTGTATCAAGAGTAAACAAGGACAAAATTGTCCTTTTTGAGCAAGTGATCCATTTAAATCTATATACATTTATGGCACCTCAAATTCCTTAGATAAGCAAAACTCTTCCCACACTTGTCACACATGTATTGCTTTTCCCCAGTGTGAATGTGCATGTGAGCTTTGAGCGAATTTGACTGGTTGAATTCCCGTCCGCATGTGGCACATCTGAACGGCTTTTCTCCGGTGTGTATGCGCTGATGTCGACGGAGATTTCCCAATGTGCAAAAACCTTTTCCACACACGTCACAATTGAAAGGTCTTTCGCCGGTATGCAAGGTCAGGTGAGCTTTTAGGCAATTATGCTGGCGAAATGTCTTCCCGCACACGGAGCAGCAATAGGGCTTCTCTCCCGTATGAATCCTCTCATGAGTTTTCACACCAGCAACACTCTTAAAGGACTTTCCACACACACAACAGCTGTATTTGGTAGTGGCGGTGTGTTGAGGGTGATGGTGAGATTTCAAAGAGTCAATAGAGTCGAGGGTCTCTTCACACACGTTACAGACGACCGGAAACTGTCCCGCATGGCTAGTGAAATGCATTTTTAAGGCGTTTGTGCAACCCAAAACCATCCCACATACAACGCAGCCATGTCCAGTTTGTCCCTTTTCCTCTCCCTCATGAAGCCGGAGCATCCACTTCTGGACAAAGCCCTGACCGCACAATTTGCATTTGTGTGGTTTCTCGCCGGTGTGAGTTAGTTTGTGCGCCTTTAGCGAATCAAGCTGATTGAAACTTCGCCCGCACGTCTGGCAGGTGAACGGCTTCTCGCCTGTATGGATTCTCTGGTGCCGAAGTAGATTGTTTCGGAAGTGGAAGTTCTTATCACATACATCACATTTATAACGCTTCTCGCCTGAATGCACGACCAGATGCTTCCTGAGACAGTAAGCTTGATGAAAAGACTTCCCACACTCTTTACAAACATAAGTCTTGTCTTCGTTATGAATCCTCTGGTGATACATCAGCTGTTTATGTTCGGTGAAGGTCTTGCCGCAATGACTGCATGCATAAGGGCTCTTGTCAGTATGAAGCTGGTAGTGTGCATCCAAATTGCCTTTACAGCCAAAACGCCTTCCACACTGCGAGCAGCTGAAGGTTTTCTCTCCCGCCGCATGAATGACCCGATGAGCTCTCAACAGCACCAGTGAGTCAAATTTCCTTCTACATTGTTTACAGCTGAACGATTTGTCTTTCTTTTGACATCTCAGCCGAGCACGTGTGCTTTTTAAGATGCTCAAAGTTCTGGATTCTTCCTCATCACTGTCCTGCAACACCACAAAGAGAGAATGGTTGCCATTTTCTGAACAATCAGCTATTATTGCGGTATACATTACCATTCAAAAGTCTGGTAAAACATTTATGTTATTTAAGTTAAAATTGAAATTATTCATGTAATGTTAAAGCTGAATTATCAGCAGCCATCATTCCAGTCTTTAGTATCCCATAATCCTTCAGATATCATTCTAATATGCTGATTTGGTGCTCAAAAAACTTTTTTTTTTTTATTATTATCAATGTGGAAAACAGCTTAATATTTTTGTGGAAACCGTGACACATTTGTTTACAGAACAGCATTTCTTTGAAATTAGAAATCTCAATGGTATCACTTTTGATCAATTTAAAGGGGTTTTGACGTACAAGAGGATATTATATTACAAGAATACCCTGAAAGTTTCAGAACTGAAAACTTCCTTGTTAGTCCAAATCAGCTTTTATTGTTACCAGGCCCAGCGAACATCCTGGAATGTGCCTCTTTATGACGTGATAAGATAGTGAAAGTCCGCCTCTACAGAACAAAATCAACTTACTGGCTAACCGCCAACTGGCTTTAGTGAGATGAGGAAGAGAGAAGTGCGCAGGGTTACTCACTGGATTAAAAATAACATAACCTCCAAAGGATCCTAATGCTAGGAATGTGGATATTTATTTAGAAATATCACTTTTTAGCACTTACTTTGATATTCCGCCATACATTATAGTTATCCACTTTACACGCTTAGAAAAGCGTAACGTTTTATTTTGTGTCACCATTCTTGGTTGAGTTACACTACTCGTGTAACTGTATTTAAATAGGGAAAACGTGGAGGTGTTTGGTTGCTTCTCTGCTTAGATCCAAATAAAATGAACTGGGCTAACTTTAAGCTAAGTGCTATCAAAGTGTCTCTCGCGTCAGAGCGATTGAGTGCACACACTGAGACAAGAGAGATATGCATCAACTCATCTTAGTTAAGGGAATAACAGTTTAATATGAAATACCCGTGAAGTATACATTTAAAATAGAGCGTTCAAATCAGATGCTAAAATCAGGTTAGGAAAAATGCATTTTATTTCTAAATGACAATTTTTGTAAAAATCCTACTAACATAAGTGCACCTCAGGAAAAATGATGAAACAATAAAACAATGCAGTTCATGACCCCTTTAATATATAAAAAAATGTATACAAGAGATTTTTTACTTTCAGAACCCAACAGTTGTGATCTATGATGTGTGAATAACTTACCGTTCTCACATGCTCAGTGTCTATGATCTCCTCCTCCCAGCTCACAATGATTTTCTCTGTAGAGACTGCAATGGCACAACGGATCATAAATTTTAAAGATTTGCTCTGAGAGAAAATCTCGTAGTGGTGTGTGAATGTATAAGTAATGAATCTCACCTAGAGTAAGCTGGTCACTGGACTGACTACTGAGGAGAACACAGTCGGTTAGATTAGTCTCTTCCTGTAGAGTGTTCTGCTGTTTCTCAACTTGCTTTAGTGTTGTTGTCAAGCTGCCCTGTGCACTCGGAGTCGTTTCAAGATTCTTAAGAGCAGAGAAAAGCTGGCATATTTTCTCCACAGCTTCCTTTGCGTTATGTTCTAACACAAAGTTCAGATGGGCCTAAAATATAGAAACAAATAAATTATAAACTAGCCTAATTAAGCCATCATTCATTAAGGGACCAAAAATATTTGCTGGATTTTTGTTTCTTCTTCATACAATAACATGGATAACAGGTTTGATTAAGTCATGATTAAGATTAACCAATCCAATCATGACTACAATTGATGAACAAACTGAGAATCTGGAATGAGATTATTTACGGTATTAACGTTACTTGGCGGGTGCCACAATATCAGCGACTAAACAGTTTATCTGACCAATTTATCTGTGACACTTTTGATTTATTGCCATATCTAATCAAATCATGCAGGTTGTGATATGGCTTAAAAACAAACGTAGCAACTAGCAAGCTAACATTCAGTTATTTCGTAAACGTTTTGCTCACTTACTGTAAAGTCCAGCTTGACAGACTCGTTTGCTATAGTTCCTGTCAGTGGAGGTAGCGTTATGCCTGATAAGTCCACGAATGTAGTCATTTGTTTTACCGTGTCCTTTACAAGCGTTTCCAAAACAGAGACAACCTCAGACTCCAACAACGACATTTTCTCCTGCTGCCGTTTTGGTGACAGATATTATAATTTCAAATTCAATAAGGCCACTACAATCTTCGTTTCCTGTTCTCTTCTGTTGTATTAAACAGCGTTGCGGTTGTGCTCACTGCTGCCCCTCTTTGGACTGGAGTTTACTTGCAGAAAATCATAGGCGAAAATTTGTGTGTGTGCAAGTTTGGCTAAATAGCCCATACACTGTGTATGTGTATGTATACACATACACATATTAGTGTCATGTAACTTAACATGTAATCCTGCTAGATTTCTCTGCTCACTATATGGGTAGCCACTTTATAACCATTTCTGTAAACTTGTGACTTTTAGGCTAAATAGGAGTTTAGAAGAAATTAAAAATGATATCAATAAATAATAAATTAAAAGGTCCTATTCAGTACGAACAGGGCTTTAAAGTGCATGCGATATTTGCATTTTAAGTCATTTTAAAGGCTGTTGTTCACAGTAGGTGTATTTAAAACATTCAAGAAAGACTTCACTGTAGTATACACTAGACTTCATTGAATAAATTTTACATTGATACTTATGAAAGCTACTATTTAAATTCTCAGAGCAGTGAGCAATTTTCTTTGTTTTTTTTTTTAATTAACATTAAAGGAGTAGTTCCCCCAAAAATGAAAATAATATTATTATAATTTAATTTCTTCTCTTAGGTTGGTTTAAACCCACATAAGTTTCCCAGTGGCATCCATAATATATATTTTCCTACTATGGAAGACAATGGGGACCAGAAACGGTTTGGTTAGCCACATTCTTCAAAATATCTTATTTTGCGTTCACCACAAGAAAGAAATAACAGGTTTGGATCAACATTAGAGTGAGAAAAGTTATGAAAGAATTAAAAATTTGGGGGAAACTAACTGACAGCGGCAGCATGTTTACTATTGGGCTACTGCGTAAGCATTTTAATGACACGCACGCACCCAATTTTTTCTCAGATCTTTGCTTTGTCTTTACACTGTCAGTGAAATGTGACCCAATTCCGATTTTTTGCTCACATGTGACACTGATCGGATGTGTTCTATGACATTGTAAACAGGAACAAAACGCATGCATTCAGATATTTCCAGATCGGTTTCAGGCCTCATTCATACGTGGAAATAGATTGGATATATGTGCCAATGCGACTGTCATGTAAACAGGCAGATCGGATTTTCTGAGGCATTAGGCGACGCACACCCCTACCATAAAACAGACAGAAAAATACATGGAAAAACTTTTTTATTTTTATTTTTTTGATAAATAAATACAGTCAAGCATTTCTTGTAATTTCCACAAAATTATTTACAATCCTACATAGAATCCAGGGACCGGTAGGTAGACATTACTCAATTTAGTCATTGCAGGTCAGAAAGCTGAAATCATTTAAAGAGGAGTGCATTTATGATCTTTGAAATTTCTCTTATAGGCAAAACTTTTCCAGCACTTGGTGCATGTGTACGGCTTGTCGCCAGTGTGAATGTGCATGTGTGCCTTCAAATTGTTGGGCTGTGTGAAACTCTTCAAGCAAATTTCACAGGTAAATGGCTTTTCCCCGGTGTGCACACGCCTGTGTCTTTTCAAATTGGCCGATAAATGAAACGCCTTCCCACATATTTCACACTTGTGAGGTTTTTCCCCGGTATGAGTGCGTATGTGCATCTTCAGTGAGCTTGACAGCTTGAATCTCTTCCCACACATTATGCATTTGTGAGGTCTTTCTCCTGAATGCAGAAACATATGAGTTTTATATGAAGCCCTCAGAGAAAAATCCTTCCCGCAGATCTCGCACTTGAAAGGTTTCTCGCCCGTGTGAAGCTGCTGGTGCATCCGGAGGGAATGTACGCTGCTGTACGTCCTGTCACATAACGTGCACGTAAACGGTTTGCTGTTGTCCGAATGCAGCAGCTGGTGAGTTTTCAATGCGTAGGCGGAGCTCAGGACCTTCCCACACACGTCACAGCGATTAGCGTTGCTCTTATCTCCCGGATTATCAATTTGATTGTGTGTTAGAATATGGTTCCTTAGGGCATAATTATACTGGAATGTTTTCCCACACATTTCACACATGAATCGCTTCTCTCCATGCACTCGCATGTGGCCTTTGAGAGTGCTTCTCTGATTGAATCTTCTGCCGCACACCTCACAGACGTACGGCTTGTCGCCGGTGTGAACGAGAATGTGCCGTTTCAGAGTCCCGGAAAGCGCGAAACTTTTCCCACAGATGTCGCACGTGTGCGGCCTCTCGCCCGTGTGCACACGAAGGTGGTGTTTCAAAAGTTTCAGGTACTTGAAGGTCTTATTGCAATGGCTGCACTTTATCGGCCTGTCACTGGTATGAATTCTCTTGTGGTAGTTTAACGTGCCAATCAGGGAGAAGCACTTCCCACAGGTGTCGCATCTGTATGGTTTTTCTCCCGTGTGCACCCTTTGGTGCATGTATAAACTTCTTTTGATTGTGAATCCCTGTCCGCATATTTGACATGTAAATGGTTTGACTTCTGCGTGGACCAGTTTGTGCGCCGCGAGATCCCTGAAGCTCTTTCCGCACGTAGCGCAGGGAAATTTCTTCTTCTCGAACTTCTGCAAGTGTTTGCGAAGGTGAGTCTCTAGCGCTCTCAGCAGTGTGAACTTCTTCCCACACTTTTCACAACTGTGTGGCCTCACGATTGAATGCACACGTTTGTGCTGCACAAGAGAAAGCATCTTTGGAAAGACCTTTCCGCACTGCTCACATACAAAAGACTCTTTGTCCTGTGGCTTTTCAGGTTGCTCGGTTGATGTCTGCAACCCGTCTTTCTGATCGTCAGAACAGCCCACATCATCAGCAGCTGGTTAAATGAAAAACAACATTACATCAATATCAATCATAGTCTATTCATATATTCACAGTTTAGCAAAAAATAAAATCAAATCACATTGAAGCAAAATTTCTTCAACTTATTTTATTTCAGTTTCTTGCCATTCAATGAAGTTTTTCATCTAATATTTACATCTTGATTTCAGCTTGTATTTTTCTACAAATTATTAAACAAAATACATTCTTAAAAGTTTTAGTTAAAGGTAGAGTAGGTAATTTCAGAGAGGCTAGTAATAGCAAGCTAGCTTTGAGATCCCTCCCTCCTTTCACAGCGTCTCGAAGCCACGCCTACTCCAAAAGACATGAACATGCATAGCCAGAGAAGAGTCTTATGAGAGACGTCGTCAAATTACCTCATGTCTCAAAGGACATAACATTACAATAGTAATGGACGTATACAACTTTGAGCTCTGACTTGAATCACCTGAGAGTGGTTTGTAATGTAAAACAGCAGCAGTAAGGACTGTTACCGTCACTGGTGAATGTTGTCTGAATGGCTTCTTCGGCTTTTTCCTCCACCATAAGACACTGGCTTGAATTACCATCCTGTGCATGCTATAATTCATATTAAAAGTAAATGTTTCAATTAATATTTAACACCTTAAAATAAATGTATCTTTAAAACTGCACAGTATTATTCACCTCAATGCTTGAAGGTTGCTGGTGAGATGTTGCTGCCGACTCATTCAGAGGACTCATAGAGACAGATATAGCATCTCCTGTAAGAGAGGAACACAAAACAAAAATGACCTCTAATACTTAAGATGGAGTGTGATACATCTGCAAGTCTCTAGAGTGGCCTGATATTGAAATCAAGTACCCTGAGACTCCTGGTTTTCGATACATGTTGTTCCACTGAGGTCACGTGCCAACTGAGATGAAGGATTCCTTATGTCATCTCGGCCATTCAAACACATTCGTGCTGGAACTGGTGCATCAGATGAACAGTATCTGAATAGACTGCAAATCTTCTGCACTGCTTCTTTGGCAAACCTCTCCATTATGCAATTAAGCTGCATTGAAATGAGAAAAATGCAATAATTATAAATCTAAAACCCTGCAATTATACGTAAATTGTAAATAGATCAAAGGAAAAGGGCAGTTTTCATAGTCAACAAAAAAAAAAGCATTATGATAATTGCAACAATTAAAATGTAACATAAAAGGAACAGCAAAAATCTAATATATAACTAAATATAGGTGTATGAGCTTTAGAGGAGACATGCAAAGATGAAAGAGTCATTCGTAAACCTTAGTATGGCCAATTTCATGTTTAAAACAATAGACAATAGAAAATCGTGTATGAATAATACTATACGTTAATTACCCAGATTGTAAACAAAAGGAGGATTCTTTAACTATTTTAATAAACAATCGATTACAGTCATACACGTTAAAGTTATTATAACAGACATTCATACCATATGAATCTGAGTATCGTTTGAGTTGATGGTGAGATGAGATTCATCGTTGCTGCATGTAAAAGTCTTTCGTATCTCCAGCTTAGCAGTGTCCGTCAGTAATGACATAACCAGAGTGGTTTGACTCTGAAAAAGCTTATACCGGGCCATAGTGATCACAGTTAAGAGACGTCCAGTAAATCCAACTCAGTTTGTGTTTGACAGCTAGCCAGAATCAGAGGATAATTCATAAAATCCTGAACTCCCTAGAAAAGTTGCACTGGGCAGTAAAGTACTTCCGCTTTGTTTTAAAATAGAAGTCCCCAAATCCTTGCCATTCGCCTTAAAATTACGTTATGATTAACAAACAAAACACAAGGCTTATAAACTTGATCCTAAAAATAAGACCCATTCTTAATCGCAGTCAATACAAAATATATGTCAGAATAATATAGGCTACTTCAGAAAGAGGCAAGACATTTTTTGAAATAAAAGTCTCTGAACGCAATTCAAAGTCAGCTAACTGTATAGAAAAATAAATGTATCTTTAAACACAGAAGTGTTTAAGTGTTCCATCACATATGCTTTTTGATAACAACGAGCAATGAACACTTTTGACCACTTTATCTTTTGTGTAATTTGTGATGACTGGATAATATTTTTTTTAAATACTTTAGGAATCATTCCTTTTTTTTTCTTTTTTTTTTTTGAATATTCATTGAAAAGCATAAATCTACAACATTATTCACAAACATCTTCACAAGACCAGTGATGAAATCATTAATATCAGAGCTTACTTGAAACATTTAGATTAATTTATGAAACATAAAATGTTTTATTAGCATTTAAGATTTGATTATTCTCAAGGACTTTCACAGACTTGGAAGTTGGAGCACCCAATTTCCTCAATTTAAATTTTCCAGGTTTTTCATATGCCAACATTTACATAATTATTATTACTTTTTGAATGTACCCTGATATTATGTATAAAATCACTTGATAAAGATGCATATAATTGAAAATGTAACATAAAATTTACAACAGATTGTTCAGCATGTTTTAATTTAATGTTTTCACAATGGAAACATTTGCCTAATGTTACAATATTTCCACCACATCTTTTTCATACAGGTTTGCATTTGTGATCATTAAAATGTCTACGATATACATGATTCTTCCTACACTTCTGGCATGTGTAGGGTTTCACTCCAGTATGAATTTAGATATGTTCTGTTCTTTAACATGGTCGGGTTCTCGAAACCAGTCCCCACAGACCTTAAAATTGAACGTCTTCTCTGCAGTATGAACGAAAAAAAAAAAAATTATGTTATATTACTATTTAAATTTTTAATTTTGAAGTGACCTAATCCTTTAACCACAGAATGGTTGTTAGTTTAAACCATGCCTACCATAAATGTACATAAAACAAAATAATAAAAAAAACATTGCATTCCCAAAAAAAATTTTATTCTTGGCCATATAGTACACTGTAATGAGGAATTCGCAATGTAGAACTATTTTCTATCTCTATTGAATGTATGAAAAATTGATTGATACTTATCCAGAATTTCTTCCAAGAAAGAAAATAAAGGTAAAACAAATACACCGTGCTATTGTACATATTGTTGTCTTTAACAGATAGTGAACCTTCATGACATTTCCAAACATTTGACTGAAAGAAACTAACTATAACACTGCAATTCATCTCAAAACAAATTTCCTTTTCACCCAGGTATACATTTGTGGTCATTGTAATTTCTACGGTATGCGTATTTCTTCCCGCATTTCTGGCACGTGAAGGGTTTCACACCAGTGTGGATTTGCATGTGTGCCCTCATATGACTAATTTGTACAAACCTTTTCCCACAGACCTCACAGCTGAACGGCCTCTCGCCTGTGTGGACACGCTTGTGTCGGATTAAGCTTCCAGATAAGCGAAAGCACATTCCACAAGTTTCGCACTTGTGTGGCTTTTCCCCGGAATGAATGCGCATATGCAGTCTGAGACTGTAAGGAACTCCAAATTTGCTCCCACAAACAGAACATTTGTAGGGTTTAGCTTTGGTATGAACAATCTCGTGCATTTTCAAACCAATTTTCCGAATAAAAGTCTTATCACACACACCACACTTGAACGGCGTCACCCCTGAATGAATTTTCTTGTGTTCCTTTAGCGAATGCAAGCAGCTGTAGCTTTTACCGCAGACTTTACACATGTACGGATCCTTTTCCGAGTGGATTCTCTTGTGCATTCTGAGGATAAAGGTAGAACTGTAGCATTTTCCGCATACATCACAAGGGAAAGTGATCTTCCCACCTTTAGATTTGCCACCATCTAGATTTTCTCCAGATTTCTTACTATGTGTGAGTAAGTGCCTCTTTAAAGCAAAGTTAAATACAAAGCTCTTTCCACATATTTCACACATGAATGGCTTCGGAGCTCCGTGCTCTGCCATGTGCCTTTTCAGAGATTTGCTCGAATAAAACTGCTTGGAACAGATTTCACACGCATGCCGTTTCACACCGCTGTGCACAGGGAGATGCCTTCTAAGGTTTGTAATGTGGCCAAACTTCTTCCCGCATATGTGACATGTATGGGGTTTCTCCCCTGTGTGCACAATCTGGTGAAATTTCAATTCGCTTTTTCTTTTGAATGACTTGTCACAGACGCTGCATTTCCACAGTTTCTCATTTAAATGAACAGTCAGATGTTTGTTGAGGTTTCCTTGGTTTATAAAGAGCTTCCCACATGTCTCACAGCTGTATGGTTTTTCACCTGTATGGATCCTCTGGTGTGTCAGTAAACTCCCCTTTACGGTGAAGCTGTGTCCACACATGGAACATAGAAACGGCTTCACTTCCAGGTGGACACGTTCGTGCATCTTAACATTGGCAAAGGTTTTCCCACATGTCTTACAGACCCCTTTCTTACCGCCTGAATTGTGATGCAGTAGGTGTTTCTCTAACCTTTTCAAGGATTTTAACTTCTTCCCGCATTCATTACAGTCAAATGATATTGTCTTTTCGGACTTTGTACTGATTTGCTCTGCCTGCGGGCTTACTTCAGGTTGCTGGTCTTCAACAGAGGCAATGGAACTGTATTCAACTGCAAAACATTAACAGGGTTTCAATTACTACAAGTTACTACTACAGGTATGTATTTGTATGCGTGTATTTCGACATTGATAAAAAATAAGAAATCTTTCTTATTTTTCAAAGCAAATCAGCATATTACAATGATTTCTAGAGGATGATGTGACGTTGAAGACTGGAGTCTGCATCACAAGACTAAATTACATTTTAAAATGTACCCAAATAGAACAGTTGAACAGTTGTCTCATTTCGATTCATTAGCTAAAAGTAACATAGAAATAAGAAAACAAATCTAATATTGTACTTGTGTCAAGCGGTACAGAATTTAAAAAATACCAAATTTAAAATACAGATATTGTATTTTGTAATGTTGACATGGTCCACTGCCTGAAGAAGTTTGAAAACAACAGAGTCTAGTATTTTAATTTAATGTGAAAATAAACCATAAATACCATCATAAATCGTTTAATTAATAATCACTCAATTTCTTCATTTCTTAGCTTGTTATTTCACATGAATAAGAAAGCTGTGTAGAACGTACATTCTATAAAAAATGTTTGCATTGGCGTCTCTTTTCCATCTCTTGACGACTCAGGAGAAAATTCAGAAACGTGTCCCTCCTCTGCACACTGAAAGAAAAAGAAAATGCTGTTGCAAGCATTTTGGCAAACAAATCAAAGTAACATCATTTCAACATTGAACTGACCTGCTGGGCTTTAACCGAATCTTGTGGTTGTACATTTTCTTCAGGTAACACGATGAGTATATTCGGTCTCTCCGTCGACACTGGTGGAGCTACAGCTGCAGAATCTGAGAGAAGGGTGAGACATTACTTGTTAAAATTGTAGTGTATTAAATATTCTTAACAAATTACATTAAATTAAAATGCAGGATGTCTCACCAGGCACATTTTTGACAGTTGGATTGTTTTTTCTTTCTGGTTTGTTCAGATGCTCCTTCGCCATCTCTTTCACATTTACTATATCATCATGGTAACTTTTAGAGCCCTTCAGCTGAGTTGGCTTAAGAGCAAAGCAATAATTGAAGACTTTGCATATTTTTTGAACAGCCACGTTGGTAAAGGTCTCCATCACAGCTGTGAGCTTTGCCTGCAACAGATATTAACTACTGGTTGTTTTTCTGGGCATCTTCACATGCCTTATGTTCAGTTTTGGAACTAGCAAGATGGAACAGAACATTTCTTTGAAATAATGAAATACACTAACTTATTATAGTGTTAAACATAGAAAAATATTTGAATAATCATATGTTACTTAACCTAGAAATAAAATACAATATAGACGAGACACTTCAAGAACGGAGTGTCTGATGGATCACAGCTGACAAAAAAAATCCCTTAATAAAATTTTAATAGGACACAGAATATCTGCAGAACAGAAACTAAACGTACCAATCTGCGTTGTTTCTCATTCATTTCCAATATTGGATCTCGGTCACAATCAATTTCATTTTGGGATGGGCGAAATTCACAGTCAAAAACTTTCTGAATTTCGTCTCGAGCTGTTTCTGACAACAGTGTCATTATAGACAAAGTTTGTTTGCGAAATAATTCATTCTCCACCATTGTGCTCATACAAAAATTGCAATATAATTGCTAATTTGTATGTATAAAGTGATTGGGAAAATGAGACAACACAAACGATTCTGCGTTTACTTTGTCCTTAACTTCCGTTCTAAGGACTACATATTCAAAATAAAAGTTTTCAAAAGCGTCTATTTTGAAATGCGCGATCGCAGCTGTGACTGGTCCATGCAAAATGACTTTTATTTTGAAATTCAAATTGACGCACTTTACGGAAGCCAACTTCGACCTGTGACAGTTGCGAATGACATTTGTCCTACTTTAATATTTTCGTTTTCAAAATCATGAATGAGAAATTACTACAGTTTCGACGAGATCAGCACTGATTCGCTTGGATCATCTTAGAAAATGTCGGGAAAGACAAATCTCCAGGTATGTTTTCATTCATTCACTATTGACCATCTAACGTTAACCATTCAATTCATTGACTCCTCTACTTTAACCATATTTATTAATTGGTATTATAAGTAATTAATTAGTGCACATTATGCGATTATGACATAATGGCTAAGGTTATTTTGGTTTAGGGCTAGTAAGTATGGGAAATTACACCTGAACCATATTAACTCAAAAAAGTTTTAGTGTAATAATATGTCAAAAATGACATCTCGGTCCTTTGACGTTACTCCCTCCCCCGTGTTTAACTGACACAATGAATAGGCATTATTGTCTTATCTACTGAAGCCAGGACCCTGGGGCGTAACATAACGTTAGTGTCTCTTGTTTCGGTCTATCTTGCTTCATGTTCACTATACATTGCTTTCTCATACTCAAAGTATCTGAAGACTCCAGCAGCTCACTACAACTATGGCAGATGGACCTTATAAATTCATTAGGGTCAGAACATGAATAAATGAATGTTATTCTGTGCTGTTTGTATTGGTACTAACTTTTGTGTGAAATATTCTTTTACAGGACGGTGATGGCAGAGTCAGCAGGGTGATCCGTGTTGGCACCAGAAAAAGCCAGGTAATTGTATGCTTATTGATTGTCATCAATGTTGAAAACAGCTGTGTTACTTGATATATTTGTGAAACAGTAATACATTTTTTTTTCACGATTTTTTATTGAATTGAAAGTTCAAAAGCACAGCATTTATTTGAAATATAAATATTTTGTAACATTAGAAATGTCTTTACTGACGCCTGATCCCAAACGTTTGCATGGTAGAGCACACACAAAATAGATAATCTAAAATATTGTTATATCTAATATCATATGAATATCTAACCATTTAATACATTTAAATATGTATTTAAATGTGCATGTTTCACAATTTGTATAACTGCTTGTCACTGGAATCATCCATTTATTTTAAAGTAGCAATGTAAAAGGGTTTCATATTGTAACTATACAGATTTTGCTTCATCAATTCTTAGTATAAAAAAATTTAGGTTTGTAAGTTTGTTTGGGTGTGTCAGTGGTGGTGATGTGTTTGATAAGCTTTCTGTCTTTGTCACGGAGGATATAAGATTGCTTAGTTTTTGTTAAGAAACTGGTCAAATAGAGGGCATATGGAATATTATTGAACCTTTTTGTTGCTTGAATTTCTTTCAGCTGGCTCGGATTCAGACTGACAGTGTTGTAGAGAAACTCAAGGGGTTACACCCTGATGTTCATTTTGAAATAGGTAGGAGATTATTGTGTAATATCCAAAACATTGTACCAAGTATGACGAAAGTAAATATTCACTCTGCTTAAACATATTTCCACTTCATATTTTTTATTTTATTTTAGTGGCTATGTCAACAACTGGAGATAAAATACTTGACACGGCTCTATCCAAAGTAAGTCCTAATCTAAATCCCATTGCTGTCATAATTAATTAGTTTTATAAAAGTAACAGTAAATGTATATAAAGTTTTTGGAGAAATTAATTATTGTTCAAATTCTGTGTCAAAGATAGGTGAAAAGAGTCTCTTCACAAAGGAATTGGAGAATGCTTTGGAAAAAAATGAGTGAGTCCATGCGTCTTTGCTTCTTTATATCACTCTTGCAGTACACAGCAGATTTGGTCTTTGGTCTGTTGGTGCATTTGATGTTCAGAGGTTTGTGTTGCTACATTGTTGATGAATATGTTTCAGTATGAATAATGCTGTTGTAATACTTGTGTCTCTATAGGGTAGACCTGGTTGTGCACTCTTTGAAAGACTTGCCTACTGTTCTTCCTGTGGGCTTCACTATAGGAGCCGTGCTGAAGTAAGGAAATCACAATAGTGTCTCTATTTTCTGAAGTGCTTAAATGTTCCTCCACATCTGAAGAGTCTTTTATCTTAAAACAAAGTTGCTGACATGTCATGTTACACAGTACACAAACATCAGCCTAAATATTCATCAATTATTGTTAAAGAGTATGGAAATACTAATGTGCAGTGTATTTCTGATTGCAAATCCTTTTAATTATGAAGCCAACATTGTGATTTGACATTTCTCTCTCTTTAAAGACGAGAAAACCCCCATGATGCTGTTGTCTTGCACCCCAAAAATAAAGGCAAACGTCTCGATGCTCTCATCAACAAGAGGTAAAAGCGGTGGCCTGTACACAGAATTATATTTTTTAAATGTATAATAAATTAACATTAATCATTAATGATAATACTTTATTAATACTTTATTCATTAAATTGATCAAAAGTGACAGTAAAGACATAATGTTTTAAAAGATTTGTACTTCAAATAAATTAATGTTCTTTTGAACTATATTTATAAATAAATATATACGTATATATACAGAATAGTTTCCACACAAATATTAAGCAGCACTGTTTTCAACATTGATATTAATAAAAAACAAATCTTGAGCAGCAAAACAGCATGTTGAATGATTTCTGAAGGATCATGTGACACTGAAGACTGCTGTAATGATGCTGAAAATTCAAAAGAATAATTTACATTTTTTAAAATTTATTAAGATTGAAAACATTTTTTTAATTATGTAATAATATTTCACAATATTACTGTTTGTACTGTATTTTTTTTAATCAAACAAATGCAGCATAAGAGACTTAAAAATAATAATAATACATTTTACAGACTCCAAACAGTTTAATCGTCTATATACTTATATATATAGGATACATGTTTTCTTGAAAAATACATACATTTACATTTTATATTTGAAGTGTTATAGGTACCAGTTCTCTTCGTCGGGCTGCACAACTGAAGAAAAGATTTCCCCACCTGGAGTTTAAAGACATTGTATCTTTCAGTGTGATGCATCCATCATTTGATTTTCTCTCACTTTTTCTGTAGATGCAAAAAACAAGTAAATTATGAATTTAGTGTGTTATCAAGGTCTTGATGTTTTGTGTGAGGTTATGTCTTAACAGTCATGTTTCAGAGAGGTAATCTCAATACCCGTCTCAAGAAGCTGGATGAAAACAATGAGTTTTCTGCCATCGTCTTAGCAGCAGCTGGTCTTCGAAGAATGGGCTGGGAGAACCGCATTGGCCAGGTGCCTCTATCCTCCTTTAACCTACAATAAACTGCAATGTCTTATCTCAGGTCAACTAAATTCCTTTGAATTTTCAGCATCATTACAGCAGTCTTCAGTGTCACATGATCCTTCAGAAATCATTTAATATGCTGACTTGCTGCTCAAGATTTGGTTTTAATTAAAATCAATGTTGAAAACAGTGCTGCTTAATATATATATATATATATATATGTATGTATGTGAATGTTTATAAAAAGTTCAAAAGAACATCATTGATTAGCCTATAATGCATACTGATATATTTTTTATCATCCTGTTTCAGATCCTTGGGCCTGAGGACTGCATGTATGCCGTTGGACAGGTGAGTAACATTCAGTGTCCCTATTGAGAAAATCTCCTGCACAGCGGTGAGTTTATGTCTATCGGACTGATCCTTACAGACTGCTCTTAATGTCCTGTTGAAGGGCGCTCTGGCAGTTGAGGTGAGAGCTCGAGACCAGGACATCCTGGAAATGGTGTCAGTATTAAATGACACGGACACTGTGTTGAGCTGCATCGCGGAGAGAGCGTTCCTCAAACACCTGGTAGGCATCCTGCTGCACTGTAAAACCCTTCACACCTGTTTACATGAATTAATAATTAATAAATAAATGCACTGTAATTCAAAAGTTTGGGGTCAGTAAGATTATTTTATGTTTTTGAAAGAAGTATCTATCTTATACTCATCAATAAATACTGTAACAAATGCATTGCTCATGTCACAACTAATGAAGCTTATTGTAAAGTGTCACCATTACCTTTTATTGATAGTTACACCATATGACATATGAATTTTCACCATATGAATTTTCTGGAAAATTGTATAAAAGTTTTTTAAAACCACTACAAATACAAAGAATACATTTCTAAGAACTTTGTGCATGTACCTTAAACTTCTTTTTTTATAGGAAGGTGGGTGCAGTGTTCCAGTCGCTGTTTACACTGAAGTTAAGAATTCACAGGTAGTGAGAAACTACATTCTGATTTGACTTTATACTCAACTAAAAAATGTCTCTCAGCTGAATGACAGATCTGTGCTCATTTTACAGATCTACATGACCGGAGCAGTATTCAGTCTTGATGGTTCAGACAGTCTGAAGGAGACAATGCAGACAAGCATCAGCTCAGACAATCAGGTTGTTAATCCACTAAAATACAGATATCATTTCCGATACTCTGACTGTTTTGAATTTTACACTGATCCGTTTGCTTGTAACCTCATTATTCCCAGACTGAGGAACAGGAGAAGGTTGATGAGAAGGTCCAGCGTGTGGGTATCACTGCTTTAAAGGTGTCAGGAGCAGCCCAGGATGCCGCAGTGAAGTTAGGAGTTGACCTTGGAAATCTGCTGCTCAGCAAAGGGGCCAAAGAGATACTGACTGTAGCCAGACAGCTTAATGATGCACGATAGGTACAAAATAGTCTGTATTCATAGCTGAAGACCAACCACCCCCTTTTCCAGAAGTATTTTTTTAAAGGTCTACAACTATTTAAGTGTCATCCCATAACAAGGTTATTATAGTTTTGCATTTTTCATTAGTTTTTATTTTTATTTCGTTTTGAATTTTTGTTTTCAAATTCAGTTTAGTTTTAATTAGTTTTAAAAGTGGGTTTGCTAGTTTAGTTTAGTTTCTATTTTTTGAAAATGCTTAGTTTTAGTTTAGTTTTTATTAGTTTTAGTGTTAGTTTTATTTGTCAGGGGCAAGGTTGAAAAAGGTCAGAAAAAGAATTGTGTAACAATAACTCAACAAAAACATCATACAATTTTAGAAATATCTATTCAAAATTAAAACCAGTACATAAAATGAAGCCTACAATGTGAAAATCCTTTACCGTAACAATCTAGATATCTTCTATAAAAAAATCCCACAGCTTTACAATTTCCACACCTTATACTAAATTTACCCTATACAACACTAATCTGGACAGAAGCAGCAAACAGTCAGTGTAAGAGTAAAATAATGACATAACATTATTTAATATTTGAATCACAGCTTATAGAGTTTTGACACCGACAACCAAGCAGCAAGGCTGCAACCAGGGTCTGAAAACTATGAGGTAATAATGGTTAATAATTACCTCACAATAATTAGTAATATAATAATAGTTAGGCTATTGGACCCACATTTCCCCATGGACATGAAGGGATTTTTTAAAGGAATTACCATATATATATATATATATATATATATATATTATTAACTATTAAATGGCACTTTCTGGAGAGTTTTGTGAATAAAAGAAACAGAATAAAAGTAGGTCTAAATAAATTGCTAGTTGAATAGATTGCTAGTTGAGAAACACTACTTTAATTATTGCATTTATGATGACTATGTGAAACGTTAACAAAGCATGAGCTGTCTTCCAGCTGGCCAGTAAGGTTATTTTGGCAAATTGTATTCTGTAACATACAGATCTGTATTATGCTATTGTTTTTACAGATAATCACAATGATCATTGCGTTTGGTGTGGTTGCCTTATGCAATTGCAGTTTGTCTATAAGCTTTTTTATTAACGCAGACAGTAAAATGTTGCCAGATATTGCTACGAAAAACAAGCAAATAATATAATAACAATTCGAAATTACTTCAAAGCTTGTGTTTTGGAAATAAGATTAATATATCACTAACACTAACATGCAACTTTCCACTATAATAACTTCCTAAAGTGTCACAAAAAATCAGAAAAACAGGTCCAGAAGATTACCGCACAATTCGATTAAGTGGATCTGGCAACACAGAGGCTACACTAGCGCCCTCATTCACAATGCGTTCTCAAGCCCCCTTCACTGCGCTAGCTTCTCGCTGCAACATGAATTGCAAACACACAGGTGGTCTAAACATGGCTAATTAATCATTCACATAATCATTCAATCATGCCATTCCATTTTTGAATGTAAAAAAAAAATGGCCGAGGTCCGGACTGGTTAGCCACGGCCATGCCCACTGCCCAGCAGCATTTTACCTCAAAATTGCAACTAAGTCAGTAACTTTCTAACGAAGGCTCAATCGCTTCTCGGGTTGACATTAACATATTTTTACACCACCTTTTAATGTGTGATTGTGTAAAATGTTCATCATGAGATACCAACCTTTCGCGAACTTGCTTTTAACATTGATCGAACCCTCGTTTTCATACAGACGCGGTGTGCATTGCACGGAGGGGAGGGGCTGTGACTGTGTGTGCGTGCATTTGAGAGAGAGACGGAGGGAGAGAGCGTTACAGGGAAATGAAATGCAACGAATACACTGCGTGTTTTAAATAGTGTTAAAGACGAAAACTAAGGACATTTGCTCTATAATTTTATTTTATTTTAGTTAGTTTTGCAAACACACATTACAGTTTTAGTTAGTTATAGTTTTTTTGTAATGGCTCGTTTTTATTTTTATTTCAGTTAACGACAATGTTTTTTCCCATCTAGTTTTCGTTTTTTCGTTAGTTTTCGTTAACGATTATAACCTTGTCCCATAATATAGATTACCTATATAGTGTGCCTAATTAAAATATTAGTTCATTTTTCACGGAAAAAAGTTACTTTGAGTTGTATTTACAGGATTTTTAGCGAAGATCGATTTGCATTACTGCTTTAAACAGACTTGGATGATGCAGAATAATAATGCCAAAAGTACTTATTCACTGAAGACAAACATCTGCATTACAGAGAGATCATTTTCTCTCATATTAAGCCATGAATACACAATCATGCCTTTGATGGTGTGTGTTTTATCTAAACACGTGCTTATTTTGAAACGTGAATTATTCTGGGATGTACTTTTCCAAAAGCTACTTGAGGTATCATCTACATTTTATCTTTACTGACTGTGCACATGTGAAGCGATACATCATAATAACTTATATAACACTACAGTATGATTTTGTATAATTGGGCCTGCTGATTTTTGATCATATTTAGTGTGAAATTTTTATTTAAAAAAAGGTTTTCATTCATTCCCAAATATTTTATGCCTTAAATGTTGTCATTGAACCCTTTAAATTTTTTGTCAGATCTTTCTAACATCAGTGCCTGGAAATTAAACATTTCTTTGTGTATGTGGCTATGAGCTCTAGGTCTCATAGAGATGTAAAGTTTGTGTGCACTGCCTCATCCTTTTCATTCATTCCTCTCAAATATATTGTTGTTTTATTTATTTGGCTAAATGTATTTACTGGACATCATCTTGTTCTTACAATTGAACGATGTATGATGAAACTAAGCCAGTATTAATTTGCTGTGATATTCTAAAACACTGATTTTCATTTTGTATGGTTTAGAGCTACTTTAACTGATACCAAATTGATTTAATGTAAGCATATGCAAGATTTGTAGAATGTACTGAAACTGTTGAATTCCATAAAATACACTTAGTTTTTTCCATTTAGTCGGTGGTGTACTGGTAAACTGAACTCTGAATAACTTGATATCATTGTTTGCCATTACTTTGAAAGGGGGCATTTATATGAAACAGCATATTTCAAAAGTTTGGTGGTTTTAAGAGCAGAGTTGATTGGTTTTACTAACTTTTTTTTGCTAGTCCGAAATAAATTAAGCAATATAAATGCAGTCACTACTTTTTCTTCTTAAATATAAAATACGGTTTTACTCGAGACTTGACATGTCATGGCTGCGGTATAAATAAAGGAGTAATTCATTATATTTTCAAAAATGTCTCTGCTCTAAACTCATAGAATAGAAAAATAGATTTGAGATATCAGTTTTATTTACAGTAGTCAACATTGGAAGCAGAGAAGTTAATCAAAGTTGTCCTAAGATAAGAATGGGTTCAAAATTCATCTATAACTTTGATTAAAGTTTTTGATCCACTTCAAATCTTGACTACTTTTCATGAGTAATGTTTCATATATCTATTCCAGGTACCAGTTGACACACTGAAAGACTGCCTGTCAGATGTCAAGCTTAGACTCGTTCAGATCTTGATCCGAGGGTGAACTCGTTTTATTAGCGCGTGGCTTCTGGCAACCAGCTGTGGCATGTTGCCATCGCGTCCACTTAACAGGAAAGTACATACCACACTGTCCACAGAAATCCATAATCTCATACCTGCTTCACGCACATATTTATGTGACAGTTTTTCACGATGATGTAAAATATGTATATAGATATAAATATATAGCCTATATACTATGTATATTAATATATGTATATATATATATATATATATAGGTATATACATTTAAACTAAATAGCAAATCCTAAACGATAACACTCTAATTATCAAAAATAAATAAATAAACATGTAAAAGCAATTTATGTAGGCCTCAAATATTGCTGATAATCACTTAATTTATCACCAAAATGAGCATTACTATTAATCATCTTCTCTGCAAATTCATGATTATATTTTCCTGTAATTTGGGTTGCTTTAATTAGAAAATGTCCCATCCTGTTTTTACCTTGCAATTTTATTTGATCTGATCTGAACTCTATTCCTTTTATAGAAATACAACAAACGTTTTTCAAAGGCAAGGACCATATTTTGAAACCTCACAAAGTAGAGCCTATTTCAATCTGATATAATTCTGTAAATTTAACTTGATGGCTTTAAAAATGAATAATCAGCCTACACATTAGAGCCTTTTATATCATTATGAACATTGGTCCCAGCACAGCAATATCATTGAGGGTTTTTTTTCTCCAGCCTTTTAATGGAAGCAAATCAAACTCATAGTAGATATGATTCCTGTAAACGGGGCCTTTAAGACCAGTAGTTCCACTACAGTAGAACACTTTCAGTGATGCATATTTGATGATCCGGAGCTTTCTGAGACTGCAGTTTAGTATCAAATGAATTCCTGGACAAGGACTTGTTTTGCCTATTTTTGTCGTTTTCCATGAGTGCACGTAACATGCTACATGTTGCTCACCTGGTGCTCACTGCAGACAGAGCCGAATGACGTCCAGCTCCCCCTTTCTGGACCTCATGGGTTGAGGAGGGATAGAGTTATGGGTAGGGAGTACGTCCAGAGACCTGCGCGGACGGATTTTTCTCCCGATAAATTGTTTGTTATAAAGCATTAACATTTACAAACCCTTGCTAATTTAACATAAAAGCAAGCAGATACTGCGTGCATGGTTTGCATGACTGAAACTGATCATAATTCCGCTCATAATTCCTAAAAATCTGACATCTCAGTTCACCTCGATCTCACAAATCTCAGTTATTATCAGTGAAACTGACTGCACGATATCTTTCAGAATATCTACAGTTTGTTATTATCAGAACATTTGTCAGAATGCAGAATTCAGCACTGAACAAAAAGTATGTTATGACCGGTGAGGGGAGTCTGTCTTAAATGCATCTGATTGGCCGTTATTGCGATCAACATGTCTTGGCTGGATTGTTCAACGCTAGAAACATGTTATAAATTGAAACTCTGGCCTGTAAATGGTTTCTATTTTGTTTTAGTTGTTATTGTTGGTTTTGTGCACCAGACGAATAACAATTTATTGGTTTAGATGTTGTATTTATAGATATTTCTGTTTGGTTGGTACATCCCTCAAAGTGTTTCATTCTCCCACAATCCGCACACACAAGAGTGCATTACCGCCCGCGCGGCCTATTGTGCACTCTGTTACTTTGGGTCCTGTGGGACCCGCGGTATTCCCACGGGAGTGCATGCCTCTAGGCTGTTAGGAATAGTGTGGTTGGACCTTATAGATACACCTATTACACCCATATTACATCTAAAGAGGGGGAGCTGGATTTCATACTCCACCCATGGCTAAACAGTGAGCAGCCTCTCTATCTCAGGTTTTGCATCACACCCCCAACTAAACTCCCTCAGCAGTCAGGACTCGGCTTTTCATTTCATTCAGTTCTGTACGGGATTACCAGTGGCAGGACCTATTTCTGGTACTTATTGTAAAGGAAAAAAGTGAAGTGCATTTCAAGACTTAAACGAATATATTTCCTTTCAAGTGTTGGCCTACCCCAGGTAAGTTAATTTTTAAACATTGCCATTGCAGTTAATTCTCAGTAGGAGCATAACTTTACAATAGGCCTGCTGGCTTTATCATCTAGGACTGACTTTTGAACAATAGCATAACTTATGTCTGAATAATAATATAGCCTATGTCTTAAAATGTTATTCAGGGAATCATTTTTTTAATCACATATTTTAATCGTAATACTATACTATGCTGTGATATGCTCTTTTAAGAGGGCTGGTATGCATGGTATATGCATGGTATCATTAGAGAAAAAACTACTAATTCTTGTGGATTAGTGTACATACACAGCATAGAGACCACAAAGCCAAATCTCTTAACTCTCTATGCTGGCCTGTTACTTAAAAATAATAATAATAATAATAGTGTATATATATATATATATATATGAAGAGTTCAGATGCAAAAGCCTCTAAATGCCATTTGAAATTTTCTTCTTTAATGATGATTTTTTTTTATCAAACTTGTATATTTTTAATTTCAGTAATTTCATTTAAATAACAATTAATAGGTAATTATCATTGCAATTTAAGTGAATTCACTGAAATTAAATATACAAGCTTGATAAAAAATTATCATTCTAGAAGAAAAATTCAAATGGCACTTAAAGGATTTTGCATCTGAACTCTTCATATATATATATATATATATATATGAAGAGTTCAGATGCAAAAGCCTCTAAATGCCATTTGAAATTTTCTTCTTTAATGATGATTTTTATCAAACTTGTATATTTAAGTTCTGTAATTTCACTTAAATAACAATAGGTAATTATCATTGCCATTTAAGTGAAATTACTGAACTTAAATATACAAGTTTGATAAAAAATCATCATTAAAGAAGAAAATTTAAAATGGCATTTAGAGGCTTTGCATCTGAACTCTTCATATATTTGTCCAATAAAACAATCTTATTACCCTTAAAACAACAGGAAAATATCAATAGAATGCTGTTTTCGATTACTTTAGGGCTTTAGTTTAACACTTTAGTTTCCTTTTTAACATATCCCGTCTTATTTTAAAATTGTATTTCCAGTTTTTATTTCCAGTTTGTATCTAAGTATATGCAGAGACCCCTTTTTTAATTTTCAGAGACCCCCCAACTTCCTTTTCTAAAATATCTCTTCATAAAATTGAAAGGGTTGGTAATAAGAAAGAAATATTTACAAAATTACTGAATGCAAACTAATTATGTTTTATTATCTGAATGTTCTGGATGTGTATGTTATCTAGCACTTGTAAACGAACATGCACAGTATTCCACCAAATAGTGAGTAAAAAAAAATCACAGTGGCAATAATTTGTTACCATACGTCTATGAAAAATTCTGATTATGTTTCAAATGTATGCAATACATTCCAACAAGATTTCCATTGTACAGGCTGTCTCCTCACGGCACAATCTACTAAGTCTCATGTGAACGCTCAAGCGATCCCCTCCTACCCAATGCTCTGTGTGGGACTGAGCCAATGATATCTATCTCTGATTTCGCCCTTTCTTTTGGCTGTCAAACTCCAGGGACTTACATCTAGCCTGTTAGTTCAGTGTGTCAGCACAATGCAATCTCTTGGAAGAAACCAAATCCGAGCCTTTTACAAAAGCTCCAAATTCTAAATCAGATCAATTTAACCGAGTAGGGGCCTCTCCTGATTCCTGAATGAGCAGATAGTGTAAAAAGGTTTGCATTTCAAGGGCAGACTATAGGAAGATGCTCCCCTTGGAGATTTCTCATTTTGAATGTATGGTTATGTACAGTATAACGACTCAAGTACTTTGTTGACTAGAAGTCACAGTGAAATTAAATGTAAAAATGTAACCATATATTTTTATTAGACATGTCACAGCATTGAAGCATTTTTGCTCCCTTTTAGACTTGTGGAATGTCCGAGAAGACGTCTGATCCTGGGACGGTTAGCATTACAATGGAAGACAGCCTTTGTAATGGAGCAACACAGCCCCAGGAAGCTCCATTGCTAACCCATCTGAAGAAGGTGGAGAACCACATCACAGAGGCACAGTGCTTCTCTCACCTGCCCAAACGCAATACTGTGGACCTGGTGTTCAGTGACCTCTCCTACACCATCAGAGAAGGACCGTGGTGGGAGAAAAAAGGTCAGGAGTGCATACACATTTTGATTAATGTAACCATAAATACACAAAGAAAGTTCACATCTGTACAGTGGAGGCTATAGCTCAAATAAACCTTTCTGGATTGCAGAAGAATAGAATGCAGGAGAAGAAAGATCAACTTTCTTACTTCAGCAAAAACAAACAAAAAATCAAACAAATGTGCTGGTTATCTGAAGTAATTTTCCCTATTAGCATGGTTGAATTGGATCATCGAAGGTCTGCAGCAAAGACTGATGAGATTAAAGTACGATTAAATACATAAAGTATGTTTGTATATTATTTAACATATTAAATTATAGCAGGTTTGCGTAATATTCTGAGTTTGTATTTCACTGTTATTCATTTTTGAGGAATGCTGAATCTGTTTATGTGAGGACTTGAGAAATGTCTGTCAATAAATGGGAAAACAAAGGCTCTGTTTACATGGTATTAAAGCCAAGACGCCCAACATTCAACCCTAAAATAGTCATATAACCATTGCAATAACTCCGAGGTGTAAATATGCAAGTCAAATAGGATATTAAAACATTCATGACTAGATGCATTCTTATAGCAGCTTTTGTTCGTTTACAAAGCGGATACGGTAAGTAATTGCATACCAGTTTAGCATATAAAGGAGATTAAAATCACATTAGAACAATTAACAAGACTGATCTTGGCCTTGCTTTTCCATTTAGATCTTTCGATTTGCAGGTATAACTTCATGAATGCTGGTATTTCATTCTGATCACTTGTTTTTACTGTCTAGTCTGGCCCAAAGATAGGAGTTGGTTCTTTACTTTAACGATTTATTGGTGAAAAGATACCAGTGTGGAAGATGCTACTATTTTGCAGCCTTCATTGGCCAATAAGACTTTTATTTTTGCTGTGCCATCACCACAAGTAGTTTAAATTAGATGACATCACATCTGACATCACTAGGGAGAATAACATTTTAAATCTGAATTTGATTTATGATATCATACTAATGCTTGTTCTTTGGTAATTCTCCTGATTATTCTTATGCATGATGAATGTAGCATTCACAATATGTCTGCATTATGATAAAGAAATACAGTCAGAATTAAATATATTTGTAGAGGTGATACATGTGAGTGTAATTTGCACTCAACGTTTCCATTGTCGTCTAAAGCTAGAGCTTCACCAATGAAATGATGATAATATGGCAGCATCAAATGACTTCTAAACATTCAGTGAACAGACATGTATGGGAATAAAGTCAGAGGGCTTTCCTTGATTCGACCGTGGAGAGAGTTTTTTTTTGGTTTATATAGGCTGCTAATTAGAGTGCCTTGCTTTGAAATACTGTAAGTCGGGGTTTGACAATCCTGGGAGTAAATCTTTTTATGTGACCTTTCGGTCTGTGGGTGGGTGAAAGCCATCTTGGTGGACTCATAGAAAGGTCAATGAGCAGACTTGTCTGTTGTCTGAGTGGTTTAATTAGCCTCTGAACTTAAAGGTGATGAGAGAATCAGACTCAAAAACCTTTATCACTCACTTTCTCACATTTCTTAGCTTTGGCGTACAGTAAGATATGTAGAACAGTCATGAGGTTCATGGATTAAACCATACTTCTTATTTGAAGGGATTAACTGCAAGTTGACCGTTTGTTCAAAAGGAGAACCAACCATATGATCCCAAGCCAAGCATATATATTTTTTCCCCTGCAGGTTATAAGGCCTTGCTCAAGTGTCTATCAGGCAAGTTCTGCAGTCGGGAACTCGTAGGCATTATGGGTCCCTCTGGGTCTGGAAAGTCCACCTTGATGAACATCCTGGCAGGGTATAGGTGAGGTTACATTGAGTGCAAAAGTAATGCTGGAGGGAAAAAAATATGCATTTAAATTTTTTTCTTAAATTTTTTTGGAATGCATTTAAAATAAATAACTTATATATTTGAAATTAAATTAAATCTTGAAAGCTTACATGCCCATGGCTGGTTGTCTTGTGTGTTGAAGGGAAAAAGGGATGACTGGACAGATACTGGTAAATGGAAAGCTCCGAGACCTCCGAACCTTTCGTAAAATGTCCTGTTACATTATGCAGGAAGACAAATTGGTGCCCCACTTGACCGTTCAAGAAGCAATGATGGTGAGTCTGCAGGGAGAATGATGTGGTAAAGGATGTCCCCCTACTGCTGGTTTGATGCTAATGCTCATATTGCAATCACTTCAGAATGATTTTCATGAATGATGTGCAGAAATGTCAACTCAACTGAATGATTTCTCCACTGTTTTTAAGGTATCAGTCAACCTGAAGCTTAACGAAAACACAGAGGTGAAAAAAGAGCTGGTAGGTGAAGCTCATCACCTCATTCAAACTTGCTCCAGTATTTTCCCTTGTGAGATTTCACCTACTTTCCATGTGTTTATGTTGGCATGTAGATAAAAGAAATTCTTACAGCCCTGGGACTACATGAGTGTGTCCACACTCGTACAGTCTCTCTCTCTGGGGGCCAGTGTAAGAGGTTAGCTATTGCCCTCGAGCTAGTAAACAACCCCCCAGTCATGTTCTTTGATGAGCCCACCAGGTAATGATGTTACAGACTTTAGACAAAAATAAAATAGCATTATTTATATGCTTGTGACATGGATTTTTTTATATACAGTATGTTTGTTAAATGTTGCTTTTTGATTTCAGTGGTTTGGATAGTGCGTCCTGTTTCCAGGTAGTGTCTTTAATGAAGTCTCTGGCCCAAGGAGGGCGAACCATCATTTGCACTATACATCAGCCCAGTGCCAAACTCTTCGAGATGTTTGATAAGGTACAAAGGCATGTGCAAATCTTTTTGGGAATCTGAAACGTCTTCAGATCCCTTCAGTCATCATTTGTTTTATTCTGTGTCTCTTTCACAGCTGTATATTTTAAGCCAAGGCCAGTGCATATACAAGGGAAGTGTCCCATACCTCATCCCTTATTTGAAGGGACTGGGTCTTCACTGTCCAACATACCACAATCCTGCAGATTTCAGTGAGTTGACCATGTGTAAATACCCATGCTTACATACTCACATATTATACAATATACATATGTGTGTGTATGTACATTCAGTAAGGATGCATTTAATTGATAAAAAGTGACAGCAAAAAAAAGTGACATTTCTATTTCAAATAAATTCTGTTCCTGTAAACTTTCTAAAACCATTTATAAGATCATGGTTTCCACATAAAATAGTAAGCAGTACATTATTACGTTTTCAACATTAATAATAAATAATACATATTTCCTGAGCACCAAATAAATAATAAATGTGTGCTTCTGTCTGTTTTATGTGTAGTCATTGAGGTAGCATCAGGAGAGTATGGTGACTTGAACCCAGTGTTGTTTGAGGCTGTTCAGGGTGGCATGTGTGCTTTGGGGGAAAAGTGCAACTGTATCGACATAACCACCGTAACCCCATGCGCTGCAAAATGTGTGAAAGTGAGTAATGCTAGTTTCATAATCACTCATTGCTTCCGGTAGATAGCAGCTGTAATGCTTACTTGCATATATTGTGGTCAGGATGTATGCTAGACAAACTGATCAACTGTGTTTGAAAGCCTCTATCAAATAAAAAATATATACTGTCTTCTTAATGTTTCCTACACTTGCTTTTACAGGATTCAGGACACATTGAGAGCCATACCTTTGCTACAAGCTCTCTGACTCAGTTCTGCATTCTATTTAAAAGAACATTTATTACAATATGCAGAGACCAGGTACAAAGTTGTTTCATTTAGTTGATATCTGGTATGTCAGTCATTATTTTCAAAGTAACTATACCAACACTGAAAGTGACAAAAATATTTGATTTTTTATTAAACTTGATGTCAAACCCATCTTACAAACTAGATAAAAAATAATATATATATATATATTATTCTATTGTAATTTTAATATAATTTTTTGACACATGGTGTCTTCATTGTTTTACAGTATTTTTCTCACTTAGTATTTAGGTTTTAAGACCTAAATACTAAGTGAGAAAAATACTGTAAAACAATGAAGAAACAATGAATATATATATATATATATATATATATATATATATATATATATATATATATAGTTCTATTGTAATTTATATATAATTTTTTGATATATGGTGTCTTCATTGTTTTATAGTATTTTTCTCACTAAGTATTTAGGCCTTAAAACATGGACATTTATTGCAGCTTTAAATTGTAGGAAGGGGATCATCATATTTGGGGGATATTGGAATCCAAAAAGACCCAATTTTGATCTTAACTCAGTTTTGAAATTTGTAGCTATTGCATTTTGCAGAAATGTTTAAAAATGGCGTTTGGTTCCTGATCTAGGTTTTGACACATCTGCGGCTAATGTCACACATCTCGATTGGAGTGTTGATAGGCCTGCTTTACCTCAATATTGGCAATGATGCCAGCAAAGTCCTCAACAACACCGGTTTCCTCTTCTTCTCAATGCTCTTTATCATGTTTGGAGCGCTGATGCCTACGGTTCTTACCTGTAAGTTAGGAGAAATGTATGTAGCCATGTCACAGTTTTACTATCAACAGTTACACCACAATTTTAGGTCTAAACTCATGTCCTACATTCAGCAGGGGAAGTGAAAGTGTTTTTTTCTTTTTATCTGATTCTCTACCCTGTTTTCAGTTCCTCTAGAGATGGCTGTGTTTCTGAGAGAACATCTAAACTATTGGTACAGTCTGAAGGCTTACTATCTGGCTAAGACAATGGCTGACATTCCATTCCAGGTGGGTGCCTGTCTGCCTGTCTAAGCCTTACTGGCTCCCTTCCTTTTATGCCTGACATAAGCCGAGCATGTTTTGACAGTGCTGCTGAAAGTTTTATCTAATGGACTAAAAAGGAATCACGGACACTTAAAACACCAACATTTGATATTGTCATGGGTTTGTCCACTCTTTCTCAGGTCATTTGTCCTATGATGTACTGCAGTATTGTGTACTGGATGACTGAACAGCCTCCAGAGGCAACTCGCTACTTGCTGTTTTTGGCTTTGTCAATCTGTACAGCTTTAGTAGCTCAGTCTCTTGGGCTTCTGGTCGGTGCTGCCTCCACATCCCTTCAGGTACATGTTGCAGCTACTATCACTGTTAACTATATGTTTTTATTTCTCAGGGCTCCAGACTGTGACAAAAACAATTACGACAGTGCTTTAAAATCATGTCAGGATAGCCGTGAAAACATAGCTTTTATATTAAGAGAATAAAAGTTTAAGAGATGCCTCCAACTCTAGTTTACGAAGACATTGTTATTGGTCATAACTTCTGGAGAAAAATAATGCAGGTACAAAGATTAAACCTTTTTGGTGCACATGTGATGACCACCTGTGTACGTACACGCCATCAAATTAAGGTTTTTGGTGAAAACATTCCAGGATTTTCTCCATATAATGGACTTCATTGGGAACCAAACGGTTTAAGGTCCAAATGAGAGTTTCTGTACAGCTTCAAAGGGCTTTAAACGACACCAGACGATGAATAAGGGTCTTATCTAGGACCCTTCGAGTCATGACTTGAAAACAGATTTGTTCATTTTAATGGACGTGTTTGAACGCGAATCACGAGTGCTGATCACAGAACAGAGCAAGGCGAGCATTTGTGCTTATAAAACTTAAACCTTTTTATTTATTTTTGAAATGACCGATCGTTTCACTTAATTAGACCCTTATTCATCATCTGGGGTCATTTAAAGCCATTTGAAGCTGTACAGAAACTCTCATTTGGACCTTGAACCATTTGGTTCCCAATGAAGTCCATAATATGGAGAAAATCCTGGAATGATTTCATCAAAAACCTTAATTTCTTTTCGACTGAAGAAAGAAAGTGAACTACTCCTTTAAAAAATGCAATTAAAGAAACATTATATTTATGCTAAAAAAAAATGTGTTTTCTTATTTTCAAAAAAAAAAAAAAAAAAAATCAATTGGTCATTGGTTAGCCCTGTTTGATTTGACACTAAAACAGTGTCTATACTAGACGCAAATGGCACAATGTGACAAAAACCGATCCTTTATAATCAGTGACGCGGTCTACATTGGATGCGGCTTAACGTGACATGACAAATTCCTGATGGTAAACTGATGCCCTTTTCTATTTCTGACATACTTGAAGTGTGCACACTACTTCTTACATGAAGACAAATGGATTTGCAGCAGTCACTTTGTCATGTCCTGTTTAAAAAGCCTCAAGCTGTTGCATTGGGATGCGACAACTGTCATGTTAGTGTAGACATGGTGTAAGAAAAACTATTTGTTTATCAAATACAAGCACATAACATGTCTCTGCCATATGACCATTACCGATTCGATGATACAATCGTCTGACTGTTAACAGATTGCTTCTTAAATTGTAACATTGAACAGAGCATTTTCTATAAACCTGCTTTAAGCACTATACAAATAAACGAGTTAAATTAAATGTTTAATTTTTTTGCCGTGTGTTCAGTCTGGATGCCTGCTTTTGGTTATGGTATAACTTTTCAGTTTGTCTTGGCTTGGCATAGACTTTTTTTTAAACATACTCTATTGTGTATCTTCTTCACAGGTTGCCACTTTTGTTGGTCCAGTTACAGCCATTCCAGTTCTACTTTTCTCAGGCTTCTTTGTGAACTTTGACACCATTCCAGAATACTTACTGTGGAGTTCTTATGTGTCCTATGTCCGGTATGCTATTTATATCTTAAATAGATGTGTTTGCTTTCACAATGCAGAATTACAGTTTCATGTTTGTTTGATTGTGCTTATGATAGGTATGGATTTGAGGGGGTGATTTTGTCCATTTATGGGATGAACCGAACTGATCTTGAATGTCCAGGAAGGGTTTGCAAGTTCCAAAGACCTGAAGAAGTTCTGCAGTTGTTGGATGTAGAAGATGCCAAGCTCTACATGGACTTCATTGTACTGGGTATTTTCTTCCTTATCCTGCGACTCGCCACTTACTTGGTTCTTCGGTACAAAATAAAATCAGAGCGATAATATTCAAGTCATGCCGTTTCATGGTCTCCAGCACAGGACAGTATAGTATTTTTAGAATTCATTTCCAAAGGTGTCATCCTCTGCTCAGGAAGGTCCGATTTACTTGATCATTTTGGTGTTCTAGTTTTGTTTTACATTTGGATTAAATAAATCACATTTCATTAGGGGCTTTCGCACCGGATTGTTCTAGGAAGTAGAACCTAACTTCCAGGATGGTTCCCTGAGAACTAATAGTTCCCCTAGGAACGTTTTCCTGCTGCATTCGCACCTCCAGTAAGACCTCTGAAGTGATGTTTATTTTGACGGCGCTCCGAACGCCGGAGCCTCAGTAAACAAATAATGCTCGCATTCTCCGTGTTCATTAGCTTACGATCTGTCTGACAGTACTGTCTAATTTGATAGTAGATAGGAGTGTTATACATAGAAAGTAGACAGTAATGGAAAGTTATTAGCGTATGCCGTGTGGTTGATGTCCAGTGTTTAAAAATTTGCTGTTTGGCCTCTGTCCATCATGGCCTCCTAATCTCATCAACATATACTAATTGTCTTCATCTCTGCCTCCTCTCCACCAGTAAGCTGGTGCGTGGTGGGCATTCTGGGGCAATATGGCTGCCGTCACATCATCCAGGTGGATGCTGCACATTGGTGGTGGTTGAGGAGATTCCCTCTTCCATGTAAAGCACTTTGAGTACCCAGAAAAGCACTATAAAAATGTAACAAATTATTATTGTTGTTAGCTGAGCAGAAATACATCATCATGTTTCGCTTGGTCCCCTCAAAGTTGTGTTGGATTTTGTCCTCCACGTAAAGGTTAAGTGGCTATCTATCACTGTTGTTCGTAGAGTTAGTTTGTGGAGTAAATATAGAGGCTATAATCTTTGTGTTTACACAGCCTATTTAAAAATAGGGGGAGCTGGTGTTTCGCATGCGTTCGGCCAATCAGCATACACTAACATCACGGATAGTTCCTATAGTGCTGGTTTAGATGCTACTCTTTAAATTTAGCTCCTACTTAGACCCCCTAGTTGGAGCTAAATTAGTTCCTCCAAAAGAGTTCCAAGAACTAAAATCATTTCTAGTACCTGCGAAAATCCGGGTACTTCCGCCAATAGTTCTAGGAACTATGAAAAGGTATGAAAGACCCTACAGATTTGGCTTTAAAACTGGAGTAAATAATTGACTGTTTTTCAGTGTTACATTGATGTAGTTCAAGGTGTTGAAAAAATTGGTGTAATATGAAAATTCAAATTGTGATACCAAATCTAAATATGCATGCAAATGATAATTTACTGAACTTACTGGCAATTCTCAAACTGCTTTACCTGTGGATTTTAGGCTCACACAAACACCATTTTTTATTATCAAACACTAATTAGAATTTTTAAAAAAAGTATTTATTTATTTTTTTGCATTTTCAGTTTCAGAAACCACATCATGAACGTATTTAGCCTGAGGTGAGGATGTTTACATATCATTGCACAAGTCTGAAAAGGTTTTAATTTAAACCAGATGACTGAAGGTTCACACGGTGCCTGGGTTTCTATTAAACCATTGTATCAATCTTTTGCATAGTATGTTTTATTATACTAGTTTTTACTTTTTTGATTATTTAGTTTTTTCGTCTTGAGATTTTATATAATTACTTGGTGCTACAAATTATGTATTAAACAAAGTTTTTAATTTTTTTAGACCAACAAACGTATGTACTATGTTAGCAATGTACTGCATAACATGTCATAATGCCAAATGTATAGTGTGTGTTTAGAAATAAAATTCTGAGACCCATCAGAGGTGCAGTTTCTGACTAACAATTGCAAATCACTGTGCTTGAATGTAGTATACATACTGGTTCATATAATAGTTTAAAAATTAATGCTTAATTGTTATAATTTATTTGACCTCTTACAGTAAGTAAAAACGTAGCCATCTGACAGTGCATTTTGGAGAGAGAAAGAATTATGGTTGAACATTGACTAACTCTGACTCGTGAAAAAAGTTTGTTTCATGTTTCATCAAGAAGTGTGAACTTCACAGAATTCCTTGGAGCTACTAAGAGCTTACAGTGGAAGCACTCGTCATCCTTGAGGAACCCCTGTAGCTATAGGTCCAGGTTTAGAACTTGTTGGACTTGATAGCCTACTGAAAATTGTTGGTGAGTCAGTATGATCATGGAAAAAAACAGCTTATGACATTGCAAAATATTAATGTCAAAAATAATTAATGCTTGGGTGAGCTAACCTGAAGAAACCTGAAGAACCTGAAGAACCCTTCAGGCCTGAAGAAAGCTTGTAGATTTTTAACTGCTGGAAGGATAACTTTAAAAAAAATAATTGCTTTCACATTATAATCCTAATTGGGCATATGTGCCAATGACAACAACTTTATGGTTTTTATTAGCCTAAGTATTTTGACCTTCGCTGCTGCGGCTTTACATGAAGAGCAAAGTTGAAAGTTTGTGTTTGTGGGCGGTACTACGACTGACTAGCTTAGCAGCTCTGTTAGCAGGAAGACGGAGCGGCGGAGAGCTCTCATCGTCCTGCCGTAGAATGGACGCTTTCTTCGGCTGTGATCTGAGCGTCAGAACGCTGGCAGAGTTCGAGGGAAAATTTGGAAGAATTCGCTGCATTCCCAGCCTCTAGATTAGGTAAAGACTTGCATTAATTACAAGCATTTTAATCGTTACGTCTGATTTCTCATGTTAACGGTAGTAGTCATTGTGCTCTGTTGCTCTCATTCATCATCACATGTGATTTATATTGAAGTAAAGTACGTCACAACAACGCTTCTGAAACCAAGTTCCGAACTGAGTTTGCGCAGAATTCCAAAACTCGAATTGACATTCCATTATATCCCTGAATCACACTCGAATATGCATGACAGGCACGTGTGACGGATACATTTGTTCTGTTTACATTTACAGACAAAACTGTTTGACCTGTACGAAATGTTTTGAAGTGCAGTTGGATATGCAAATGTTTTACAGATGGAAACTTCTAAAAAAGAGCTCTGTACAACCCAAATAAATAATAATAATAAAAATACATATGATAAACACTGACCTTATTGAGTTATGACCTGATTGTAACGTTACTATTTTTAGACGAGGGACCTAGGGAATTGGTATAGCTTAAAATTGACATTCTGTATGCAATACTTGGTATCAATTGTCTTTAAGCTAGACTTTAAAAATAATCTATATTGTTAAATATCACCATAAAGCATTTGATTGTTGGTTATTTTGGACTGTAACTGTCTGGAATATGTGCCATGTGCTGTTAACTGTGTTTGGGAATGTGAAATCAAATTTCAACTCATCTTGTGAAGTATTTATATGTCTGGAATTTATTTGGGAAGTATTTAAATGCCACATTGTTCACACTAATTAGTAGCCTAACGCATCATGGTATTTCTTTAGATAATAGACATTATCCAAAATTAACACTTTGGGTGTGGTAAAACAACAATATCATGTTCCTGTGTAAGCATTATGTGTCATTGAAACGCAAACCCAAAGGAGTGACCTTACAAGGTTTGGCTTGTTTTTCTCAGATACACTTACGTTACTGTGTTGATGATAGCATTGTTTGTTTGTCCTACACAGTTTCCAGACCTGTTTAAACTTTTAAGTAACTATCACAAAACATATAATACTTTAGGGGTGATTTTAGTCAAAATGTGGCGATTTGGAAGGCCATCAGGAACGGACGTGTTAAGATGGAGATGCCGAGGGTCATCAAAAGATGTCTGCTGCAAACTTCACTCCAGGGCTCTTGAGACAGGTTGGTGTTTGATAACCTTTAATATTTAAATAATCAATTAATCAAATGTGAGTTTTATTTTATTTATTTCTAAATATATGAACACACACAAAATATATATTTTTAAAACATACCATGTTCACCAAGGTTGCGTTTATTTGTGACTATTGTGAAGTATATTTACAATTTAAAATAAGTGTTTCTATTATATTATTATTTCAGGATTATTTTGATGAATAGAAAGTTAAACAATTTTTTTTAATGTAAAAATGTATTGTATTGATATTAAAATCATACTGACCCCAAACTTTTAAAAGGTAATGTATATCAATGTTTATTTTGTTCTTTAAAATTGAAATAATAATTGCTCATTTCAGCCCGATCAGATGGCATCTGTGGTAGTGTAAAACAACGTCACTTGCCATTCCCAATGTAAGTATAATTCTACGAGAAATTAATCCAGCATTTCCTGATGCAGCATCTATGACTAGTATTTTCTGAAAATATGTTCTGAAATTGTCTGTGTGTTGTCTCGTCAGCAAGAAAACAAGCTCTTATAGAAATTCATGGAGAGAACTGAGAACATCTATGTGCTATTCCATCTCTGGATTCAACTCCAGGTACTTTTGTACTTCTGAGCCTGTCACCGGTGAGTTTATGCATTAATTGTTTACATTTGGATGTCATATTAAAATATCTTGAATTAGTGCCTCTTAATCAATGATCATTCATCTCATAAAATATCAATGCATTTCGTGCTTGTATTAACCGGCAGATCCCGTTGAGATTCACAAACAGAAGTTGTCGTTATGGTTCAGTCACCTTCCTCAAGAGGAGAGGCAATTCGGTGGCTACTTTTCTCCCGAAACTATGCATGTGGAGCCACTTATCCTAGAACGTCATCCTGATGAGGATAGAGGCCTTAGTCCCTTCAAGGCAAAGGAAAGGGTATCTCCACGTCCTTCTCTCACAGTTGAGCAGCTCTTTGATGATAATAATAATGGAAACAAGGCACGAGGACTAAATGTTTTGTTATATGGCGCTGTCGGCACAGGGAAAAGTACTGTCGTCCGTAAACTGGTGCTGGATTGGTGTGCTGGATCTATTTTCTCCCAGTTCAAACTTGTGTTGCCCTTCTCCTGTGAGGATCTTGCCAATTTATCCAAACCAACATCCCTTCGAAACCTTGTAGGCAGGAAATACATGCATCTTCTCAAGACACCTTATCTTAGTGGAGACAATGACAAGGCTAAGGATGTCCTCTTCGTCTTCAATGGAATGGAGAAAATGAAGCTGGATTTTCGTATCGGCTCCTCGGAGTTATGCAGTGATCCCAATGAGGCTCTCCCATCAGGGGCTGTTGTTGTGAATCTGCTTAGGAAGTACATGCTACCTGAGGTACTGAATGAGCTCAGCACTTTATTTTTGAAGCTTTTTTTCTGTGACCTGGCATGTGGAATCATGTCATGTTCCAGATTAAATGGGTCGTCGTGGTTTTGTGATGGAATTACCATGGGTTAATGACATGACACTCTTTTCTAATTTACATTAAAACGGCAATTCATAAATATAGTGACTTTAATACACCTGCTATATGATGACGATTTTTTTTATTTCTGAATTTAAATGAATTGATACCGGTATTTTGTTTCTCATAATTAAGAAAAAAAGAATGATATTAGTTAAATAATTTTGTTATTTATTTTATAAAAATGTGTCTGGCATATCAAAGTCATGTGGTGCTACCAACATACCAAAAAAATAAAAGTTATATCATAAAGAGAACCCCTGCAGACCCTTAGGGCTGTGTCAGTAAATATATATATTTATTTATAATACCGGTAATTGGTTTTTATATTGAAACATAAAACTGGATGGAAAATAATGAAAAGATGTGTACAGATACTTTTAAAGTTATATTCAAATAATTACTTTTTACTTGGTTAGATTTTACATTTATCAACACTTTTCTTGACAATCATGTTTTTTCGATGATTTTTCATCAACGTCTTTTAAATACGTTAATATGAGACCAAAATTAATTAAGAGAATACATTTATAAGAACTTAGCGCAAGTGGGGAATCTTATTTATCATCGACCTGCCTGTTTTTAGATGAATGTATACTATATTGTAATTCATAGCTGCTAAAACATGTTGATTTTCTTACAGGCCAGCATTTTGGTTACAACCAGACTATCTGCCGTGGACAACGTTCCTAGAAAATACATAAAACGTTATGTACAGATCTGTGGCTTCAATGATCCTGATCGCCAGAGAGCCTACTTCACCAGTAGACTCTTGCAACAGAATGAAGAAAAGCCGTACAAGGCTGCCGAGATGCTCATAGAGATGCTTTACCTAAATCTACAGCGGGAAACTCAGTTAGCTACCGCCTGCTTCTTACCATCTTATTGCTGGCTCACATGCGCCACTCTTCACTTATTGCATTTTACTGATACGAAGGCACCAATTCGAACCCTCACTGGCACCTACACCAGTTTCATGAGGCTTAACTTCGGAGGAGAAGTGATAAGTTTGGACGGAGACGTCTCTTCACGAGAGCAACCGAACTCATTAATGCTCTATGTGGTCCGCACTGTCGGTAAACTAGCTTTTGATGGCATCACCAACAAACGGATATCGTTCTCCGATGACGAACTGGAGCAGTGGGTCGGCGGCAAGACTAAAACGGACGAGGAGCTCCAGCAACTGGCGGTGTTTCGCACAGACGTGCTTGATTTCTTTCTGGTGCCTCGTGATGATCATGGTGCAGATCCCGAAACTGGTGGTAGACGCTACGTGTTTGCTGTTCCCGCCATGCAGGAATATCTAGCTGCACTTTATGTCGTTCTTGGCGAGAACAAAAGCGTCCTGGAGAAGTTGACTTGGGAGGTTTCACAGGCTTTGGGACAAGCCAGTGAGGACATAACAAGCCTACTGAGCATCCTCTCCAAAATCATACCTTTCCGAATCTTCGCTGTTTTCAACCTGCTTAAGTTGTTCCCAAAATATTTCGAGCGATTCAGCAGCCTCAGCAAGGGGCGTATCGCAAACACCATGGCTGCGGAAATGTTTCGTTCAGAGGACAGCTTCAACGAAGATGTCTTGGACCAGGTGGAGCAAAGTCTGCTGGGAGTGCATGGTCCTCAGCCACAACAGGAAACCGACACCAGGGCGTTTGAACTCTATCCTATCTTCATGGGTGGACTACTTCATTACGGGAACCGGAGGCTGTTAGACCAGCTCGGATGCAACATAAAGAGTCACACGGTTGCTCAGATCACTCGTGTGCTGAGAAAACACCTGATCAAGGAGAGTATGAAGAAGCAGCCTCCTGAGGAACTCATGGACCTTCTGGTCCTGCTGTATGAGTTTCAGAACCCTCGACTCACTGCTGAAATCCTGCAATCCATCAAGACCATTGACTTGTCGACCGTACGCATGACACCACACAAGTGCTTTGTGCTGAGCACCGTTCTGGGCTGCACACGCTCAGGCTTCCACCTGAATGAGCTCAACCTCTCCTCCTGCCACATCACTCCAGAGTTACTGCAGATGCTCTGGCCAGCCTTCCATCACACTCGAAAACTCAAGTGAGACTTGCACTTACTATAGAGAAAACTAACTAGCCAATATACAAAATAATTATACACAGTGCACCCACATATAATATGTAAACACAAACTTTTATTTTGGATGCGATTAATCGTTTGACAGCCCTAGTAGTAATATTTCGCAATATATTACTATTTTGATCAAATAAATACAGCCTTGATGAGCAGCAAAAAAATCTCAATGTTTTTATGAGACCTTACCTCTGCTTTATACTAATATTAATAAACGCACTGTTATAAGTGTGTTTAGTGTTGTTCATGTCAACACGTTAAGCTGGTCAATAAGGTGCTAGAATTTGATCATTAGATTTAATAGTATTTGGCCTCTTAAAAATGTTATTGAAATTATCTGATCATCAGTTGAAGCTAGATGAAGTGCCCTGTAATACACTGATCTGAAGTTTTATGAATAACCAAAAAGTTTTTTTTTTTAAATGTGCTGCATCTTATTTATTGAAAGTATTGGACCTTTAACATGCAACTTTGTATTATGGATTCAATTGTTGCATTTAAGTTGCTTTGCTTGCAGAATGCAGTCAGTAATAATTACACCTAAGCACTATTACCTCATTAGTTATTGATTTTCTGCCTGGGAAATTGACAAACTAATGGCATGCGTGTGTGTTTTTGCTCACTGTGTGTTTACAGTCTCCAGTTTAACAGCCTGGGTCCCGAGTCCTGCATTCTACTGCGAGATCTTCTACTTGAGCCCAACTGTACTATTAAGTCATTACAGTAAGCCTACTTTCAATAGCATATTGTAACTGTGATGTATTCATGGTTGATGGGTAGGTGACATTTTTACCGACCAAAAATTCCACTTCTGTTTTCCCAGTAAGCTTCATGTAATGTATTTATTAGTGGCATAGCAACTGTTCACTGATTCTTTAGACATGGGACAAAACATGTTAAATGTTACCTGCCTTGAATTTTGGAAATAGCAACACTTCCACTTTTGAAATTATTCAGAGATGATCACTAGAGTGTTTTTACCCAAACACACCATTTAATTTTAATTTTATTTACTCTTTATTTATAAAAGTACTCTCATCAGATCATAATATAATACTTCATGTAAAAAATAAATAAATAGATGAAAATAATATATATATATATATATATATATATATACAGTATATTATACTTATAGTAAAGTTTTTTAAAATTTTATTCATTCAGTTTTCATTTAGTTAAATTGTTAGTAATTATGCTATGTGATTTTAATTTTTTATAGATTTTTAAAAATATTACTATTTAGGTTGATTTCATTTTTATTTCAGTTGTTTTTTCTTTTAGTTAGCTGCCAGACCAACATTTTTATCTTCATTTGGTTTTCCATCTAATATTTATACTATTTCAGCTTTTTTTTAATTAAAAGGTTTTTATTAGTTCTAGTTTTATTGTCCTGACTCATATTTCATTTAATCATTGAAGTAAATGCAAAATTTGTAAATATTTATAATACATTTTTGACAATATTGGCCCATATAGAAATACGCTAGAAAAAAAAAACTATTCGTGAGAAAATGAAAGATGCCAAAAGCTGTGGCCAAATGTAAATGTATAACTGTGGCGATGTGGATTAACAGGTTAATCCAGAAAAAAAAAAAATTGATACATGAACTAGTTTTTCAGTTTCATACTAGTTCTCAAGAATCAGTGTGTTATGGAAAAAAGGGTTTCTTGTGAATTTTTTTGTTGCTCTGATCACAGGTTGTGTGACAACTACTTGACGGACGCCGGCATCAGCCATTTACTGGAAGCTCTGTCTGGTAACCACTCTCTGCAACAGCTGTATCTGATGCACACGGGCCTCGGGGACCAATCGGCACACATGCTGGCTGAGAAACTGGGCCAGCATAACATGTTGAAGGAACTGAATGTGGCCTACAACAACATCGGAGACAATGCAGCTCTTACACTGGTCGATGCCTGTCGTGAACATCCCAGCATCCACACAGTACAGTGAGTAGAAAAAGACATGTTTTTATTTAATAACCCCCCCCCCCCCCCCCCAAATAAAAAAATAACAAAATAAAATATATATATATATATATATATATATATATACAAAGTATATAAATCTTATAAATCCACCTAATTTCATGCTAATGTGTGATGTTAATAGATTTTTAATGTTTATACTTCCTCCCAGCCTGTACCTGAACCAGCTTACCGATGTGGGCAAGCAGTCGCTGCACGTGCGTGGTGTTCCTCAGGTGAAGGAGGGCCGGCGAGTGAAAGTCCTGGCCTCTGTAACAGAGGGTTCAGACATCTCAGAGGACTGGCATCCTATTCTGAGTGTAATTGGAAAGAATTCTCTTTCCTGGGATAGAGGCCGTGTACGCGAGCAACTGCTGGTTTTCCTGAAAGACCTGGAATGGGGTCGGAAACAGCACCCGAGTTTCTGGAAAAAAATGCACTTCCGGCGAGTAGAGAGTGTTGTGAGGCAAACTTTGCGCTTACTGGAAAAGAGCAGTAATACGGGTACAGGGAACGGTACAAAATGATGCAATAATGATTGAAGCTAAAGTGTCTAATTTCTCAAAGGGATATTTGTTGCTAATCCAGTCAGCCTTAAAGGGATAGTTCACCCAAAAATGATTTACTCACCCTCATGCCAGCCCTGTTGTGTGACTTTCTTTCTTCAGATCAACAAAAATGAAGATTTTTAGGAAAATCATCCTTCTCTGTGAATGGATTGGATTTAATGCACTGAATGGGTGGCACTTGGTTGACGCTTAAGAAACCTCTCTGCGATCATTTCGGTAATCCATTCGAGCCCATTGGGTGCATCAATTTCTTCTTCTCAAGTATGATGATAGGTGCATGTTAGGAAAATACTCTTATTTTAAACACTTGTAACTATGAAAACTCGAGTTCTTCTCAAGTTCAGCTTGACATGATTGTACGTGGTGAGGTGAAGTTTGCGTGGGAAGTAATGCTGAAGCACAGCCACTTCTTGCGCAAGCTTTACAGTGCACTTACGTCATGTCAAAACACCCTTCTCAAGAACGCTTGTATCACAGTAAACCAGACGCAATGTTAAAAAGTTAAAACACACCTATCGTTTCGCTTTAAATGACATTGATTCATCCACTGGGGTCGTATAGATTACCGTCACGTTCAACCAAGCGACACCCATTTACTCGCAGAGATCCAAAAAAACACATTTGTTTGTGTTTATCTGAAGAAAGAAAGTCACATTGGGCATGGCATGAGGGTGAATAAACATTAACAGAATGTTGATTTTTGGGTGAACTATGAACTAAATAATATTTCTCACTTGGTTAGGGTTGATTTTACTAATCATTGTTTTTACAGCACATCTGTCTACTTTAGCTTTAGATCATTTTGAGAAAACACTGTGACAAATGTGTGTTGTTTTATTGTTTGAGGGAAAGATCAATATATATTATATTCCATAATTTTTCAGATTACTACTTGAAAAAAACATGTTGCATGATGACAAATGTTGGCATTTACAGCCATCTCTGTGTAAAATCTTTACACAATATTTGAGTGTCAAATGGTGCTCTAGCCAAGGTTAAACCAAGTAAGGTTAACGAATCGTAATGTGCAATAAAATCAAAATAAAACTAAAACTGCTTATGTAAGACTTTTGTCATACTGTATTGCTTTGACTTTCAGTGAAAAGAAGCTGCTCATATTTCCTCAAAAACAATCAAGCTTATTTAGAGAGTTTGTAGTTAGTTGTTTTAATTGCAGTTGTTTATGTAATACATCCTTCATCTGATGATGGCAGTTGTCTCATAAACCTGAGATTAAATATTAATCTCCTGGTGGAACAAGGAGGAGTCATACTGACAAAAGCATTGTAATGCTTCATTTAAATGTGTACCTTGCACACTTTACGAAGACCAGGGCTCAGCAGGATCATGAGAGTCACAACAGGTAATTTGCCACTGTATATATATACATACACACACATATGTATGTACAACATTATATTCCATTGCAGTGATTGTGCAGCCTGTAATGTAAATGTTAGAAAATAACTTTTAATAGGGGTTTATTATTTATTTTTATAAACAAGTGGAGATCGACAAACTTTACTGTATAAAAAAAGGTCCTAAAGAAAAAGCGAATGAAGTAATAATGATAGATGGATAGGTGTGATATTAGCAGTGTCATAGTAATATATTTACATCCCTTTATTTCTTTTGTTGCACACTATTGAAACTACATTGTGAGAATTTGGAACATTATTTTTTAAAGATTTTCAAAAAAGTTATTTAAACAGTCGAAGAGTTACAATTATATAAATAAGCTGATTTCTTCATTACCTCTGTAAAAAATATTTTTTCTTTTTTAAAAGATTTTACAATGAAAGTACAGACAAAAATAAGCACTGAATCCGATCAGCTAAAGATTTTCCTTTTGAACTCTGACCTCAAGTCTTGTCAGCATTGTGTACAGATTGACTGTGTGATTGTAAGTCATATATCTGTTTACCTGTGAAGGCAAACTCCTGAGTGTTATTTTAAAGTAAAATAGCTCGGCCCTTGCAGTGCAAATTTTGTAAAAAAAAACAAAAAAAAAACAACAAAGTCCTGTTAAGGAACTGTGTAGAGGGTTTGAATCTATGGAAATGAGTAAAATAAAATATTGTGTCCTGTTTTTTCAAAACATTTTCAGAAAGGCTTAAAGGAGTAGTTCACTTTCAAAAAAACTTTTGCTGATAATTTACTCACCCCCATGTCATCCAAGATATCCATGTCATTCTTTCTTCAGTCGAAAAGAAATTAAGGTTTTTGATGAAAACATTCAAGGAGTTTCTGTTCAAAAAGGAGAAACTGTTCAAAGGGCTTTAAACGATGTCAGATGATGAATAAGGGTCTTATCAAGCGAAATGATCGCTCATTTAAAAAAAAAATGACAAAGTTTAAGTTTTATAAGCTCAAATGGTCGCCTTGCTCTGTTCTGTGTGACTCTCCTGTTTGAACTCTGTTAGAATCTTTTACTGAGTCAACTTGTTCATTTTGTTCGTTGAATGAACCAAATGACACAAAAAAGATTCGTTCATTTTGATTGTTTCACTTGATAAGACCCTTATAAATCATCTGGAATCGTTTAAAGCCCTTTGAACAGTTTGCACTGATACTGTCTTTTGGACCTTGAACCATTTGGACCTTGAACCACCTAAAAGGTACCACTAATGTGAGTTTTTGTACCTTTTTCTAGGCATGCTTTATTTTTATTAGTAAATTTTAATTGTTTACTATTACAGATCCAGTGGATGCCCCAGAGTTACCAAAGTAAGTTCTTCAGAATGTTCTTTTAATGCTTTGAGACTTTCTTCACGTATCTGGTTTACCCTGCAGTTTGTTTACATAAAAAAAAATAATAATTACAACACAGTGCAAATGTTTTCCACAGGAAGTTCACCTTCAACCCGAAAGAAGGGATCGACAACCCTGCTTTAGTGATCTCGGATGACAAAGGTTAGGCTACTTCCTTAATATTTTTTATCCAATCAGCAAATTATAGATCATCAACTTGCTTAAAGAAAAAGAGATTTGACATGCTGGATTAAATGTCCCCAGAGCCTGATGTGCATCCGCGGCTGTGTGTTCTGAAGCGGGAGGAGGGTCAGGGCTTTGGCTTCTACCTGAGCAAGGACCCTGGCTGCAGGGGACATGTGGTGCGGCAGGTGGAGCTTTGGAGCAGCGCAGAGCAGGCTGGGCTGAGGAAGGGGGACCGTGTTTTGGAGGTCAATGAGGACTTTGTGGATGACAAGGAGCACTCAACTGTGAGAGCACTTCTTTATGCAAACATGAGAGCTTTGTATTCTGTAAATTAAACACACAGACACTGGAATACAAATGATATTGGCAAGTAGATGCGCAGCATTAAGGGAGAGTTCACTCAAAAACTCCTGTTTTTTGCAAACATGTGATTTGGAATACAAATCATTTTTGTCCCTAGACAACATCATTACAACAAAATACCATGGCAGATGACAAATATTAGGGGAATATTACATGCTTAACTAATGAGAATCAAGTATTCCAGAGTGTTGGTGACAAAACAACAACGCTATCATTGTTCATAAATATACAATAGACTCCCGATATTCACATATTTTATACCAATATTCATCCTGAAAAAATAACAATTATATAATATTTTTTATTGAACATACCAGCAACGGTTCAATTTGTTTAATTAGTTAGCCTATACATTACGTAACTAACTAACTAATTATATAATTTCTTTATTAAACCAGTAACACTTTACAATAAGGTTCAAATTGGTTAAAATTAGTTACTAGCCTACATGAACTAACAATGAAAACTTACACAGCATTTTATTACAAATACTTACAATCATTTTATTAATAGCATTGTTTTTAATTTTAACATTTACTAATTTATTATAGAACTTAATTAAATATAATGAAGTAAATATAACAATATAATTAATATAATAATATAATTAAAAATATAATTTATTAAAACCTAAATACAAAATGACTAATCAAGGACAGGCAGGAAACAGAAACAAGACTCTCTGAACATGACAGAATATAAATGTTACACATGCATTAACCTTTGTTAATGTTACATAATATGGTTCAGATTCATGTTAGTACACAGTGCATTAACATATTAACAGATTTGATCTTAAAAATATATTAGTAAATGTTGAGATTCACCCTAGATTGTTAGTTCATTTTAACTAATAGGCTATTTAACTAATGTTGTATATAATGTTGTGCTTTATTTTAATATTATTTAATGAACTTAATATGAACAGATAACAAAGATTAACAAACATTATAACAAATGCATTGCTTTTTGTAGTTAATATTACTTGATGAGACCTTACTCTTTCTAGCATATATCCTGTGTATACTCGGTAACACTTTAATTTACAGTGTCCTTGTTACATATGTTCCCTGTACTTAACCTTACCCCCTAACCCTAGAGCGAAATACATGTTGTTAATTCATATTATTCCGTACTTAAATATATAATTACACTGTAACAATGACAGCTCAAAATAAAGTGTAAACCTAGTGTCTTGTTTTCAGGTGGTGCTGAAGGTGCAGGCGTCTGGGCTGAAACTATATCTATTAGTGCTGAGTGCTCAGGATTATGAGTTTGCAGTTTCGGAGAGAAGAGACCTCATGCTGCTTGCTAGAGCTTACCATCCCGTAGAGGGCTGTTCTCGCCCACGGTTATGTTACATCACTAAAGAGCCTGGGAGCGGCTTAGGCCTCAGCATCATTCCCATTGAAGGTACGCCTCATTTTGCTCTGCACTAAACATGTGTTTGAAGCTTAGATTGATGCATTTTTTTTACATTTATTAATTTAAGATGACTAGTTTAAGATTTGTAAAAATTTTATTCACAAAACAAGTTTTAGTTTATCAAGACTTCAAAGAGGTTACAGAATTTATCTCCCAAAAGCACTAAAAAGTAGGACAGACTAGGATAAATATACAGAATAGAATATATATATATATATATATATATATATATGTATGTATGTATGTTTGTATGTATGTGTGTGTGTAAATCTACAAAACATTTCTAATTGTATTTACATATAGCCATATAGCTCCTTGTGACAAAACATAAATAAAGGTTGCTGCAGCAAAATTTAAAATTGCTAAATTTGGTGACAAAAATACCATGGCAACACCACAAAAAAAAAACTTGCTGCAAACTGCTACAGCAAACACTGACCAACTATTTAAATGTTGAGCAACAAACTCATTGGCTGCAGACAAGAACCAATCAACTTGTTCCAGTTAACAATGTAACTGTCAGCTAGTTGCTTTAGCTAAACTTTTTGAGAATGGGGTTTAAAATGCACTATTCAAACTTAAATGGTTGTAATTCAAGAATGCTTTGGAATATATACCCAAGTTTGGTCTTGTTTTAAAGAAAGCAGTCAGCAGACTATTGCTGAAAAAAAAAATGAAAGTATGAAACAGTTATGGAAGTTTAAATTTACAGTATATCAAATATACTGTACTATATATTTTTATTTTATATAAAATATATATTTTACAAAATACTTTTTACTATAAAATCAAAGCCATAAATCTAACCAAATTATGTTCGAAATTTGAAGTTGATATCACAAAAATTGAAGTTCCCATGAGATTTTGTTTAGGCGTAGTACCAAAAATAGCCACCGGGTGCCATTGAATTCCATTGAATTTAGTTGTATTCTGCCTTAACAAATTAATAAATTTCTGTCCAAATATCAATTCTGTCACAAAATTTGGAACCTTGAGACTCAGACCTTTCTGACAATATGTGTTGTGTCAAGATTAGATAAGGTTTTGATCATAAATTATGAAATATAATGATGCCCAAAAGGGGAGGAGCCTGATAAAATAAGTACCGTTTCTATGATAACGCAATGTTCAATTATAAAACGCTTTTCACAGGATGAATTCTGAGTTTATAAGCTTTCAAATGATACATCGATTTTTTTGTGTGACAAAGGTCAAACCTCCTGTTATGATGCAGATTTTTTTAGGTTTTTTTTTGTTGTCATTATTAGATTAGGATTTAAAAGAAATATAGTGAAGTAAAGTTAGGCGTCCCAGTCCTGGGACGGTGAAGGGGGTTAAGGACCCATCAGCTTGATGGATGGATAGATGTCAAAGTGTACTAAATGAGGAACTAGATGAAAAAGTAGTTGATGTTTCAGCATGGTGTATGTGTACATGGATCATTGTGGACAGTTCTGGTTCATTCAATATTTGAGTAGGTGAGCGAGGCTGTTATCGTCTCAGTCCAGTGAACGATGGATCAGCTGAGAGAGCAGGAGTCCAGAATGGAGACAGGCTGATCTGGATCAACGGAGTCATGGTTTCAGCACTCACATATGCAGCACTGTCAAAAATGGTAAGTGTAGTCATGTGATATCTTCATTAGAATGTAATCTCCAATATTTTCAGTTTTAGGGACCACAGAGCTTCTAGATTCCACTTTGTTCCATCAGGTGAAGAAATGTGGGGACCATCTGACTGTCTTGGTAATTGACAGCAGGAGTGAAAAGAGTTATAATCGCTTGAGATTACCCATAATTCCTGCTTTCGCCAAAACTCATAATCTACCCTACAGACCAAAAACACTACACCTGACTCAAGGACCACAGGGATACGGGTTCCTCTTAAGGCAAGAGAAGTTACGATCTGGATGTATTGGTAAGAAATCAATCAGTTTATTAAAACTAAAACTATTAAAAGCTTTTGTAAACTGAAATTAAGCTAAAATTTAAATTGAATCTAAATATTTTATGGAAAACAAAATTAAATTAAAATTAAAAATAGTGTCTTGGCAAATAACTGAAATAAGTTTAAGTTGAAGCACTAAAATCGTCTGTAATAATAATAATTAAATAATTACTACACATATTTTATAAGCATTAATACTTGATTAAACATAAATATTAAATATACAAATATAATATAAATATTAAATGAAATACAGTAAATAATCAAGTTTAAAACTTACAAAATTGGACATTATTTTATTCCAAAGACTGGTTGGACATTATGTGATGTTATTTTATTTTTGATACATAGTTTTATGTTTCTCTTCAGGTTTATACATATAACATACTCTACTGGTGGGTAGAAAAAGAAAATTTTTCTTTTTTCAGATAATATTTTAAACATTGTTTTGTATTGTGTGTGTATATATTTACTACATATTATATGTAGTAAAAATAAAAAAAATACAATTTTAAATATATTTTAGGAAGGACGTCCCTTGTATAAAAGGAACATATTTCGGGGTCTATGGCATCAAATATTTTTTTAAATCCCAGTTTTAGTAGTCAAATGGGGTACTAGCCAGAAACACAGTAGACATTTTATTTGAGTATACAGTACATTTGCATCACTTTGTGATATATTGACTCTACAGCTCATGTATTACGAGAGATCGACCCCTGCAGCCCAGCTGAGACTGCAGGAATGGAGGATGGAGAGCTTGTGCTAGCAGTAAACGGGGAGCAGGTGGAAGATGCAGAGCATGAGGGCATCGTCAGCAAAATACGGCAAAGCGGCCAGCAGGTCACCCTAACCACCATCTCCATCCCAGGCAGAGACTATTACACACAGGTGCTTAATGCACGCATACGCACATGCTCAACACACTTGCTAAACGAACAGCTGCTAAATCAACATATTTTACCTCTGATTGAAGACATTTGACCCTGAGGGCTAACCAAGAGTCTAAGTTCATGTTCCTAATTCTTATGCTACACATCGAAACAGGTGTTTTTAAAATGAAATGAATGAATCATGAATGTGTGGAACAGACATGGACCCCAGGGAATGGGTGGGGTTGCTGTGACCTACATAGCATAGGAATCAGTATTCTTGCAGTAGTGCTTAAAATTATCACTGAGAAGGTGTCTGTTATTTGATCCACTTCAGCTGGGTATTTCTCCATTGCTGTTCTATGAAGACCAGATTCCAAAAAGGGAACAGTTCTCTAAACCTCTCCCACTACATCATGAGGGACACCAAAATCCAGCACAGCCTCGACTTTGTGTGCTTCAAAAGGAGCGCTCGGGATTTGGCTTCAACCTAGGCTGTGTTCAAAACAAGCCTGGGACGTATATCGGCCAGGTACTGTTTCTCAGTTTAGTTACTATTTTATTGGTAGATCTACTAAATGTCTTAAATGTTCATTAAAATTTTAGAAGTAATGATGTTTGTAGTAGGCCAATCGGTAAGTTAGCATCTCCCTGTTTCCCTTGACAAAAACCCAATAGGATTTTTTCTTAAAAGAAGCTGTGACCAGTACAAGTTCATAATTCTTAGATGTTTTCTACATCATGAAAAGAACACAACTTTTATGAATTTTGAAGCCTAAATGCATGACATATAATATCATCGACAACTTCAGTCCCAATTAGACACTTGTTGAGATGGTTCTCACTGCGGAACATGAAATCCATGGGGAGGAGTCGGATCCAGATCCAACTCCTCCCACCTTACATACACCTAAACCTACCCAACTCCGCCCCCTGATCCCTAAACCCACCCCTAATCCCTAAACCCAACCCTAATCCTACCCATCTCCACCCTTTGGATCTTGATCCGACTCCTCCCCGTGGATCTCATGTGCTGCATTGAGGTGTTACTGCACTTGTTAGCAAATGCCTTTTTCAAGATAAGTTTTTTTTTTTTGTAGTATTTATGCCAGACCAGTATGGGGCGCTGTAATTCTGCCTCAGAGATACACTATAAACAGAGAAGAAGACTTTGAGCATGCACATAACCTTGCGCGCTGTATACGAACCAAGAAGAATAAGAAGATGGCGTGTGACGCAGCCGACACGTGACGTGATGACATCATCGTTTCACTAAATATACGGATTGGCTGTACACACGAAACCGCAAGGGTGTCGTTTTCAGATTTATCCACTTTGGGACCCGGATTAAAAAAATATCGGTTTCACTCTCCCAAAACGCCGGATCCATGTGGACAAAATGCCAATACGATAAAAAAAATGTATACGTATACAACGAATCGCGTCTTTGTGTGGATGGGCCCTTAGCCAACAAAAATATGTCATCTTTGCAGTAATCTATAGCAAAAACTGACACAATGTTTTCACACAAGTCTCACTGAGCATGCCCCTCATATGCCATTGGTCGGGCAGATGATAGCCCTGCCCCCAGACCCATGCCATTGGCTAAGACAGGGTTGGGATGCTCAAACAAAAAGAATAACGTATTGTCATCACTACAATGTTTACACTTTCACCGAAAATAACTTGACTTATATTTGCCTTTGCATATTAAAGGAATAGTACACCTAAAAATTGTAATTCTAGCTTTAACATTGAAAAAATTACAGACTACAGCTTTAAATAAATATGCTTTCCCAAGTCTTTTCCAAGAAAACTGATATGTGTAATTCTCCTTCTTGTCTATAGGTGATGGCGGGGAGTGCAGGACAGAGAGCAGGGCTGTGTGATTGGGATGTGGTGGTAGAGGTGAATGGACAGAATGTGGAGGAAGAGTATTTTGATGAAGTAGTGAGACTGATAAAAGAGGGAGGAACTACTCTCAGGCTGCTAGTCGTGGAGGGAATAGGATATGAGAAACTGAGAAACACCAGACAGACTTCAGGTCTCAAAACCAGCCAGACTTTAAGTTCAAATGAGGTGAGACCTGCTCACACACATGCATGGGTTTTGTGATTTTAGGATTATTATTTTTTTTAATTTAAACATTGTTTTACAGGTTCCAGAGACTTCACAAGATGATTTTGTATGAATTAATATAACGAGGTAAAACATTCATTTTGTTAACTTATTTAACAATTTCTGTAAAATCTTAATTCTTTAAAAAAAAAAAAGTAATTTCAAATGTTTTGCACACACTTACGAAGATTGTCTTATGTATTTCAAAGATATTGACAAAAGGGAAAACATATTTTTTCAGAAAAAAGCAAATCTTCTTGTCTATTACTACATTTATTATTAGTGTCATTATACATAGTATCATCATATTTAATGCAGTCACAACACATATTTTAGTACAAATGTAATATACAGAATTATAGAGAGTATTTGTATACAATCAGGTTTACAGAAAGTGATTTATATTGTTGTATGACTGTAAGTATAAAAGCAACGAAATCTTTAACTCTTTATTATTTGTTTACACCTCATTCTGGAAACTTGCATATAGAGGTGTGATTTCATGCTAATATATAAGTTTTATTTCAAAAGTTTTTGATGACAGATGTGTAGCATGAGTGAATTTTCACCTTTCAGTATTTGAATTTTGAATATACAGATTTATATTCAAGAATGCAAATCATGTAAAATGTTTGCTTTATGCACTACATTAATACACTTTTTCCACAGTTCTCTTTTTGGTGGGTATTCTTCAATTCTGCAAGTCCAAAGACAAATAGTTAATTATTATATTCAAACAAAATGATTGCAGTTGCCGAGTCAGACTACGTTACACCATGCTGAATTAACTGTTAAATTACTACCAACCTGTGAGAATTTGGTCTAAGCAAGTAGCGACTCTTTCAGCATCCTCCATACTGAAGCACATTGGAGGTTTGAATTTGATGACACTGTCCCATGGTCCATCAGTGCTAATAACTATGCGCTCCTCTTTAAGCCTGAACAAATCAGAAAGTGCAGTTATCAGATAAATGCAAAAAGCTGAGAAAGAAGAAAAATTTCAAGTACCTTCGAACAAAATGTGCTGCTTCTTCTGTTGCTGGTTTTCGGGACACTCTGTCTTTAACTAGCTCCATACCTATAAACAGTCCAACACCACTGCAGAAAAAGGACAGGAGACACATTTGTTCGTTTTCCTCTTTGAGATTATAGCATGATGTTACAGTATCGGTATTTAATGAGGTCTCAGTTAAAATTGATTTTCTAAATTTCATGCTTACCGCACATCTCCGATGAGTTGATGTTTAGTCTGAAGCTGAAGGAGCAGCTCTTTAAGATGACCTCCGACACGCACAGCATTGCCTCTGAGGTCTTCTTTTTCTATCACATCTAAAACCGCCAGACCAATGGCACAGGATACTGGGTTACCACCAAACTGCATGGGATAAAAAGGTTAAATATTACCCAAACTCACTTTACAAAGGATGTAAAAGCTACATTCATTAGCACAAAATGATTTCTAAGCATAACGGTTCTCACTGTGTTGAAGTACTCCACACCATTGGCTGTAAAAGCACCAGCTATCTCCTTTGTAGTGGCCACACATCCAATCGGATGACCATTGCCCATTGGTTTGCCCATAGTCACAATGTCAGGGCAGAAGTCTTCGCCTTCAAGCTGAAAAGCCCAGAAATGACTCCCAACACGACCGAAGCCCGTCTGAATCTCATCTGCCACATAAACCCCTCCTGCTTCATGAACGTATCTGAGGGGGGAAAAACAAGCAGCTTCATTCAGCAGGTTCTGAATAAAAAGATGACACTCAACAAAAGTTACAAAAGAACTTACTCTGCTACTCTTTTACAATAACCAGTTGGAAAAATGATCTGGCCACCAACACTGGGTAAAGATTCAGCAAAAAAAGATGAAATCTGTGGACAAATTAAAGGGCCAGCTCATCAAAAAAAAAGTACATTCTTTCATCATTTACTAAACCCTAATATCATTCCAAACTAAAATAACATTGGATGTCATTGACTCTCATTGTATGGACAAAAAAATGGAAACTTTTAAAAAATATCTTCTTTACACAAAAGAGGTTTGGAATGACATGAGAGTGAGTATCTTGGGTGAACTATCACTTTAAGTAGGACAGTCAGTATATTTTTAGCAATAAATATTTAACTTTACGTTAATGACTGATTTTTCCCACCATACCTTGCGGCCTTTCTTATGTGCCTCTTCAATTAGACATTTCACGGTGTCTGCATAAGCCTGTCCAGGGTCAGGATGATCTTCTCTGTAAATACCGTGGTAAGTATCAGGAAGTGGTGCCTGTAGATATGCAAGAAAGTATGTTATGGAGCAAAAAGCCTTAAAAAGTGGTTTAAAAAGATGTATGTCTGGTACGCACCACATGAACCCATTCTTTTTGTCCCTCTAGTTTTCGGAACTTGTACGGGCTGATGTCGATGAGTGAGGTGACATGTCCATGATATGCACTGGAGAGGCAGGTAAACATGACATGAAAATAAGTCTGATGTAGCCATTACCTGCAGATATTAGAATCATAATTGTTCAAAATTTCACATTTTAAAATCTTACTGATCCAGCACGATGACATCCTGGTGTTGGGTATACTGACGGGCCAGTCTCAACGCAAGATCATTAGCCTCGGAACTTTGGAAGAAGACAGTATCTATATAAAATTTCACTGAATATTTATTTTAAACTGAATAAACAGAGTTACTTACCCTGAGTTGACAAAATAAAAGACACAAATCTTCTTTGGCAGTGTTGCTGCCAGCCGAGATGCATACTGCACTATATTATCATGAAGGAATCTAGTGTTTGAATTTAGAAGATCCATCTGAGCAGCCGCGGCCTGAGTGATGCTGGGGTGACAGTGTCCCACTACAAAGACGAGATGCATCAAGTGTCATCGTGGTTCTGTGATTCGTAATCATGACACTTGACACTTCCTGTATTGCTCTGGAAAGCCTATTTAAATTCAGTGGGATGATGACACGAGCTGATTATGTTTCTATTAGCATTCATTTTAGGACAATTTATAATGGTTTTACTACAGGAACATTAACTATGGTAGAAGTGTAGAAGTAGAAACGTTGTAGGAGAGTCAAGAAATATACTTTATTTGCGTAACAAATAAACCACTTTTTCAGTTATAATTTGTAGATGTGTTCTGACTACAATTATAAATGTGTTCTGACTTTTTTGAAACAAAGAAAGAAATACTTTTATTCAGCAAGAATGCCTTATCATTTTAAAAGTGACAGTGATTTCTATTTAAAAAATGTGTTCTTTCAAACTTTCTATTTATCAGTAAAAAAAATCCACAAAAATATTAAGCAGCACACATCCATTTTTAATCAAATTAATCTATCTATACAGACACATTTTTTAAATTGAATGACAGGGTGCGATTTGTGAAAAAAACAGAGAGAGAGGGGGGGGGGTGTTTTGAAAAAAAAATATTCATAAAAAATAAATCATGAGAACATGAACTTCATCACTGCATTTACACTGCAGGGAAAAAAAATCTTATTAACACATGAAGTATCCTAACGCAATATTTTTACTCTAACAGCTTCCCACACATTTGAACTGTGATCATGTAACGAAAACCATGCAATAATTAAATCAATAGATTAATAGGGTATGCAAATTTATATCAGCCTCTCCTGAACCACGGATTGATTGCAAAGTTAAACCGTCATAAAAACAGTTTTACTGCTGCTGTTAAGTGAAAGTAATAATGTTAATGTTACATCGCGATGCTGAGATACAGCAAAATGATAGAAAAGACAGATGCCTCATTCGCGCTGCAGAACCTCTAGACGCGCGCAAACGCGTCTTTACATCGATAGATTTAACATTGAAATCACTCGCACCAGATGTTCAAGAGTGAGTGAAACATCGTGTGTATAACTTCGGCCATTCTCAGTGACTGGGACACTAGCTCTGCTTGTCATCATAGAAACAGATAATCAGATTGTGATGTTTATTCTGAATGCTGCCTTCCTTTCTACACACAGCTCCACAGCCCAGTGCGGACATGCAACCGTCTCGCCAGTGTTGATAGGCGTGAGGTGTAATCAATCAGATAGCGCCGTGGGCGAGACATTGAGCAAGTCTGCAGACTCGTGCAGAGCGACAGCTATATGAGAGTCAGCCAAAGTAGCGCATTTAAAAATAAAATTGACTTTAATCAAACCACGGATCCATGATAAGTTTTCTGATCCGTTTCACCACTAGTTTAGTAGCACTGATCACTTTGAGGGAGGGGGGAGGGGGGAGGGGATAAAAATAATTAAGCAGAGGCAGGGACACACTGACCAGAAAGGGGGAAATCCCACGCATCCCCCCCGGCAAATCGCACCCTGAAGATACCCATATAAGCATGCCTGATATAATTTTAAAACTTTCTTACCATGTTGAACATTACTTATGCAATCTAAGTACTGCATGCCATTCTCATCATATAAATATTGACCCCGTGCTCTCAATATTTTCACGGGATCATTGGAGAAAAAGAGTCTGCAGGACTCTCTGAAAAGGAAAGAGTTCGAAAGAGTATTTAATCAGAAAATTGTCTAAAAATGGGCCTTTAGTTTAATAATTACAAACAACCCCAGGCCTTAACAGTGTAGCTAATATTTGATCCAACTTAACGTTAAGTTACCCAATTAGCTCCCTCCGCATTTGCAGAGTTTCGTCTTTGTGAAAAATTTCCAGAGCCATTCCAACGATACGGTTTCGTCGTCTGCTACCTGAGAAGACTTTGAACTGTAGAAATGGGAGGGAAAAAAAACTTAGAGGAAACTGTAAACACCGGACAGTGTTTCGTCCCTTTCTAATGACGTCACACACCGAGTACGATCTGGAGCTGCAGTACTGAACCACATCAGATTTACCATATTTCAACCCAAAACTAGGTATGGCATGCATCCACACTGATATTTATCAATGTATTTCTGCTATTTAATCTATTATTTACTTTACTGTGCCTTGAGTTTCCGTGTATCAGCAGCAGCATTACCAGCGCGCTGTCAGTTGCTAAGCATGTTGCTAGTTATTCAGCTAGATTGAGGCACCTGACAGTCAGTAAAGACTTCTGTCAGTGAGTGTCTTTGACTGCTATTAAACTCATGTTTATTAAGGTTTACATTCATTACGCATTTTTCAGACCACTGAGTGTTTGTCTATTGTAGTCTGATTTCCTGACAGCAATTAATATGACATGTATGTAGCAAGTTAGCATACCTGACCCTATCTGTTTTCTGCTCTCCTCTTGCTTAAATATGACTCCCAGATTAATACATTTGTTCGTTTTTATTAGTGACTCATCAGAAGAGTATAAAAAGGGAATAGTTTGGCTTGTAATTGTAAATATACAGTGTCCCATTCATGTAGGCAAACCCCTTTGCAATGAGCTTAGAATACTTTATGATTTACCTAGATGGATGTGGGCTGGTCTTGGCACTTGGATTAGATGCTCAATGTCATTTATGCATTTTTTTTCACTGTAGGCTATAAATACACCTGTTGATGGAGGACGTGCTCCAGGGAAATGACAGACCAGGGCAATAATAATCAGAACATCTCCAAAAACCCCTTCGCAGCACTCTTCAGTTCTCTCGCTGACGCAAAACAGTTTGCATCTGGCCAAAAGCAACCGCATCATGCTGAGCAACAATGTAAGGTTTTGGTAATAAGCACTGCTCTGCCATTATTCTTGCAGGATAACATTAATTTGATGGTACTTTGTAATTTTTTATCCCATATGCAGCTGTAGATTCAGGAGAGAGCCAGTCTGAGTCAGAAAATTCTGTGTCTGACAGCATCGATGAAAATGATGACTCGGTGGCAGAGATCAGCCGATCTTTCCGCTCGCGACAGGAGCTCTGCGAGCAGCTCAATGTCAACCACATGATCCAGAGGATCTTCCTTATCACTCTGGACAACAGTGAGTGTTAAACAACTACTTGTTATAAGAACTACATGTTCCCCATTATCTATAAGTATTTGGTGATTGTAAATTAAATAGTGTTGTTAACACAGTTTCCTATATAATCATAATAAATATACACTACCGTTTAAAAGTTTGAGGTCGTAAAAGTTAAAAGTAAGTGTCTTATGCTCAAGGCTGCATTTATTTGATAAAAAATGCAAAAAAAAAAAACAACAACCATATTTTATTTTTACAATTTCAAATGACGGGTTTCTATTTAAAGGGGTGGTTTTCTTTTTTTCTTTGCATGATTGTGTTTATGGTGTGCAATATAACATGTATTTGTGTTTTTTTCTTTTTTTAAAAGTCTTATTTTTCATAAATTTCCCCTTTATTGTAAGCCGCGTTGTCCTCTGTCCTCTGAACTCCACGCGTTTAGGACATGTCATTTTTGCAATAAAGACATTTTAAATAAGGAGTGCCTCGGTCATCAGAAATTTCTTTCTCTATACTGTCTCCTAGAGTTAAGAATATCTTTAAAAGCCAATCCCAATGCATCTTTTTCGTTATCTACATGTATATTAAAATCACCAACAATTAGGATTTTATCTGCACCGAGTACTAACTCCGATAGAAAGTCTGTATTGTCCCCTTGTTGCCTCTATACAGTAGCCAGCACAAATCTCGAATGTGATTTATCATTTACACTACATATTGTTACATTAAGCATCAACACTTCAAAATAATTATATTTGAAACTAGATAAGTATCTTAGTAATACTGAAAATATTACTATAAATTAGAGCAACACCTCCACCTTTGCCTTTCAGATGAGGTTCATGTTAATAACAGTAATCTTGGGGTGTGGACTCATTTAAAGTAATGTAATTGTTTGGTTTTAGCCAGCTTTTTCTCAAACACAATATGTCTAGGTTATAATCTGTAATTATATCATTAACAATAAGTGCTTTTGAAGCAAATCAAATGTTCAGAAACCCAAGCTTTATCATTTGCTCATTTGAATTATATCTGTTTTTTATTTGTTGAACATCAATTACATTTTTACCCTTAGATGGGTTTGGAAGTTGTTGTTTTATATATATATACATGATGATATCTAGGTGAAAGAGTCTCTATGTGATGGTATTTATCTGACTTTGGTGACGTGAGACAGCTAACAGATGGTTGGTTTAGCCAGTCTGTCTGCTTCCTGACCTGAGCCCTAGATTGTCATGTATGGGCTCTAAGACAATGTGCCATATTACTAGAGAGAAGAGCAGCACCATCCCAGGAGGGATGAATACCATCTCATGACACCATCAGAAGTGACCATATTTGGGTCATGGTGACCTTCCAGTTGTGAATCACTACTTTTGAGATGCTTTCTGTAACCGGTCCATTTCATGCGTATGCAAGTGTACTTCTAGATAGTTTGGGAAGAAAGGGACATTAGATTGTTTATAGTAAATGACTAATTTCTTGATGATTTAAGTTTAGGTAATCGTATCACAATGACATGCAGTTTCCAGGCAGTGCTGCAGATGACCTCATCCACTGCAGTTTGGTTCATTACGTCATTTATGTTGCTTTCATTTGTGTCTTTATCTTTATCCTCTACATCTATCTACTGTCCATCGCACTGGTCTGTTTGCTATTCAAATCTTTAACACAATTTGTGTGAGTCATGCTGAAAGAGGCGTTCTGAAAACTTGATGTCGGAGCCATCATGAGCCATTAGAGCTTTTAATAATTCTCTATTATCAGTTTGGGACAAGAAAGAAAATAAGGATTTTCCTCAGTCAGAACACAATTAATTGATCAAAAGTGACAGTAAAAACACATATAATGTCACAAAAGATTTAATTTTCTCTTTAAAGATTCATAAAAATCAGAATGATTTCTGAAGGATCACGTGACACTGAAGACTGGACTAATGATGCTGAAAATTCAGCTTTACCATCACAGGAATCAAATACTTTTTAATATATAAATTGTAACAATATTTCACAATATTACCGTTTTTACTGTTTTTTTTTTTTAAATCAAATAGATACCGCCTGATGAACATAAGAGACTTCTTTCAAAAGCATAGAAAAATCTTACCGACCCCAAACTTTTAAATGGTTGTGAATATGTGAGTTCATAATATGCACCAAGAATGTATTTATTGTTGTATTAAGATATTGTGCTTGTAATGATCCGTGTTGGTTGAAATCTTTCCAGGTGACCCCAGTCTAAGAGGTGGTAATGGCATCCCACCACGCTGTGTATACCTCGAGGAAATGGCCGCTGATCTTGACGGCCAGGACTGGCTTAACATGGACACCATAGAGCAGGTACAATATGTTAAGTGTTTCTTTCTTTTCCAAATTTGTGTAATATACAGTGTATATAGACATTCCCACATATATTATGAACTTTGAATAAGAATAATATTCCTTCATTTGCCCCCTCCAGGCTTTGTTCAACAGGCTGCTTTTGCAAGAGCCAGGTAACCATCTCATTTACATGACCTCCTGCAGTGTAGTGAATCTCTCAGCAGATCGTGATGCTGGGGAGAAACGTGCCATACCGTACCTTTATGCCTGCTACCAGAGAGCTAAGGAGGAGGTATCTTCTGCAGATTCTATACATTGTCGACCTATATGGTTGTGCCAAAAGAATGAAATGCGTCTGCTCATTGCACTGTTTATGCTCGTACTCTCTGTTTGTGACTGACTGAATGTGTTAATGTAATTCAAAATAACACAGGTCACTAAAGTCCCGGAGAAGCTGTTGTCGTATGCTGTTCGCTGCAGAAACCTGACTTTGTCCAATGCCCGCACGGTACTGTTGACCCCAGAGATCTACATCAGTCAGAATGTTTATGAGCAGCTTCTGGACCTGTTGCTGGAGGCTGTGAGAGGAGCCCGTAAGTGTCACATTTGATTTGTCATATGATATGTTTGAAAGTCCTGAATTGATTCCATGTGTTTGTGTCATGGTCTTTGCAGAGTTTGAGGAAGTTGTGGAGTTTTTGGATGAGGTCATCGCTATTCTGTTGGCTGACCAAGAGGTGCGGACCTTCGGGGAGGTTATGGTGCCAGTGTTTGATATTTTCCAAGGCCGGGTCAAAGACTTAGACCTCTGTCAGCTGCTGCTGTATTCCTATCTGGAAATTCTCCTGTACTTCTGTCGACACAAGGATATTTCTAAGGTTTGCAATGCTCTGCAGTTTCCTTTCATACAGATCTGAAATATTTTTGGATAATAATATTCTGATCCTAGGTTTTAATGGAGCACAGTCAGCCCAAAGATCCCAACAGTGGGATTCAGTATCAGAAAACACTTCTGGGAACGATCCTGAATATATCATGTCTGCTGAAAACTCCTGGTGTGGTTGAGAACCATGGCTTTTTCCTCAATCCTTCTCGCTCCAGCCCACAGGAAATGAAGGTTCAAGAGTCGAATATTCACCAGGTGTGTATAAAATTTACAAAAAGCTTTTCAGGCTTTGTGACATTAAGTCTAACCCCTTTCGTTTCTTGTCTTTCCATGTGCTAGTTTATGGGGCAGTTTCATGATAAGCTGTATCAGATTCTGAAAAACCTACTTCAGCAGTCCAGTGAGACGCGCCACCTGCTGCTCTCATGGCTGGGTTGCTGCCTGCAGGCCAACATGGGGCGGGCAAAAATCTGGGCAAACCAGATGCCCGAGATATTCTTCCAAATGTTTGCTTCGGATGCGTTCTTCTTGAATCTGGGAGCTGCCCTGCTCAAGCTCTGCCAGCCGTTTTCTCGACCCTACTCCCCCAAACTCCTGACCTTTAACCCCACGTACTGCTTGCATAAGGAGCTGAGTGAGGAAGAGCGGCGTAACAGAAACGTGCACGCTAGAGGTGATCTACCTGTGCTCCACCTTAATTTCTTATTTCTTTTCAGACTTAACCATCTAAACTGATTATACTTCCCTCTACAGGTTTGGACAAGGAGACATGTCTGATACCTGTGCCCCCTCAAAAAACGGTTGAATTTGCCCAATCATACAGCCTTCTCACAGAAAACCTCATCCTCACACAACTTACCCTGTACCTGGGCTTCCATAGGTAACACTTCATTATGAAAGAGTCATGCTTTTTTTATTATAGAATATATATATATATATATATATATATATATATATATTACACAGTCAAACCAAAAATTATTCAGTCACCAGTTTATATGTGTAATATATATATATATATATATATATATTACACAGTCAAACCTTTTGGAAATTACACAGCATTCTGTTGGAAACACACTGATTTGCAGAAATAAACACATGTTTTAATGGTATTTGTTTGCCAGACTTCATGATCAGATGGTGAAGATGAATCAGTCTCTCCACCGGCTCCAGGGGACGTGGCGGGACACACAGCTCAGTGGAGGCCCAGCCACAGAGCTACGGGAACAATTTGAACGCCTTATGACAATCTATCTTTCAACCAAGGCTGCTACCACGCAGCCCGCCATGCTACAAAACTGCCTCAACCTTCAAGCCTCCTGCGCCGCCCTGCTGGTTCAGCTCAGCCTGGGCAACCAGGGCCCTGAACATATCCCGCTCACCTTTCCCTTACCTGCACTGGAGAACAGCCTGCTATGCTTCGTACCAGGTATCCCTGTTTTTATTTTCCTTTTGAGTAAACACCTTGGCAGTCGTTGCAATTATTTTGAACACCAAATCTCCTGTTCCTTTCACAGAGTTCTTTGCTGAAAACATGGGCGATTTCTTCATATTCCTCCGCCGCTTTGCTGACGAGGTGCTGGAGTCCTCGGCGGAAAGCTTAGAACATGTCCTGACCTTCATCACTGTGTTCATGGGCAACGTTGATAGGTGTGAGCCAGTGTGATGCTGAGTTTCTCACGTGTTTTGTGCATGCCATGTGGCTTGTTGTTGACTCTAGGATATTCACTCACAGAATGAAGAATCCTCATTTGCGGGCAAAGCTGGCAGAGGTTCTTGAGGCAGTGATGCCCCATATGGAGACTCTGTCACCTAGCGCTACCCAGCCCATCATGTTCCAGCGCCAAAGGGCGTTCAGCTCATATCGGCATGCACCCCAACTTGCTGAAGCCCTCATTACAGTGTTTGTGGATATAGAGTTCACTGGTCAGTTTCTGAAGTATTTGTCATTTCTTTATTTGATTATTACAGCCTGTATAAGATTTTGTCTACGGCTTATTTCTCAGGTGATCCTCATCAGTTTGAGCAGAAGTTTAATTACAGGAGGCCAATGTATGCCATTCTAAAGTACATGTGGGGAGAAGAAAGTTACAGGGAGAGCATTAAGGTGAGAACCAGGCAGACATTTTATTATTCAAAATAATATTTAATGTTGCTTTGGAATTACTTAAAATGAATAAATAAAAGAAGAAAAGAAAATATGAAAGAAAAAAGCTTACAGGATAAAAATCAATCAAATAAAATCTAAAACAATGTTTAAAAAAATGATAAAATAAAACAATGAAATAATGAATCCATTTTACATTTCATTTGTTACCATTAGTTAACTACATAAATTAACAATAAACAATACTTCTACATTTCAAATCTTAAAATTTGAATCTTAACATCTGTTAGCATTAGTTAATGCACTGTGAACAATTGTATTTTTATAAGGTTGCATTATGAATGGTTAATAAACGTTGTACAAAATTATGTTAACAAATAAGACATTATTGTAAAGTGTTACCAACTAAAAAAATTGTTTCCTCACAGCATCTTGCAGATTATGCCTCTAAAAACCTTGAAGCTATGAATCCGCCCCTCTTCCTAAGGTTTCTCAATCTCCTCATGAATGATGCAATCTTCTTACTTGACGAGGCTATACAGGTACTTCCAACCTATTTACACGGGTGGTAACAGATCAAGAGGGTCGATCAAGATCAAGTTAGCTTGGTTGTTTAATTACATTAATATATATTAACCACGATATGGTTGGTATCAGGAAACAGATTAAAGATGCGTCACTCACAAATGCATCTGTTCCTTCCAGTACTTAAGTAAAATCAAAATCCTCCAGCTGGAAAGGGATCGGGGAGAGTGGGACAGTCTGGCCCCTGACGCCCGCAGAGAGAAAGAATCTAGTCTGCAGATGTTTGGACAGCTGGGTCGCTTCCACAACATCATGTCAAATGAGACCATTGGCACCTTGGCTTTTCTCACATCTGGTAAGAGACGTGAAAGAAACCAAATGCACTAAAATATTAACATCACTGAACTATTATTCATTTTTGGGGGTTTATAAACTACCTGACAAATTTAGACCTGAACAGAAAGATTTGAAATAATTGTTGAGGGAAGAATTTGGCTTTTAGAGTATTAGAGAATAAAAAATAGCACTGAAACTCTGTATTTATTTTTTCCCTCCAGAAATAAAAGGTCTTTTTGTTCACCCCTTTCTTGCTGAGAGGATCATCTCGATGCTCAACTACTTTTTGCAGCACCTGGTAGGCCCCAAGATGGGCGCCCTGAAGGTGAAAGACTTCAGTGAATTCGACTTCAAGCCCCAGCAGCTAGTGTCAGACATCTGTACTATTTACCTAAACCTGGGGTAGGCTCTTTGTTTGTCTAATTAAAGGCCTGGTTTCACAGACAGGATTCATTAAATTAAGACATTTACTTGTGTGCATCTTGAGACATAGCAATGGTACTGAGATGCCAGTGCAAGTTGCTTTTAGTTAAGGCAGCTCAAACATGCATTTTAGTCTGGGACTAGGTTTAAGCCTTGTCTGTGAAACTGGGCATGAATTTATGTATTTATTTGAGAATAATATTGACTAAACTAAGTAAACTATTATGGATGCTTTTTTGGCCACAGAGATGAAGAAAATTTCTGTGCCACCGTCCCAAAGGATGGAAGGTCATATTCTCCCACTCTCTTCTGCCAAACTGTCCGCGTCCTCAAGAAAATCAACAAGCCTGGCGAAATGATTGTATCTTTTAGTATCCTAGCAGATAAAATTAAGGTTAATTTAATCGCTATACATATTTATCTTAGAAACACACCTTTCTTAGGAAGTCATGGGTGTGTTTATGGTAATCTTGTTGGTTTTTTGTGTCTCCTTCAGTCCCTTGCAGACAGGCATCAGCAAGAGGAGGAGACCTACTCTGATGCTCCGGATGAATTCCTGGATCCCATCATGTCTACCTTGATGCTTGATCCGGTGCTGCTACCTTCTTCAAACGTCACAGTGGACCGTTCAACAATAGCACGACACTTACTAAGGTGAGCCATGTATACAACTTTACAGACAGTGTTATTTTAGTATTATTTATGTACTGTATATACTATTATAGCTCTAGGATTAGCTTTTATCATTTTAGTCATTTTATGTGCTTTTGTATTTTATAAATAGCTTTAATAACAGTTGCAAAGGTAACATCATCCTATATTGATATTTTATTTATTTCGGCTTCACAGAAAACTGTTTTAATAGCTATGGTTGAAGTTTACAATAACAGAACTGCTATTTGAGTAGGTAAAATAACAGTGTCTTTCTTGTCTTTTTTGCTCTAGTGACCAGACAGACCCCTTCAACCGCAGTCCGCTCACCATGGACCAGATAAGGCCTAACGCAGAGCTCAGGCAACAGATCATAAAGTGGCTTGCTGATCATACGCAAAGCAACCAGCAAATGGGACCTAGTGGCTAAACCACATTACTCCCCTCCCCCAGCACCCAGGCATGCTCTGTATGACTAAGCCATTCAGATGTTTCTAGCCTCTCTCATACCGCTTTGAAACAAGAACATTTAACCACATTTGGAGGAGCACGTCTGCATTTATGCTTCTCAAAGGTCAAATGCAAATCTCAAAATGTCATAATACTGTAGCATATTCAGCTATCTGTTCTCTCAGACTTCTCTGACGCTCGAGGTCTCTGTAGGCAGAACTCAAACTTTTGCATTTTGCCTTTACAAGCTGCTCACTGTGGGAAATAAAACTTTGGTTTATAGACAGATGATGACATGTATAAGGTTTGCTTACCTGTTCAGTGCATTTGCCCTACCTCTGACTTAATTCATATGTATGCAATCTTTTATATGCATTGCTTATTTGTTAACTTAGAAAGTTAGAATGTAAGCAGTGTACCTTGTATGATATTAAGGAAGAAGAGTTGTGGCCTCATTTGGTATTAAGGAAGGAGGATAATGTTGGCTGCAGAAGAGATTAAAATGTCAGAATATTTTGCTAAGATCATCAGCATTATATTCCACAGAGTTTCAGTTTCATAGTTGTACCTATTGGTTTTAAAGGCATTTGTGCTCCATTATGCAACAGTCACACGTCCTTTTGGGCTGGTCGGGAACTCGACCATTTGTCAGAGTGTTTTTGTTCATTATGAACATTTTATGATTGAAGCATTTGCTATAATATGGACTTTTATGAGACTTGTTAAGAATATTGAGCTCTTGTTGAAATGTTTGGAAATACCCCTGTACATTTTTCAAGAATCCATTGTCTTTTAACAGCGCAATATGTCCCGAGTAATGACTTGTTTGACTGCTGAGTCAGCCCTATGACCTCCTCTCATGCAGAGTGACATCATGCCCTTTTGTTAACTGTTGCAAAACTGCATGCTTTGGGTGGATGGACTTTCCTTCTGACATTTGTCTTAAAAGATGACATTGATAGGACACTGTCCACTCAGTGGCTTCAGTTGTGAGAGAGTTGCATTAGACTGACCCATTAAGTTTTGTAGGGTATATCTGCATTTTGATTTTCATTGAATTGTTCATTTCAGTGAGTTAGTTGGGTTTTCTAAATTCTTTGTTCCCTCATACGCTCAAGACCTCATCCAGTCAATAAATCTGGCCCCATGAATTCTCAAAGCAAACATATTTCTGTCTGTTGAGATGTGCATATGCAATCATTTGTCTCTTTTAATCACAATTAAATAACTTTAACTGAACTTGAGTTAATAGCATTAAAGGTGGTAGATATATAATGTACATGCTAACATGTCCCTCTTGAATATAGAACAACCAGACTTTCTATAGTGGTATTAGATGAATGATTATGTCAAATTAATCAATTGAACTGCCCCAAATAACAGCATGCTTCACTGATGTTCATTTTATTTTTTAAACTTTTTTAAATCATGTATTAATTGTGCTTATGGCTTGTTTATTGCAATAAAATAAAATAAAAATATGTATTGTACTTCAAATTTCCAAAATAAAAAGCAGTGATGTGTAAATTATTACGATTTATTTTTAAAACTGTTTGTCAAAGGCTTTCAGAAATGTATTGTAATTTTGCGTTTGTGGTTCTTTAAAATTCACAATAATTACACGACAATTTTATTTATAAAAAAAAACCCCAAACATCTCATGGGTCAAAACATTGCTGTTTGAGCAACCTGAGACGGCTACATTACCTCAACCCATGCCTTTGGTTAAGGGCGGGGCTATTTGTTTCCCCCAACCAATAGCAGATGGGGGCGTTCAGAGAAACCTGTATGAAAACAGTCACTATTTTTGCAATTCCGTTTGGTGACTGTAGGAGTGCCAAAAAATGCATCCGTAATAGAATATAATTTGTCCAAGCTAATAACATATTACAGTAAAAGCAGCTAATGTTTAAAACGTAACTATTTTCTGTAATATAATTAAGTTCTTAAAGACTATATCTCAAACATAAAGGCCAAAAGTGTACGGCATTTTACTAAGCAGTGTTCCTGTGCCTGATGTAGAGTTTTTTTCCTCCCTTCCTTGAGTAACCTGCGTAAAAACATCGCTGAGCGTAGTCTGCGCTGGGATCTTGTCGGGGTCCTCGGTACCACCACCCTGAAACATGGATAATCCATTCTGACTGCTAGACTAGAGCGGCCGTGTGCTTGAAATCGCTCGTTCGGGGCCACGCCCACACTGAGCTCCTGATCCTAGGGCAGGCAGGCAGAGTGCAAAATGGCGCACAGCTGTCGGTGGCGGTTCCCTGCTCGGCCCGGAGGGAGCAGCAGCTCGGGCACCGGGAAGAAAGCGGGCCGAATTCGAGTCAATGCTTCCCTCCTAAACAGCGCGGGGACTAATCTGACCGCGAACGGGCTCGGGCCCGGTTTCGACGCTGCGTTGCAAGTGTCCGCTGCCATCAGCAGCAACCTGCAGAAATTTCGGGATGTTTTGGGGGAGTCGAGCGGCTCCAGCAGCGGGGAGGTAAGCGGGACCCAGGCTAAAGCGTTAGCCTCATTCACGATGAATAAGGAATTACAAATAACTCCGCGGCTGTGTAACGTTAGCAGCTCTAACTTGCTCAGAGAAGAGGAGAGTGAGTGAGAGAGTGAGTGAGCTAGTTATTTTGCTGCGCAGCAGACACATGCCTCCATCCATGTGCTGTTTTTCTCACTATGGGACCACTGACAGGCTAAACTGCTAGCTAGCCCACATCAAAACACGCACCTATTCAAAACTAATGACTGATGTTGCTGTGCCTTTGTAGTCTATCTATGTGTCTATGTGGAGGCGATCGGGCATCATATTTCGGGACTCTGAAGAGTTTACTGCCATTTTTGACAGGATGGAGATGCGAAGCCAGATAACTGTAGACTGCTCTGGGCTTAACTTCAGTTTTACTCGGAGTCTCGTGCGTTTCATGTGACACAGCTATTTGAATTGAAACACCTTGAAAGCACTTTTTAAGACAGTTTAACGTCCAGCTTCTGCCATTAAATCAAGTCCAAGAACGCTTAAAGACACATCAAGGAAGGATGAGGTTTACAGATATTAAGCACCTTTCAGTTACTCTGGTCATTTTAAACTGTTTTTTTTTTTCATCTCAAAAAGAGATTAAATGACATTTGATGACTCGATATTGGACTTCCAAGTTAGCTCACTGTGTAACGTTATCTCACCAAAAGACTGGTGGTGTATAACGTTAACGGAATTTCATATTTTAAAGAAATAAACTGGTAAGGGTGTTTCAATAAGCATAAACGAGCAGATTTTTTTAGCAGGACTGAACACCCTGTGGCAGTTGGTTGTTGTTGTCTGAGCATTTAGCGATAGCTCGCAGAGTGCATGTATCCCAGCTGTGTTAGTTAAACTTCAGTTTAAAGTGTTGGCGTTGACGAAAGGGTAGATTGAGCTCAGAATATGTAATGTTCTGTTGCTAAAACTACTGTGGCCGTGCATGTGTGCACTTCTGATATTATTTTGCCCAGCTATAACGTTGCATTGCCCTCTAGCTTGGGTTCAGAAATGGATGATGCTAGTAGCAGTAAACAGTGTTGCTATACAAATATGCAGCATCGTGTGTTTTTGTAGCGAAGGGTGGGTCATATATTCACACATTGTTTATTTAGTTGCAAAAGTTTGCCAGGTGTAATTTTAAACCTCCCCTGTTTGATCTCCTTCACCCTCGAGAGGAGGCTGGCTAACGCGTTAGCCTGTTAGCATCCACTGATGCACAGGAAAATGGGAGGTGGACATGTTTTTTTCCCTCTCAGATATTGCGTAGTAGCAGTACGCATTCGGAAAAAAATTTCATTTCTAACCAGAATCAAGTGATTCCTGTGCAAAACCTCACCGAGGCTACAAGGACCATATGTTTAATCAAAGACACGGTAAGTGCGGTGTTTTGAGCGGTGCAAACGGCTGCTGCAATAAAAGAGTGTATGACGGAGGTTGTTATGTGTGGGGGTGTGTACTGTGACAAACTACCATCTTCCTTTCTCAGTAGTAGAGCGCTGCGCATCGGAAACGCGGGGAGATCGAAACGAGAGCAAGCTGAACCATAGCGAGCTTGATTTTATGTTTCGCCCACTGGACATTTTTGCTTTTGAAAACGTCCCGTGGATTTATTATTAGACATGATGTCTTAAGGCGTGTTTATAAATAAAGTCTACTCACCATATTTAATTAATCTCATATATAACATTTTTTTTTAAATAAAATATTTAGTTCTTGTACTTTTTTTGGTACATAATGTTGTGGTTTGTTTGCCATGTAAATCACTCAGTTTCAATGTCTACCGTTATTTGTTTATAATTGTACATGTATGTAAATAGTCACCATTAAATCAAAACATACCTATTTTTCCATATAGTTATTTGGGTCTCATTGTTAAAATGTGTGTTATTGAAAACAATTGTTTTTACAGGCTTTACTAATGCTTTAATTAAGGCGCTAGGCTAATTATTGTAATAGCTTGCTCCACCTCTAAAACAACTTTTTTGTCTCATGATGTCACTTAGGCCATGCAGGCTATTGAATAATGCTAACCAGTAGATAACATTGACTATTAAAGGAACATTGTTTTGTTTTTTTCTTTTTCATTGAATATCCTGATTCATTCATAAATATGCCTCAGTTAGATGTGAACAAGTTTGTGAATGTCAGTGTATGTTGACTTTAAGAAATGACTGTAAGAATAGCAACCAAACCATACTTTTTTGTGTGTGTGTACTTTGTTGCAGTTCAGTATGCTTTAATACACAATTGGAGCCTTTTTGAAGAGTGCTCAATTAAAACACGAATCCATTTGTGAAACGTATATAGTGTATACAAGCCAGACAGACGGCTAAAATCCCAGCGGAGCTCGCAGCTCATGCAAGCTGCGGACACAGCATTGTAGTTTCATTCAGAGGGGATGTTGTGCCTGGGTAGGATTGTTCTGGTTCATCGCAGCCCGCTGAGCTCACAGAGCAGCCCTAGGCCAGTAGCGTGCTCAGTAAACAGAAGCACGCCGCCCCTCCTTCCCATCAGACACAAATCCAACAGCACGGGCCCACAGGGCCCCCAATAGGATTTCACTTCTGATGGCTGCCTTTTAGACTACATCATTAACCCATTTGGACGGCTTAAAATGTTTACATAGAGGTAAATACGTCTGCGTGATTTTCGTGCAGCGTCAGAAATCGCAGCTTGCTTTCCCTTTGATCTTCCGAACCATATTTTCGTCTAAATCTGAAGTGCAAATACAAGACTGTGGCTGTTTGCTAGACAACTGTTACTTTCAGGAGGTGTCCTGTTTAAGTCTCCATTCATCGGTTTCTTTGTGTGGGACGCCATTTGGCTTGCCTTTTAATGTCCAGAGTAAAGCCCCGCTTACAGAAGCAGAATGAGGATCAATATCAAGGCCTCGTACAAAAGTGCATTTGAATGGATACAGCAAATGAATGCTTTGCTCCGCTGCTTTCTAATGAATGGCGTGGCCTATACGGAGGGAAGAAGTCCAGCAGGTGTTTGGCCTATTTATCTGGAGAGGGCCCTGTCCCCTAGACAGCGTGTGGATCATAGCAGGAAGCTTTGTGTCTGCTTTTATTCCAGCCTTTATGGAGTGCAGGCAGCTGAAAGAGCACAGACGTGGATATCAAAGGGTGAAGAGCAAGCCCTCCTCCCCCTGGGACAGCGCTGGGAGGGAATTAGACACAGGCCGTCCCATCCATGGCTTTATTCTGCTTTTGTAGGCGGGCAGAGGGGGTTTCGTCCTCGCTTTTTGCTCTGGGTGGGGGGGAGCAGGGGCAGCCATTGAATGCATGGAGCAGTTCTCTCCAAATTTATGTCCCTCATTACACCTTGCAAGAGGCACATTTGTTTTTATCTTAAAGCCACTGCTCCTCATTAGCGTGGGTGTGAGGTGTTGGAACATGTTGTTTCAGAAACTCAGTTCTGGGTGCTTTGAATGTGGGTGCATGAGCAACATCAGATCAGAGCATTAAATCTGCATCTCATGAAGGGAAATTTCTCCTGATGCCTTTTGTGTTTTGAAAGTATTTTGAGAGGCTTGAATAATCGTCTCTTGCAAACTACCTGGGTTCCCCCGCCAGTTTCGTTTTTTAGAAGGGGGTTTTGAAACAACCTGAACTATTTCTCATATGTGACCATGTAGAGGGCACTTTTTTTCTTTCTTTCTTTTTTCTGATATGTTCAGACATGTTTGTTTTTTTTGTTGCTATGAGTTGTCCTGGGTTTGTCCATTTTAGCCGTAAGCTGGGAATGCCGTCAGTCTGACCCCAATTTAATGTTTCGTGCATTGCATTTATCTTTAATGCTGGCATTTGAGAGAATCTGATGGCTCAGCACAGTTGTCAAAACTTCTCATTGTTTAGAAAATTGTGATTCAGTGAATTTATGAAAGGCCTACTATAACATATCCCCAGGCTTAGAGATGATAATCAGTTACATATCTTGATGTGGATATGTTGGCTTACTGTGATTACAGTGTGTGTGTGTGTGTGTGTGTGTGTGTTTTGGTATCATTGGCCACACACACAGTAGTGCAATTATGTCCCGCTCTGGGGAGGGAGAGTTGCCAGGTTGCAGTGTGTTTGCCAGTTTATGCCCAGTTTCTTAAGCGAACTGTAGATGCCATGTTGAGCAACTTTCCTGGGTTTGTGACCATCTGCTCAGAACAGGATGTAATGAGTTTATGTAAACACATAGTTTATGTCTTGTTTGCTTACCTTTCATTTATGGGAATTTCAAAGTGGCACAAACAAGTGCTTTTATCTGCTCTTTTTAGAAGGGAGATTTGATCCTGTCCTGTTACTTTGCATATTCACGTGTTTGGTGTTTTGATGATCATTTTTTTCACAACTCGACATTCTTAAAACCCAGTTGCTAAACCTAAAGCGTTTTTAAAATATATCCAAGCAGCATCAGCATCAGACATTTTTATAATGACTTTTAACCAGCTGTTTTCAAAGTGATTTAATAACTTCTATTTAAAATTAAAATAAAACATTTATTATTTTTAAGTATTATTTTCTAGTAGCACTTTACTACTATTATTATTTATTATTGTTTGTTTTTCTTTCAAATAAATGCAGCTTTGTGTGAATTTATGTAATGTAAATACATTCATATTTTTTATACATGGCTTAAAGGTACAATATGCAAGATTACAATATACAATACGCTTCGTATCTCCAGAGCCCGGTCCGCTTGTCCGGGACAAATCCAATTTTGATAAAGAGTATTTTACTTGCCCGAACGGACAAGTAGCCTGATTTGAACATCAATAACAAACAAAAAATAATAACTAGGGAATCACTTAACGAGAGAATGATTCTGATTTTGTTGCGATCGATTGTGTTTGTGGATAATGAATGTAGAATTAGCCTACTGACGGTGAGGTTGCACTGTTGACGCTTGCGCAGCCTCTCGAGGAGAAATCTACACACATGAGCGCAGCACACACACACACACACACACTCAGTTAAGAACATAGTGCCTGTAAAATATCTAAATGTGTAGTTTCTATATTTTAACATATGTGTTAAGAAACCTCAATTATTTTTCCTGAATACCATCACGATTGAAAATGTGACATTGATTTCCTACAACAGTTCAATAAACAATAACATTTTAGTCACTTACATTTGAGATCCAATATTGGCTGTTTTTGTTTTTTGACAAATCACAGCAGAACCACGGCGAATCTCACAGGAACACTCATCCTGTTTTCATTACTGAATGATTCAGCATTCTGAACGAATCGGTTGAGTCAAAGATTCAATGACCCATCTCATTCTTGAATGAATCAACCGTTTAAAAGAATTATTTGAATTATTGAATCAATGACTCACTCATTAATACGGCCGCCTGCCGCCACCTATTGGTGGTTTAGTGTTATGTTTATAAGTAGCCTAGTATCTTTCCAATGTTTCTTACTGCCACTGAGGAAAAAAAAATTCTCCTACCGACCCATGACCTCAACTGACAAACAACCGGAACCAAACTTTTTTTTTATTAGGCCCTGCTCACAAGCCCCGTTTCCTTGGTTAAAATCGCAATTTTCTCACGATTTACAAATAGTTGGAAAAATTTGGGATATTGCAAGTAATCAACTAAACAAAATATGTAACATTGGCCTAGTGATTTTTGGATATTTTACTGCAAAAATCCTGCATATTGTACCTTTAAGTGTCCAAATTCTCATTGGTTTCCCTTTTTCCCCCATTTTTTTTTCTTTTGGCTTATAGTTCTTTTTCTTTACTGTTTGGGTAATAATAACACTAATGAAGAAGGTAGAGAATAACAAACAAGTGTTTTTGTGTCACCCTCTCCACCACCACTATCTCTCCTCCCCCATCCTGCACTGGCAGCAGGTGCTCGGGCGCCTTGGCCGAGCCGAGTGTCACTTTCTCGAGCCCAGTATCACCGTTCCCCCCTCCGTCTCAGCCGTGGGTGTTAATTGAGCAGCTCCGTCAGAGCGGATAGTCAGAGAACTTGTAGTGTGTGGGTGGGTTGTTTAGATTAGCTTTTCATGTGCTTGTCGTCCACCAAACCTTTTCATCTTGCTGCATCTTCGCTCCATGCCTTTATGGTCCGAATGATGCTCTGTACCCTCTTTCTCCCACCCTCCGTCCCTCCTCCCTTTCCTCTTGTCTAGAGATGTTGTTTACATCTTGCAGTGTGCCTTGCGCACAAGGTGGAGGAGGGTGTGTGTGTGCTCACCCGTGTGTGTGTGTGAGCATGCTTTTGAGTGCCCGAGGCAGAGTCGTGCTGTCATTGAGAGCTACTCATGATGTCACACTGACTTTGAGCTCCATTGCTCGCAGCTCTCTAGTACTCTATCACCTGTGGCTCAACAGTAAAGCTGCAATGAAGTCATCGAGCTCTGAGAGCCTGCATCCAAAAGAGCTGGAGGAAATAAATGATCAATAAATGTTAACTGTGAACGTTATCTCTGGAGAGTTGTGCATTATTACAGCTTTATCTGAATCAGGTTTTCATTTTCATTTTCACCCATTGAAAAATCTCTAAGAGGATCATAAAAAAATCTCTAAGATGATCTGTTAACACTGATCATCTAATAACGCACACTCATTTAATTTTGGTCTGCTTCCCATAAGAAATTTGTCACCATATGTTGAAATTAAAGCTGAATGGGAATTTGTTAGTGAGATTAGACTTGTATGTGTGCAGTCTCCGGCGGCATCTGTTCTACAAACTGGACCGAAGGGAATTTAGCTGCAGCCCCACATGCTGCTATAAATAAAGAATATGAAATGAAATGCCCCCTAAGGCTTGAAAATCAACACAATAGGCTGTTTAAGAAACTTGCAGACATTAATCATCTTTTGAGAGGTTGGGCCTAGTACATAGCGAAATGATGTCAGTGCTTGTTCAATGTAATGAAGACCCATTTACTCTCTGTAATAGTAGTAGCAGTGCTGTAACGTAGCAAACTATAAGCAAATGGTTAAACACAGGGCCACAGTTGCGGTAAAGGAATTTCCCTTGCAGTGATTTTGAGTTGCACAATATCTCTATCATGCGATATCACAATTTTTTTTCTGTATAAATAAATGACGATGTGGTCAGCAAGCAAATGAGATTCAAAAACAAAACAGGTTAATTAGCATAATACAAGCACTGAATGAACACACAGGTGAATAACACAAACAACAACACCGAAAGAGAACTGACCAAGAGACAGAGTCATTAAACCTTTCATTTATTAATGAAACGAACGATATGTTGAAAGTATTTTATATTTACAAGACTCAACCAATGACCAATATGTCACTGGGGTAATGCTGAAAGGCTTAGTTCAACCAAAAATGAAAATCATGTCATAAATGTCTCACCCTCATGTCGTTCCAAGCCCATAAGACCTCCACTCCGTTCATCTTCGGAAGACTTTTTAAGGTATTTTAGATTAGTCTGAGAGATTTCTGTCCCTCCTTTGGAAATGTATGTACGCTGTACTGTCCTTGTCCAGAAAGGAAATACAGACATTATCAAAGTAGTCCATATAACATCAGTGGGTTAGTTAGAATATTTTCAAGCACCGAAAATACATTTTGGCCCAAAATTTATTTGAACCCGAATACACGGACACACCAGGTCCAGAACACGTCAGCAGCGCCTTACGTCATCAGCATCACTGAATGCAGGAAGAGAACACAATGCTGAATAAAGTCATAGTTTTTGTTATTTAGGTCCAAAATGTACCTTTCCGATGCATCAAAACTTTCTAACTAACCCACTGATGTCGCATGGACTACTTTGATGTCTTTATTTCCTTTCTGGACAAGGACGGTATACCGTACATTCATTTCCAAAGGAGGGACCGAACACTCTCAGACTAAATCTAAAATATCTTAAACTATGGACTTGGAACGACATGAGGGTGAGTCATTAATGACGGGATCATTTTTTGGGTGAACTAACCCTTTAAGCTGATGCTTCACTTCATAGAGATCAGTGGCATTGATGCATTGTCCAGTGCTGAGACAATGCATCACTGTATTACAATCACTTGCACACTCTATTCTGATGGTTGGTTGAAATCATATTTATTAATTAAATGTATTCATTTCCATATTAATACAATTTTCTATATGTTTTTTCTCTTTCTGTTGTGCATAAATTCATCCTCTTCAGACCACCAGTGCTACAGCCATACACATGCGGATAGGCGTGTTTTGGCCATTTTTATGAGCGTTGAAATTAGCAGGTTTAAAATGTGTCTTGTAAACTCCTTTTTTTTTTCCATTTAATTCCTCTCCATCTAGCTGTTTTTTTTATGCAAAAACCCATCTGATTTAAATTCTGTCCTTTCTCAAATACCTGCCTGGTTAATTGCTTGATGATTTTCAAAACATAATTTTTCTTCTATTTTAGAAGTAGTAGTAACTGGGAATTCCTTTTGATGTGCTCCCAGTTTCAGTTCGGCCCATAAAATCCTTTTAAATGGTCTGATTTGTAGAACTCTCCTCTACACATACAGACAATTAGAGTACATATGAGTTTTATCTCAGTGTGTGTCCTTGTGAGTACAACTTAATTCACACCAAGGACACTTCAATGACTGAGACAGTTTTATCACAACGTAAAACACAGGGTGCCCAGCTGCAGAGCAGACAGTAATTACAGTAATCATCTGCACTGTAAGCCTGTTGAAAAATCTGATAAATGTCGGAACTGTAGCGGACTTGAAGGGATGTGGAGTGTTTAAGTTGACTCAAAAATGGAATTGGAATTATGGCTTACCTAAAATGTTGTGACAGAATTAGACCAGAAAGGCAAGAGCCCAAATGGACCTTGTAATCAGCATTCCTCTCTGTATCCCTCATGTCAGGTGTGAGATAAGCACTGGGCTATCATAAAAGCCTGGAGCTTTATTAAATCCTATCATAGGACGTCTGCAAAGCTTAGCCTGTTTGATTGACAGAGGTGGAGCTGTTGTCAGGAGATACGGCCATTGCAACAGATGTCACTCCTAACAGTGAGTGATGTCATGCAGCCCAGTGACAGTATCTCCTAAGGATACCCAAGTGGAATAGGTTGAACTAGTCATATCTCAGTAGGATGTGTATCACAGATGTGGTTGTTACTTTGTCAAGTTGTCTGAAGTTGGTTTGCCTACTTTTGATCGATTTGTAGTCTGTTGTTTTGGGCAACCCGACAAATGGATGCCAGGCTGAAAATTTGTTTCATTTAGGGTTAGGATTTCTGGATTTGGATGAATTGTCTCTTAATTCTTTAAGGTCATGGAGCTTGATCTATCGATGACAGGTTCATTTAATGCATTATTGCATTTTTATACACTAGATGTGGTTTTTAATGAATGGTGGTTAAACAAATGATTGAAATACTTTCAAACTAATTTTTCAAACAACATATGCTAACATAATAAGTGGTCTCTTGCCATTTTCTCAGTCATGAACTCTTTAGTTGAAATGAGTTGAATCAGTTGAATTGAATTTAGTTGAATATTTGGGTTAAGTCTCAAACTGACGCCCCTGAACCACGGAGTACATTGAATATTTTTTTGTTTTGTTTTCAATTTTCTTTTCTTTAGGAGGAATTTGGAGGCTTTACCACAGTCAGTGACAACAGAAGAATACAAAGCCCAGGAAGGACGTCAATAGGTAAAATATCTCTTACATCTCTTAATTGTGTATTCTTTAGGGGTGTAAGGATACACATGTTATGAAGCATCGGTGTTTACTTGCAGTATATGTGTTGTAATCTTTACATCATTTAAAGCCATTGTGCCTCTTTAGAAGACTTGGATTTGGATTAGACCACTCGATTGATTATTAAGGCTTAGACATTTTTTGGATCTTAAGTTTTAGAGGAATTGACTTTAAATAGAGGGATACAAATCTCAGGTTTCATAAAAAAAGTTTCAGAATTAACATTTCTTGAATTTGGTGAATTATACCATAAAAATAGTAAATGCTACAATTTGAGCCTTGGATAAAACTAACGTTATATATCGCAAATCATATTGTTTATATGAACAATATGTATTGTCGCATTTTTAAATTGCAGTATCTAAATCTAACAAAATTTATTATTACACCCCTAGTATTTTTTCTCCAAGAGTGTTGTAAAATAATTTTAATAAAAAAAAAAAAGTAATTGGGACCTCCTATGGTCTAACTTGTTATTTTGCTCAATTGTAATTGAGATGCATTTAAGTGTAAAGAAATACTGTGCTTGTTAATGGAGTGCTTTTCTTTCTCGCAGGTCCAGTTACACCGGAAAAGAAGCCCAGAGGACGTCCTCCTAGGTCTCTAGCTGCACAAAGGTTTGGCACTGGTGTTGAGACAGCTCCTTTGCCTGTCACCACAGCTCCTACAGAGAAGGTAAAACGACCACCAGGGAGGCCTCCTGGCACTGGAGAGAAGAAAAGAGGCCGCCCTCCTGCTTCTGCCAGCCAGAGGAGTTGGCAACAGAGTGGCCATGCACTGCCTGAAGATGGTAATGACACCGCATTGGAGTGCAGCTCCAGTCCTGCACATCGCAAGGATGGTGTGGAGGACGAAGACAAGGAGAAAAGGCAAACTCCGCTTGGGTCTGGGCACCATCAAGGTTCTGAGGCTAAGCTTCTCAAAATCAGCCGAGAGTCCAAGATGTCCAAACCAAAAAGACTGCGGGATGTCAAACTGAGCCCTCTGAAGTCTAAGCTGAAGGCCATTGTGAAGAAGAGTGTCCCAGTTCCTGGTGTGCAAAGACGGAGACGGGGTAGGCCGCCTTCTGCTGAGCGCCTCAAAGCTGAGGCTGCTGCTGCTGCTGCTCAGGCTGCTAACGCCGCCTCGGTCCTAGAGATGTCTACCGCAGCATCTGGGACTGCCAAACATAAGGCCTTCAGGGTTCGTCGGGAACAAGATTTGGGTGCCTGCTCTCCACAAGATCTTAAGCTAAGGGCTTCTCATCCTGCTGATGAACGCACTAGCCCAGATCCCCATGACTCCTCTACAACAGTCAACCCAATGTCTCCAACTAAACTCGGGAGGCCGTTAGGGTTACGTCAAAGCCCTCGCCATATCAAACCTGTGCGGGTCGTCCCTCCCTCCAAACGCACTGATGCCACTATTGCAAAGCAGCTGCTGCAGCGGGCAAAGAAAGGGGCCCAGAAAAAGAAACTATTGGCAAAAGAAGCGATTGGCACCCAGGGAACTGCTAATCCTGAGGTTGGGAAGCACAGGAGGCGAACACAGCTAACAAACATAAGGCAGTTTATCATGCCTGTTGTGAGCACAGTGTCCTTGCGCATCATAAAGACTCCAAAACGGTTTATCGAGGATGAAGGCAGTTTCAGTTCTCCACCATCACACATGAAAATTGCTCGATTGGACACAGCAGCATCTGCCCCAGCACCTCAGCCCATAGCATCATCCTCCCCAGCTCTGGTTTCCACAGCTCCCGTCACAAGTGGAACCACTGCCACACCTGGGGCAGGCCCTGCTGTTGACTCTCTCCTTCCTCCACCACCTCCTGTCCCAACTGGCAGTGCCACTGCCATTGCAGCTAGTCTCCTTAGCAGCTGCAACAATAGCACTAGTAATGGGCGCTTCAGTAGCAGTGCTGCATCCTGTGGCTCCAGCGCTGTTTCACAGCATTCCTCTCAGCTCTCTTCTGGTGAGTCGTCTCGCTCCAGCAGCCCTAGTCTTGATGACTCCTCCTGTGATTCCCAGGCCTCTGAGGGCACCCAGGCCCTTTCGGAAGAGGGCGATCATTCCCCTGCCTCTCAGGGAGAGACTGAGGCCAGCATGCACCACACCTCGCACCCACCCTCCCCACCGTCAGAGCCGGAGCCAGACCATGTAGTGTTGATGGAGCACAGCAGACGGGGTCGTAAAGCTCAGAGTCATCGGAGGGGTGCTTTAGTGGCACGTGGTAGGGGCAGCCTGATTGGTGGAAGGAAACAGGTCACCATCAGCCCAGCCCCAGGGGTTTCACAAGCTGGATCTCAACAAGCCTCTTCCACTGCATCGTTGTCCTCTTCCCCACCACCGCCTCCTCTTCTCAGCCCTTCTCAGCCTCCCCAGGCAGCTTCATCCAATGCATCTGAGCATCACTCCCATTCTCCGTGGATGATGTCACATTCCATTGCCCCTTTTCTGCCCACCCCTCCAATACTTTCCAGCTCTCATGACAAGCGTCGCTCCATACTACGAGAGCCCACTTTCCGCTGGACGTCTTTGTCATGCGCAGAAAATAAGTACTTCTCCTCTGCCAAATATGCAAAGGAGGGCCTTATCCGCAAGCCCACTTTCGACAACTTTCGTCCTCCTCCACTGACTGCTGAAGATGTGGGACTCATGCCACCAGGGCCTGGTGGAGGTGGCGTTGCACCAGGAGGATTCCCAGCACCTAGTGGCGCAGCTGGGACAGGTACCAGACTTTTCTCCCCCCTGCATCATCCTCACCACAATCACCACCAGCATCCCTCATCACGGATTGAAACGCCACACCAAAAGCGTAGCCCACTACTACGTCCCCCTTTCTTCACTCCGAGTCCGGCTCATTCCCGCATCTTTGAGTCTGTCACCCTCCCATCCTCCTCAGGGAGCAGCCCTGGTTCTCTGTCTCCCCTTCAGGTCTCACCAACGTCAAACAAAAAGAGAAAGGGGTCTAGATTCTCACGTGGACAACCCAGGTCACCTTCACACTCAATGACTACCAGGAGCAGTCAGTCAGGAGTTCAAACAGGGAAGGCCTCTGAACAATCCATGATTAGCAGTTCTGTTCCAATAAGCGTGACTGGAAATTCGAGCCCATTGCCTGGAGTCGCAGTCAGTGCACTTGCAGCCAGTGCCTTAACTCAAGCTTCTTTCAGTGGCTTCCCCTCTGGCACTATTGGTCTTACAAGCCACGGAGTTTCCGATGGACGGCGAGCAGCAGGAGGCCTCGGTGTGAGTGGGAGTTCTGGTTCATCTTCACAGCTCTTCCCACTTTTTACCCCCAGTCCTCAAGGATCAGGTGGGGGTACTGGAAAAGCAGGAAGAGACCGGAGCGTTTCTGCTACTAGAGACACAGGTACAAAGGACAAGGACAGGGAGATGAGTAGAGAGCGTGAAAAGGAAAACAAAAGAGACGCAAGGAAAGACTGGGATAAAAGAGGGAAAAGCCTCCCATCAGAGACTTCCCCCAGTTCTACATCCAGCCTATTTGTGGTGGAGGCCAGGGACATTGAAGAATCTCGAACCCATAAAAGGACAGCAGGTCGAAAGAAGTCAGTCACAGTTGACACTGGTGCAGAGGCCTCCCCAAGCGACTCTGCAGCAATTCAACCTGTCGGGGCCTTGTCATCCAAGGGTCGTCTGGCCAAAAAAGGCAGACCTTCAGAGAAGATTATTGAAGAGGAGGGAGTAGAGAGGGAGAAAGACAAGGAGAAATTGAGTGCTCTCACCCAAGCAGGACAGATGGGAAAACCCCCTGCAACCACATCTCTGGGCTCCGTGTTAGCTCGTGCTGAGAAACAGCCAGTCACAGACAGGCGCGTTGCAGGACTGCTGCAAAAAGCTAAAGCTCAGCTTAATAAGTTAGAGAAGAGAGATTTACAACCTGCAGATCAACCCAAATTGCCGGTATGTCCTGTCTTTTGTTTGCCTTTTCTTTGGAAAATGTTCCTAGGTTGTTTTTCCTAAATGCACAAAAGGCCATTTCCATTTGTTTGTCCTGTTCAGGGTCAAGAGAGTGACTCCTCTGAGACATCAGTCCGTGGTCCACGCATTAAGCATGTGTGTCGTCGTGCAGCTGTAGCTCTGGGTCGCAATCGTGCTGTGTTCCCAGATGATATGCCTACCCTTAGTGCCTTGCCATGGGAGGAGAGAGAAAAGATCTTGTCTTCCATGGGAAATGATGGTGAGAAAACATCTTAGAACTGGTTTGATTTTGTTGAAAAAGTGACAGTTTTTAAATCTTTAATGGTATACTTGAATAGACAAATCATCAGTGGCGGGATCAGAGGAGGCGGAGCCACCCACACCTCCTATTAAGCCAGTAACGAGACAGAAAACAGTCCACGAGGCCCCACCCAGAAAGGGCCGGCGCTCTCGACGCTGCGGGCAGTGTCCAGGCTGCCAAGTCCCAAATGACTGTGGGGTGTGCACCAACTGCCTGGATAAGCCCAAATTTGGGGGGCGCAATATTAAAAAGCAGTGTTGCAAGTGAGTGTGAAATTTTGTTATGAATATAGTAAATTCTGTGTCTCTGAACCTTTGCACCTTAAAATTGCCTGTAAACATTTGTTTGTGTCATCACAGAGTACGGAAGTGTCAGAACTTGCAGTGGATGCCATCAAAGTTTCTTCAGAAGCAGGCAAAAGGTCAGTTTTTATCACAAAACCTTATTATAAGCCAGAGATGCTCTTATATTTCAATTAATTGTCTGCTTGCATTGACTTTAGGTAAAAAGGACAAGAGGAGGAATAAATTGACTGAAAAAAAGGAGTCCCATCACAAATCCCAGTGTTCTGAATCAAGCCCCAAGCCAGGCCCCCCTCCAAAGGATGACCCTCCCCATAAGAAAAGTGAAACTCCACCACCTGCACAGGGAGAGGACAAACAAAAGCAGACACAACCTTCATCACCATCTTCACCAGCTTCCTCCCCAAAGGACCTTCTGCTCTCTAGTGCATCTGACGACCCCAAGCAATCTCAGACCCCTTTAAGCTCAGCCTTTAGAAAGGAACGGAAGCAGCAGCCCAGTTTTTCACCCACCTCCCTGCATGCTGCTCCATCTTCCCCACCAGCACAGTCCTTGCAGCAGCAAAGCCAAATGCCAGCAAAAAAGGAAGGTCTTGCAAAGTCCCAGCCCACTGAGCCCAAGAAGAAATCTCAGCCACAAAGTCAACCCAGCTCTGCAACAGACACAGGTAATGATATGAGGATATTTACTGTTGCTAACTTAATACAGAGTGTGTCCATTCCTGCTCCTGGAAAGTCACCTTCCTGCTGACTTTAGCTCCAGAAATAATTAAACACCTTTATCAGCTAATCAAGGTCTGCATCACCATAAATTTCCAGGCTGGTCTGTTGTAGCTAAATTTTGCTGGAAGATGGCCTTCAATGAGCAGGATTGGACACCCCTGGCTTAACATAGCCTTAATGTTTTTGTTTTATGGTCATGTCATCTTTTAGCATCCGAAGCAAAGCTAAAGAAACAGATCTCTCGATGTGTTCAACCACTCAAGCCTAAACCAAAAGAAAAGGTAAGCAGATCTTGCAGGCAGATTTTCATTCTTTTTTATGTCATAATTTACTTTATACAAAAACAGCTTTGTCTCTTGTCTTGGGTCTTCCCCCATGAATAGTGGTTGATTTTCTTTGTGATGTTGATAATCCTGAGATTCAGGATTCATAGCACAAATGTGACCCGTGCTGGCTAAAGCAGTCGAAATGTTAATGATAATTTCGAACTACTGGCAAAACTAGTGAAAATTTTTGATTTTGAGGTTTTCACAAAAAGAGTAGTTCAATAAGCCCTCGTGTAGCGATCAAAAGACGTCTCAGACAGCGCGTGGTCCCGATATACACACATATACAGAATTACAGTATTTCAAAAAATATGTATAGATTCACACAAACATTATCTGTTATGTCTTATGTGAACGTTCGGTTAACTGTGGGCCAAATTTGGTGTTATTACATTTACCAGGAATTTTAAGATATGGTTGTTAGGTGATTTTGTTTTGGAACCTTCAGAAATTTTTCTCAATTTACTTTGCTGATTCTATCGACGTCAAACCGTTGAAGCTCAGTCATTTTTTTTTTGTCTGATTCCAACCACTCATACATCATTTGAAGGTATTGGGTGTATTTGCTTAAAAAAAATTTGCTTGTGACTTGTTTTGCCAGCACGGGTCACAAATGATGCCAAGGTCAGGTTAAATTCCCAGGGGATGTAAATTCTGACAAAAGGCACCTTGACTACACTAAGTCACTTTTGGTAAAAGCGTCTTTGCATATGGCCCAATGTAATCTAAATGGCATTGTTTACAGGAGAAACAGATACCCAAACTAGACAGCAGTACTTTAAACTCCCAGAGCACTCCTTCGTCTGGGGGCACCGCCAAGCAGAAAGCGCCCTGCGATGGAGTGCATCGAATCAGAGTTGATTTCAAGGAGGACTATGACATTGAGAATGTGTGGGAGATGGGTGGGCTCAGCATTCTCACCTCTGTGCCAATCACCCCGCCGGTGGTGTGCTTTCTTTGTGCCAGCAGCGGTAATGTAGAGGTGGGCTGTCTTTTGTTTGTTATTCCTGTCTAATGTATTGAAGGCAAAAAATTAATGAGGTTTTTTTTTTATGGTTTGTTTTCTTCAGTTTGTTTTCTGCCAGGTGTGCTGTGAACCCTTCCACCTCTTTTGCTTGGGGGAGACAGAACGCCCCCATGAGGAACAGTGGGAGAACTGGTGTTGTCGTCGATGCCGCTTTTGTCATGTCTGTGGTCGGAAGTATCAGAAAACAAAAGTAAGACTTTCTATTAATTTACATTTGTCTGATATAGATCAGAGATGTTTATAATCCAGACATTTCTCCAGAAATGCATTACAAAAAAGGTCAAATTAAGGGAGACTAAATGGAGACTAATAGAATAATTACTTTGCAAGTAACTCAACGGCAGGTATTTGCGTTTCATATCTTTATCCTAAAGTACAAAATTTAGTATTTCAGAGTCTCTGATCATGGGAATAATGAAGTGCTTCCAATATCAACAGAAGGGATTTTTAAAAGAAGACACTTCTGGAACAGAGAAAGGAAAGTTTTAATACCTCCAGATGTAATGGGGAAAAAAATGAACACACTACTGTAACCACTATGAGACCGATTGATATTATTCTTAAAGAGTTTATTTCACACAATGCTACATTATGACCTTCAGATCTAAAATGTTGTAACATTCTGATGTAATGGTTAAAGATGAATGAAAAAGTTGAATTCTCAAAGCATGAGTCTGCTCGTTTTAACAATGAATGTCCTCATTTGGTATTTTCTAATGAAAAATACCTTCTTATGAAAAGTAAAAAATACATGTCATCTCACTGGAATTATCATTTCCTTTCAATAAATTTAATAACTGACTAAGCATTTTCCAAGTTTGAGTTATTTCTCTCTAAAAGCCCCTAGACACTCCCAAAATCTTCAGAAATGACTAACGCTTAATATTTTGTATTTTTTTCCATCATCTAGCAGCTACTGGAGTGTGACAAGTGCCGAAACAGCTATCACCCTGAGTGCCTGGGACCCAACCACCCTACCAGACCCACCAAAAAGAAAAGAGTCTGGGTACTTGCACACTCTCAATCCTAGATGTCTGTAACATCTGTTATATTTTTTGCTACATTGTCCCATAATTATTTTTCCTTCTGCCACAGATTTGCACCAAGTGTGTGTGCTGCAAGAGTTGTGGAGCCACCAAACCAGGGAAGGCCTGGGATGCCCAGTGGTCACATGATTTCTCTTTGTGTCATGACTGTGCCAAACTCTTAGCTAAAGGTCAGTGCTATAGATCCTGGATTTTTATTGTATGTCTCTAAACTATCACTTAACTATGTAATCAATGTTTTTCTTCTCCCAGGCAACTTCTGCCCACTCTGTAATAAGTGTTATGATGACGATGACTGTGATAGCAAAATGATGAAGTGCAGGAAGTGTGATTGCTGGGTCCATGCCAAATGTGAAAGTTTAACCGGTGAGTTATGTTATTCTCAACATCTCTTATCTGTCTCTTCTCTGGCATTACACCATAACATTCAACTTATAAAAGCTGTTGATTCAGCTTTAACATCACAAGATTAAATTGCATGTTAAAATATAGGCCTATTTAAATGGCTAAAAAATTTCTCACAATATTACTGTTTTTACTGTAGTTTTGGTCAAATAAATGCAGCCTTACGGAGACTTCTTTCAAAAACCTTTAGCAGTCTTATGTATTTAGTTAAGATCTGATCAGGTCTAACATGGCTGTGGTTATTAAAGATAAGGTAGCATTTTAGATTTTGTATGTTTCTGTAATACACCACTATATAGGTTATCTTTCCCTTTATATATTTAGATGATATGTATGAGCTCTTGTCTAACCTGCCTGAGAGTGTGGTCTACACCTGCACAAACTGCACTGAGCCCAATCCCCCTGAGTGGCGGGCCGTCTTAGAGAAGGAAATTCAGAAATCCATGCGGCAAGTTCTCACCTCCCTGCTCAACTCCCGTACATCCACACACTTGCTTCGCTACAGACAGGTGAATTGCCGTATCCAATCCTAAAAGTTCTCACCAGCTGTATTTTCACCACCGAACTTAGCACTATCTTCTTTCTTTGTCTCAGGCGGTCATGAAGCCACCTGAGTTGAACCCAGAGACAGAAGAGAGCCTTCCCTCACGCCGTTCCCCAGAGGGCCCTGACCCCCCTGTGCTGACGGAGGTCTCTTCACCAAATGATTCGCCTCTCGATTTGGAGTCTGTGGAGAAGAAAATGGATTCTGGATGCTATAAATCATTGGTAAGAGTTTATGAATATGTCCTTTTTGAAACGCTTAAAAGCAAAAAGCTTTTATTTTTCTAATCTTCTTTGAAAGATTACCTGCTGCCTTTTGAGCCTTTAATGCAGCAGGGTTCATATACCGGTCAAATACATGTTAAGGTCAGGTGTCAATTTCTGCTCCTCACTTTCAGCTGGAGTTCAGTGATGACATTGTGAAAATCATCCAGACAGCTTTCAATTCAGACGGAGGTCAGCTAGAGAGCAGGAAAGCCAACAGCATGCTCAAATCTTTTTTTATCCTGGTGAGGAAAAGCTGGTGGACACAATTCTGACGATGGAACATCTTGCAGTCCTTCATTATTGTTTCTGATGTCACTATTATTTGTTACAGCAAATGGACCGAATTTTTCCATGGTACAAGGTGAAGGAGTCCAAATTCTGGGAGACGTGCAAAGTCTCTTCTAAGTGAGTCTTTCCCATGCATCTAATGATTTGTTTGATTCCACATTTTGACTTTGAATCATATTTGATTTCTTTGATCAGAAACATTTTTCAGTACGAAAACTATGTTTAGTTTGATGGTGAATAGTGGGACCAGTCAAGCTAGTATATGAGCATTGAATACAACCTCACCTTCGAGTGTCTGTCTATTCTTTGCTCTCTTCTAGAGCAGAAATATCACCTTTCCATAGGGAATGCAGCCTGTATGGTCTAGTTCCATTGTTTGAGGTCAACAGGCAGTGTCACATTTCACATGGGTGCTTTGACAAGTCTTGTGGTTGGCATTTGGTTTGCATGTTTGAATACTTCATTTGTTACCATGAATTATTAAGAGTGCAAAGGTTTTGTGTGTGTCTGTGTGTGTGTGCATGCCTGATTTTGAATAATGTCTTTAAAGAGACAAATGTTTATATTTCATTTTGCAATTATGCTATCTGACTTTAGTCTATTTATTGTGATTAGGCCTTTGCAGCTTTTTCTTTCTTTCTATTGCATACTTTCCTCCTCACTGCCATTGAGCATCTAGGCAATTTAGCATTTAGTTATGACATCGAAACGTTTTAAATGGTACGACTGTATTAACATACGTTTGTTCATATGTTAGGTAATTAAACAGTGTTGTGTAAAAAAGACATGACTAACAAGACAGTGTTGTATCTTTGCAGTAGTGGACTGCTTCCCAATGCTGTTCTGCCCCCTTCTTTGGATCACAACTATGCCCAGTGGCAGGAGAGGGAGGAGATAGCCAGGGCTGAGCAGCCTGTGCTCATGAAAAAGATCATCCCAGCTCCGCATCCTAAAGCCCCAGGAGAACCCAACTCCCTGATGGCCCCCACACCACCACCTCCTCCACCCATGCTTATCCATGGTGAGAAAGTTGCTTTAAACAGCTATAAAAACTACTTGTATGGGACATACTGTTAGGAGACAAATAACTTAATTCTGATTATTTTTCAGTTCAAACAAAGTTTAAGTGTATGTAGATAAGTAACACAGGAATATTTCTTTTGATTTCAGACCACAGCCCTGAAGACAGCCCTGTGATTCCCCCTCCTCCTGGTGTTGGTGACAATAGACAGTGTGCGCTTTGTCTGACTTATGGAGATGAGAACACAAACGTGAGTAATCACCAACCAAAAAGAATTCATTAGCATGTATAAATATGGATTTTTAATTATACTGTATTTTAATTTTGATTTGTAAGACTTCTGACTTCTGGGTCATCTGTTTTCAAGGACTGTGGGAGACTGCTTTATATTGGCCAGAATGAGTGGGCCCATGTGAACTGCGCACTGTGGTCAGCAGAGGTTTTCGAGGATGTTGACGGTGCTCTCAAAAATGTGCACATGGCAGTCAGCCGAGGCAAACAGCTGGTACACAATTAACAAACACGACACATGGCGTAGATTGAGTTGCAATGCCATAATACACCAATTTATTTTTGTTGCCTTCCCCACCCCAAAAAAGATTGCATTGTTTTTTTTGTTTGTTTTTTTAGCAATGTGAGAATTGTCACAAACCCGGAGCTACAGTGAGTTGTTGTCTGACCTCCTGTACAAACAACTACCATTTCATGTGTGCACGTCAGAAGCAGTGTGCTTTTTTAGAGGACAAGAAGGTTTACTGTCAGCATCACAGAGATCTTATAAAGGGCGAGGTAAGGAATCATGCATGCAACAGTAAGCTAGTTATGTTTTTGTATATTTGTTGTGAAGTGTTGAATTTATTATAAAATAATAAACTTTTTTAAAGGCGGTTCCAGAGTCTGGCTTTGAAGTGACTCGGAGGGTCGTTGTAGACTTTGAGGGAATCAGTCTGAGAAAAAAATTTGTTAATGGGCTTGAACCAGATAATATCCACATGATGATAGGTATGCATGTCTTTCCACCGTGTTTGCTATTGATAACTAATAATCAAAGCATTCTACATCAAAATTAAATGTCACTTTTGTTTTGTCCAGGGTCTATGACAATTGACTGTCTTGGTATGCTAACTGAACTGTCAGACTGTGAGAGGAAGCTGTTTCCTGTGGGATACCAGTAAGTCTTTGAAATTACTGTGTTTGAAATTACATTTCAGTAAACAAGATATAAAATGAAATGACCATTTGATCTTATTACACAGATGCTCAAGGGTCTACTGGAGCACTCTAGATGCCCGTAAGCGATGCGTTTATAAATGTAGAATTTTAGTGTGCCGCCCCACTATGACCGAAGCTATCAGTAACAACACAGTAGCTCAAGAGGAGAACCACACTGTTGCTCATAGTCCTCCACCTGTTTCATGTAAGTAATTTAGATTTATTATAGTCCTCATTGAGTCATTTTGTTGGCATTTTAACCGATCATTATTAAACATTACAGCTGAAGTAGATGCTGCTTTGCCTGGACCCACAGATTCCATAAAACCGTCAAATGTGCCTTCCACACCGAAACAAAGGGTTTATTTTAGGAACAGACACCCCAGCTACCCACCATGTAACCGTTCTCCCTCAACCAGACCCCTTCCCTCCCCAGGTATGAGTTACAGTATTTATATGGCTTTATCTCCTTTATTAAAATTTTTTTTTTTAAATGTTGTTCAATATATTTTCTACCCTTTAGATGGTTTTAGTAGTTCAGCCCATGAGATTGTGACTGTTGGGGACCCTCTGCTGAACTCCAGTCTGCGAAACATCGGATCTCGTCGACACAGCACTTCCTCCATCTCCACTCAACAACCTAGGCAAAAACTTTTCTCCCCTCCACAGGGAGGCACAGTATCCAGTCAGACAGGCAATTCATCTGCCCCTTCCCTGTCATCAACCTCTAAAGAACCTTTACCCAGGGACACAGAGAAAGGAAGAGTACCATCTGGAGAGAGATCTCACAATCGAGAGGCAAATTCAGTGAACAGCGGAGCACAGCGTCGAATTGGTTTTGGTCTCGTTGAAAGAATAGATGGTTGTAGAGAGGCATCCAAAAAGCAGTCTGATGTTGAGAGTTTGAAGTCATCGCAACCAGCTAGCGTAAATCAAGTCTCACCACCTCTCGGAACTGCAGTTTTGACAGGACATCAGAGAGGAAGTGGCAGTTTAAAAACTGAGAAAGGGAAACAAGCCACAAAAGATACTGACCTACCAGCTGGAGACACTTTTATGTCCAGTCATCCACTTGCCACTCTTCCAAAAGACAAAGCTAAACCACTTAAGGAAGGAAATGTGACACCAGTGGCTGCATCAAAAGACTCAGGAAAGACTGGGTCTCTGCAATCGGTTTACAGCAAAACTGGGAGTAGGAAGTCTCATGACTATGCGTCTGGTCCAGCTGCAGCAGCGGCAATGAAGCCTCTCTGGTCGTCTGGTACCAAGGTGGGAGAGGAAGAAATAAAGCGTGGCTTCCAGGCAAGAGCTGCCGTCACTGTTAGTCATGGAACCTCTAGCACCAAAGAAAAGCACTCCAAAGTCAAAATGAATGTGAGCAGGGATGTTTCAAAAGAAAGAAAAGAGACTCCCCAGAATCGAAACCCAGTTCTCAACAGTAACTCTAAAAGCAGTAATGTCAAAACACAAGGTCAGGGTCCACCTCCTCACAACATTAGCAATAAAAACGCTGCATTGAGCAGCAACACAGGATCTGGTACAGTGGAAGTTAATAAATTGGATCAGAAGGAAGTGGAGATACCATTAAAGTCCAAAGAGAGATTTAGCTTAGAGAAAAAGCATAGTTCAGCCATGGATGCTATTCAGCCGAAAGCAGGAGGTGAGAGAGGTATTAGACCACAACAGGTACACCCTAAATCAAGCAAAGAGGTTACACCAGTGGTGAAGAAACAAACTGAGAGGCTGCCTTTATTGTCTCAGAAAATGGATCCCAATGGTACCAAAGCTGTCAACATATCCCCTAACACAAACACTTTCACTTCTGTTACCCCTAGCAACCAGGGCCCCCAAAGAAGGTCCAGAACAGTGGTGTTTTCCCCATCTGCAAGTTCTGAAAGCTCTGAATCAGACAGCCACATCCACCCAGATGATCCCGAGGAGCATCTGTTGGATCACCAGTGTGCTGATGATGGGGAGGACAATAATTTAGAGGACGAAGGCAGCATCGATAAGCACCACGAGGAAGATAGTGATGGTTCAGCAGGTTCAGCAAAACGCAGATACCCAAGGCGGAGTGCTCGTGCTCGATCGAATATGTTTTTTGGGCTAACTCCTTTCTACGGTGTCCGGTCGTATGGTGAAGAAGACATACCCTTCTACAGAAGTGGTGAAATCTCCATGAAGAAGCGAACTGGGAGCAGCAAGCGTTCAGCTGAAGGACAAGTCGATGGGGCAGATGATATGAGCACATCATCTTCAGCAGACAGTGGAGAAGATGAAGAAGGAGGAATTGGTTCAAATAAGGACGCGTATTATTACAACTTCACACGCACCATAATAAACCCCAACTCTGGTCTCCCATCTATTGCAGGTATTGATCAGTGTTTGGGAAGAGGGTCACAGATCCACAGGTTCTTGAGGGACCAGGCAAAGGAGCATGAAGATGACAGTGATGAGGTATCAACAGCTACCAAGAATTTGGAGCTGCAACAAATTGGCCAGCTGGATGGTGTGGACGATGGTTCTGAGAGTGACGTTAGTATAAGCACTAGCAGCACAACCAAAGCTACTACTTCGTCCACACACAAAAGCTCAACAAAAAGGAAGGGTAGAGAAAGCAGGACAGAAAAATCAAGCATTGACTCGGGGAAGGAGGCAGGAAATAACACAAGCGGCAACAGTCGTGAAGGTCGTAAAAATCAGAAGGATAACTGCCTTCCATTAGGAAGTGTGAAAACACAAGGACAAGACCCCCTTGAAACTCAGTTGTCACTCACCACGGATCTCCTCAAGTCTGACTCTGATAACAACAACAGTGATGATTGTGGTAACATCCTGCCTTCTGATATTATGGAGTTTGTGCTCAATACTCCTTCAATGCAGTCATTGGGACAGCAGACAGAAGCTCCTTCTGCTGAACCATTCTCTTTAGATGAGAGTTATGGGGTGGACGTTAACCAAAGAAAGGACATGCTTTTTGAAGATTTCACTCAGCCACTGGCAAGTGCTGAACCTGGCGAGACTGGGGTGAACACCTCCATTGCTGTAGAGGAGTCATATGGTCTTCCTCTTGAGCTGCCCTCAGACCTCTCTGTGTTAACCACCCGAAGTCCCACCGTAAATAATCAAAATCATGGCTCACTGATCTCAGAGACCTCCGACCGTACTATGTTGGCTCTGGCCACAGAGGAATCAGGAGTTGAGAAAAGTGGGAAGAAACGGAGAACAGGGTCCACTGTATCCAACAAAAGCCCTCAGGACAGATGTACTGATTCCCAGGTTCCGGAAGGTCACATGACCCCAGAACACTTCATTCCTGCATGCATCGATGGCGACCACATCACAAGTCCTGGAGTAGAACCTGTGGGAGAGACTGGAAACCTAGATCTGACCAGAACTACTAGCACACCAGGGCTTTCCAGCTCACCCACCTTGCCTCTTCAGAGTCAGAAGTTCATCCCTGCTGCCACTGTTAGCTCAGGTCCCACTCCAATTGCAAGCTCTGCTGTTCAAGCTACCGCCTCTCAATTGAAGCCTGGCACAGAGAAACTGATCTTGGTAAACCAGCATCTGCAGCCACTCTATGTATTGCAAACCCTTCCCAATGGTGTACCCCAAAAGATCCAGATTGCACCATCTGTTAGTGCAACAGGTGTCATGAACACTAGTGCCCCTGTGTTGACAGGACTCAGTGGTAGCATCTCCACCTCTCAGTCCATTTTTACTGCTAGCGGCAAAGGTTTAGTGCCTGTACCTCATCACCCACAAATCCATGCATTCACAGGCACCTCTCATACTGGTTTCCAGCCAGTCATTCCTAGCACCACATCAGGCCTCATCATAGGAGTCACCTCCCATGATCCCCATATTGGTGTGACAGAAGCAGGACATAGGCATGATCATGCCCCTAGTGCTGCTATGGTATCTAGTGCTTCCTCCATCACCCCAGCTCCGACTATGCTCCCCTCTGGACATGGCAAGAAACGCCTTATTTCTCGTCTTCAGAGTCACAAGAGCAAGAAACATGCACGTCCAAAGACTCAACCCACACTTGTTCCTTCTGATGTTGGGCCCAATATTATGATAAACTTGTCACCTTCACAAATTGCTACTGGAATCCCTGCTCAGACAGGCCTGATGGAACTAGGGACTATAACTGCTACTGCCACACCTCATAGAAAAATTCCCAACATCATAAAACGCCCAAAGCAAGGGGTAATGTACTTGGAGCCTACTCTCCTTCCACAGCCCATGCCCATTTCAACCACAACTCAGCCTGGCATATTGGGACATGATTCCTCAACTCACCTGCTCCCATGTACTGTGTCAGGGCTCAACCCAAGTCAGTCTGTTTTGAATGTGGTCTCGGTGCCTTCCAGTGCACCGGGAAACTTTTTAGGAGCAAGCTCTGTATCGCTCAGCGCCCCAGGCCTCATTAGTTCAACTGAGATCACAGGACCTATAGGTAACCTCCTTATCAACCCTCACAACCTGAGCCTTCCAGAGCAACAGATGGTTCTTCATTCAGGAACCCCAATGATGTCTCATCTTACTAATCCTGCCCAGACATCCATTGCAAGTAGCATCTGCGTGTTTCCCCCAAACCAAAGCATTAGCATGTCCGTCAACCAGCAGATGGAGAAAGGAGTCTTGGCAGATAAAACCCTTGACCCAAATGTCAGTTCAGCTGGTCAAGTTGCTCTCGCCCCTAATCTAATCGCTCAAGAACTGAACAAAGGTCATGTCGTTGGCGTCCTCACTCAGAGCTCACGAACCTCTCCCATCTCTCGACCACCACATCAGCAACAATCCTTAAAGTTATCTGCTGGAGCAGCCTCTACAACTGTTGGGAAAGGAAAGCAAAAGGCTAAAAGACCTCGACCAAGCCCAGATAAGAGCAGTGGAAAGAAACATAAAGGACTTCAGTCAGATACACCAACTGTTGACGCATCTGCAATCCAATTATCATGTTTTCCAGGGTAAGAGCCTGAAATTTTATAATGCATCTTGCTTATTGTTGGTAAAAAAAATAAATAAAAAAAGTGCTAACTTTTTTTTCTTTTTGTAGCGACCGGGAACTTTCATCTCCTGAGCCAATGGATACAGGGCAGACAAATGAAACTGGTTCAAAAAAGAGGTAAACAATAATAACAGGGCTTAAAGTATTCTGGCACCATGGGGGACATCATTTTCATTGAGATATCAGTAGCTATAATATATCACATTAGTGATACTAGCCTTCATAAAGGCTCCACTGGCCTTTATTTTAGTTCACTGGCCTCTATAATTCTTTTCACTTTAACCCCTGTAATAAGGATCAATCTTAAATTTTCAATTAGATGCCTGACTTTGCCTGACTTTGCGAAACTCTTTGCATTTTTTCCTTTCACAGTGACTCTGCCACTATGTCAGCTGATTCCTCTGCTCTTAAACATAAAACCATGGACACACATAATGAGAAACCAAAGACTGCAGGTGTGTAAAAAGTCTTTGTCTAGCTCTCTGTTAAATGTTGCAGTGGTTACAGATGTGATATTTTTGTCACATTTTTTTGCAGGACTACCTAGTAAGGGTGATGGCAAAGGATCTAATGCATTCTCTGTGGAAACACCTGATCAAAGAGACAGTGGGAGAGACTCCTCTCTGGACTACAAGCCCAAGAAAGGGCTCATATTTGAAATCTGCAGTGATGATGGATTTCAAATTCGCTGTGAAAGTATTGAGGGTAAGTAAGACCTAGATAATGATGTGTAATGCGAAGTTTAGACCCGATATGGATTTTAATGTTCATCTGTTTGATAATTACAATCAGTCTTCTTTAAAATTAATTTCATGTTTTAAAATCCTTTGTTTCAGAGGCCTGGAAGTCCCTAACAGATAAAGTGCAAGAAGCCCGGTCCAATGCTAGACTCAAGGCACTTTCATTTGATGGTAAAAACATAATAGACCATTTATTGTAAATATTATACATATTTTGATTTTCTGATTGTTAATTTGGCAAGCGCATCTTGTTTTTCAGGAGTGAATGGGTTAAAGATGCTGGGTGTTGTTCACGATGCTGTAGTGTTTTTACTGGAGCAGTTGTATGGAGCTAGGCATTGCCGAAACTACAGGTTCCGCTTCCATAAACCTGAGGAGCCAGAAGATCCTCCTGTCAACCCTCATGGATCTGCCCGTGCTGAGGTGTACCACAGGTATCCCTGAGAATCTTAAGCCTTTGCACAATCGAAAAGGGTAACAAGTAATTCTGCAAAGGACTGTTGTGAATGTTGAGTCTTTTAAACACTAACTGACTTTCATCTGCTTGAATTCATGATTTTAGGCGATCAGTTCTGGACATGTTTAATTTCCTGGCTTCCAAACACCGTCAGCCTCCTGTGTACAACCCCCAGGAGGAAGATGAGGAGGAGATGCAGCAGAAGTCTGCACGGTGAGTCGCCTTACTGACCCTGTTCTAACCTTTGTTCAGTTATGGATTAAAGCATTAAAACACCTGGTGTTTTCACAGACGGGCCACCAGCATGGACTTGCCACTGCCTCTGAGGTTCAAGCACTTGAAGAAAGCATCCAGAGAAGCTGTGGGTGTCTACAGGTATATACACTTTCCATTCAAACTAAAAATTGGTTGAATTGAAAACAAGCATGCATCTGTGTTGCATACTTATTAATCGCTATGTATTGTTTACAGATCAGCCATACACGGCAGAGGTCTGTTCTGCAAGAAGAACATTGACACTGGAGAGATGGTCATTGAGTATTCTGGTGATGTCATTCGCTCTGTCCTCACTGACAACCGGGAGAAGTACTATGATGGCAAGGTAGAAAACTAATACTTATTAGTAATCTATTAGTGCAATGCATTTAAAACGCACAACTGCACAACTTTTTTCTTTCTTTCTGTGTTTCTTCATTTTTCACAGGGCATTGGCTGCTACATGTTTCGTATCGATGACTACGAGGTGGTGGATGCCACCATGCACGGCAGTGCAGCCCGTTTCATTAACCACTCCTGCGAGCCCAACTGCTACTCCCGCGTGGTCAATGTTGACGGTCAGAAGCACATTGTCATTTTTGCCATGCGCAAAATCTATAAAGGAGAGGAGCTCACATACGATTACAAGTTCCCCATTGAAGAACCAGGCAATAAGCTGCCTTGCAACTGCGGGGCAAAGACGTGTCGCAAATTCCTCAATTGAAAGCGAACTCACAAGCTAATACCATCTGTGAAATGCTATCAAGGCTGTGTAATGCCAGGGAAGAGACATTTTTAAATTATTTGTTTTATTTTCTATGAAGCAGGCTCAGGTTATCAGAAGGTTAATGGTATTGTGCCTCTTAAGTTGTTTCGTTTTAAGAAAAGACAATTGAACAGAGTCACAATGGTGAAGATTGCCCTTATGTCCCCTTTATTAATGCCCGATTTAAGAAATCAGTGCCCCCTTATTCTTAACTTTTGTATATGATCTTTTATTTGACCATTTTGTTTTTTCGAGGAAGGATATTGTGAACAGTTTTAAATTTGTAAGTCAAGTCTGGCCTGCCCTTACTTATTGAGTGCGACAAATTACTGAAAAAATGCCGCATAGGTCCATTCAACACCAAAGTGCAATTTTGGAAGGGACAGATTTAATGTTTTTAGATTGACAATACATAATCCTTTTTTAGCCTGACCTGTTTAGACATCTTTCCCTTTTTGAATGTACATTGAAGCCTTTCAGAGCATCCATGGTCATCCTTGACAAGCTGGGCCTGATTCTCTGTCTGAAAGACTGTAAATATTATCTCAGAGGAGAGATGATGAGGGGAAACACTAGGGGGAGCAGTGGTCTCTGGAATAATGGTCATTAGAAAGACAAGATTGTATGTTCTTTTAATCAGTGGTTGATCTATGAAGAGTAGGCCAGCAAGGAGCTTGGGATCTGTAGGGGCTTGCTGGGTTGAGATCCTGGTGGACTGACAGCCAATGGACCAGAGCTATTTCTGAGGTCTGGGGGGAATGACATTCTTTTATTTACTAGACATTTTTATAGTAATTTAGAGAGAAAGTAGCTTAATCATAATGTATTGCAAAAATTTTCTAATTTGCATGATCTAAGGCTTCTTGTGAAACCTTGTAGATTTAATTGGTTTTAGCTCAGTCCAAACGCTATTACCATATCTATTTTTTATTTCCCTCCCTAGGCCCGTAGTTCTGTGTGATTGTTTTTGTTGTTGTTGTTGTTGTTGTTTTATGAGGTAATTTAAAACTTGACTATTTTTGTTCTGTCTTGTCACTGACAGAAATATAATTCGTTAAATACCGTATGTGAATATGTATATTTTTCTATACAAATGACTAAAAAAGCACTCATTGGTAAATGGCACTTAACAATGGTATTTATATTTTTAATAAAACATTATTTATTTTATCAACATTTTTGTAGGAAATAATAGATTTACAACACTAATGCTTTGTCCAGACATTTTTCTAGTGCTGTCTTCTAAAATATTTTTGAGTTGGATTTTATTTTTTTGTAGCCCGAATGTTTCTTTCTATTCCAAAGACTGAAGCAGTTACTGTTCCCACAGAGTGCGGTCCACCAGAGGCTCTCGTTGTGAACCCAAGTCAAGCACGGCCAGTCAAATGTGAGTTTAGGTTTAGTGAGCTTTTCAAAGTGCAGATCGGTTTGATATGACTCTCCTTTCTTAATGCCAGCCTTAAAATTGAATGCAAGAACAGCCCTTCTTCCCCTAAAAGGCCCTCTTTGCATTTTCAAAACTTGGAGAAAATGTCTAAAAATAAAAATGCATGAAATCCTTCTCTAGCATTCTAGCTACTGACAAGTCCCAAAGTTTATTCCATATATTTTGTTATATCAAAATATTTTCTTAGAGATTGGTGTAAAGCAAGGAATTGCCACAGAGGCTATCCCATTTAAACTACTTGTAAAGCACTATATGGAGGAGGAGAGGGCGGAGGGCTCTTGTTTCCTCACGGTCTTGTGCACTGAAGATCAGTCTTCTTCCCAGTCTTCTTCAACACATGTTGCCTTGGCACTGCATGGACGCTCCAGCCAGCCATTCAGTCAATGCACATTATTTGCTCGTATCATCTTTTTTTCTTTTAAATGTAGACGCCACCAACACCTGTCTCAGTCTGTGCTCTTTTCAGGGCTCGAGTTTCGTTTGACCCCTATTTGAATAAGGCCGACACAGATGTGGCTTTGTTATTTTTTAGTGGATGTTCTGTGGATTGTTCTTCCGTTTTTCAGATCAAGAGTTTGGTGCCTTCTCTGTAAATTTCTCTGGTGGTTGAATTCGATTGGACAGTCAGCTGAGGATCTCCAGATTGTGGAGTAACGCTTTAAGCTATTTTAACTAGGGCATAAACAGATTCAACTTGACATTTGACTCTTATTATACATTTCATGTAAAGTTACGATTGTAGCACGAGTATGTGTGTATTGCAGAATGGCTTGGGATCTGTACATGCCTCTAGACGAAGCTGCTGTGTACAACCGTGGCTTCCTTAAAAAGCCACTTTCAAGGCCAGTTTTTTGTTTGCCTCGTAAGTTTAACTCTAATAAAATTGTTGCTTTTTCCTCGGCCACTGCAGACCCCCTCCTTACAGCCCTCACTGTACCTAGGCTGCAATAATTTTGACCTTTCCCAGAATTTCATTTTTGACTAAGGCACTGAAGATCAGAGTTCTGTACGTTGCCTCACATTGAGCATTTGTTGGCTGCTGCCTCATATTTGTATACGTGTTTGTATTTATCAGAATTTGTGTTTTAGCCATCTTTTTCAGGGATTCTTGGGGGTCTTGCCCAACTTTTCCTCTTGCCCTGGCACCCCTGTGGAACAGGGACGTGCTGAACTCTGCAGTTAGGCCGTTTTTGAATGTATTGTAGAATTTTGTTTACTCTTTCTTTGTAATATTTTTCTTTCATTTTCCAACATGAAAGACTGGGAAGATACGGGACAGCTTTTTATTTCATAAAATAGGTGGACTATACAGCAATGGCAATCTTTGCAGGGTTCTACAGAAACTATTGCTCAGTCTAATGAAATAAGATTTTTATTTTATTAATCTATTTTTTTTGTAATGCAGTTACTAATCCTAAGGGCTTTGTAATAGACTCCTGCACAGACATCAATACAACTTCAGATGCTCCATAAAACCGGTGTGACAGTGACCGGTCAGTGTTTCAGAAGCAGAAGCGCTCTTGTCGTTTTTCCTGGACTTTACTCTTCCACGCCACGCAAGTGGTACCACACCTTGTCCTGTAATTATAATCAACAGTACATATATATATACACAATATACATGAATATATATATATAAAAACTAAACGTGTATGAATAGTAACTTGTATTTCAATATCTACACAATATACGGAATGGACAGACAAACTTAGTTACAGTAGCAAACAGCAGCTTCATAATGGTTAATTGCAATGTTCAGTGTATAATCTGTAATGGTTTTGTGTTACAGATAAACTTTAGAGTAACTATTGTGCATCATTTTAATATCAATATCAAGATCAAGTACCAGTTTTCCTGTGTCTCTGTATGTTCCCTCAATGGAGCATTGCAGGTTTTTTTTTTTTTTTTTTTTGAAAAGGAGCGGTATTTATATTATGAAACAAGTTAATGTAAAATGTGGTTGTAAACTTTTTAAGCATTGATATTTTGTTTGCTTTTGATGGTGTAGTTGGCTTTATTTTACTCTGTACATTTTCTAACAGTTTGTGGACATTAGGGAAAAAAAAATGTCCTTTCCTAAACCCAGCCATGTCACCTATACCTCTCTCTCCTATTGGATCTTAAGTTGTACTTTTTCTTATGTGATGTTCTGTAATGAGTAATGGTGACCATTCTGTTTATTTATTTCTGCTAGCATCTCTAGATGTACTCTGAGGTAAAGCTCCTTCTGAAAGCAGGTCCCTGTTTTTGGAATTTTAACTTGGTTCACTTTGTACAGAAATAAGTTGCAGACCGTCTGAGGTACTTTAGAGAGTCCGAGAGGTCTTGAGAAGGAGAGATTTGAATTTGTTCCTCTTGGAAAACGCAAGTTTTTCATCGTCTTACCAATACTTCCTTTCCCCGTAGTTTCGAGATATCATGTTGATGTTGATACTGACAGTTTTAAGGTTTTTATTTCTTCTTTTTTTTTTCTCCAAGTTGCCCCATCAGTGTTTTACCTTTTTTCAGAAAAATGAAGGAAAATTTGTTAATCTAAAATATTCAACCACAAACTACTTAAGGATGAATGTATGAGGAAAAAAATTGTACATAACAACTGTAAAAAGGAAAGTTTCTAATCATGTTTATTTTCTATGCACTTTTTTTATTTAAGTGATAGTTTAAATAATAAACATGTCTTGTTTACTCAAACTGGATATCTTATTGTTTAACCATTTCATAATTGTTACTAGTTCCCATGTCTTGCATAAAGACCCATTGGACATCAAGTGACATGGTACACTTTTAAAGGGATACTCGACTTTTTTTTTTTTTTTGTAAATAGGCTCATTTTACCACTCCCCCCCGAGTTAAACAGTTGGGTTTTACCGTTTTCGAAGGTATTCAGCTGATTTTCCGATTTTACATGGAGAAAATGTTTTTGATAATGTGCTCTTTAGTTTTTAGGGTTAAAAAGACCAAATTATTATGCTTTAAGAAAAAAAAGTTTTTTAAATGTGGCACTTTATTGAAACCATTCACACCAAGAGATCAGAAAATGGGGTCTAATCCATCCAGCTGTTCATAATGAAGAACCCGGCCCAATGAAACCTTGTAGACAATAAGGAGCCACTAGCAGTCTCTCTGAAGTAGTTTGAAGCATTAGACCTAATGAGAATTACAAGGCTGGATAAGTGTTCTAGACAGGCCTGGATACCCCTAATGGGGAAGCTTTGCCCTCTAAATAAAGCTACAAAAGTAACTAGAACCATGTGTCTGAACAGCCACCCACATCAGCATATCTCCCAGCCTTCATTCATGCCTGCAGATTTTCACTGCTCATTTAAAAAAAAATTTCAAATGCAAAAGGTATGGGTTTTTTCCGTCTCTTGATGTGGCAACAATGAATCCAGAGCATTTGTTTACATAAAATGGTCGTGTCACATAATCATCTATATTGTCTTGAAAATATGCTTTGTGTTTTTAAAGCAAGTATAGTTTAATCTCCCACTTGACCACAGGGCTGTAATCCTTGAACGGTTTATTTCTCGCAAATTCGCCACAATAAACTGGCATCCTTCCTTTGTAAACCACACACTAATTGAATACAAAAGGGTCTCGCCAGACTGTTCGTTGGCGCCCAAGACCCCATCTTTAAGGCTCTACTGTATCGGATAATGTTTATGCTTTTAAAGTTGGACAAGCTACAAGCATTTAGTCTCTGTCCCTTGGATGATCCCTCTCCATCTCCCAGCCTCTCCATTTCTAATTGGCTTCCAATAGCTTCCCATTTCCTCTAAAGGCTAGGAGTGCAGATTTTTTTTTTCCCAGACGCCTTGGACGGCAAAGAAAAGAGGAGTTCCACTGCTCGTTTCTCCTTTGCCTGCTCAAGACCGTCAATCCAGTGGAGCTTCAAAAAACGTAAATGGTGAGTTTGATTTATTTTTTTTACATAATAGTGAAATAGGTCTTGTCATAATGGCTGCTTTCATGTGTTACGGCAACTGATTTTGGTTTTGATTTTATTGGCAAATATTTTTTTCCCTTGACAGTCTACACTTTAGACACTTTGACGCAGATACAACTATTATTATTTCACTTTGACTACTAATAATGATCTTTACTATGAAATAGCACTGCTGAGTCTTTAAATGGAAAAATGTTCCAGTCTCTTATGTAACTTTTGTTTTTGTAACAACTCATTCCTGATCTCAGTTTGGTCATTTTTATCATGAGAGCCAGTGTAGACCCACTTCAGTTTCAAGATAAAGAACTGATTCATCCCATATTTCACCACAAAGCTCAATTTGTAATGTATTGTAAATGTTGCACTGATATTGTAGGATTGTACCTCAATGTTTAAGTCGATGCATAAAAAAAAAAAAAAAAATGTGATGCATATGAGAGCGAGTGATCCATTGTTTGGAAATCAGACCATCCAGTTGACATTGGAATTACAGTATTTGTTCTGCCCTCTTTGGCAGTCATTTCTCTTATGTCCAAACATGACTCACGGATTGAGCTGCGCACAGCATTTAGACCCAAAATACATAAACACAGTCCCGAGTGATAACTGTCCAGATGTCCTAGGACAGATGTTTCTCTTAAATTAAAGATCCCAGTGCTTTAACTGATTCTGCAGAATTTTTGAAGAATGCTTTGGTGGTCTGGTTGTGTTTCTCAGTGTGAATCATCAGCAGTTTCTCGTATTTCATAAGAAACAGCTGTTTGACAGACAGTAGACTTGAATAGAAACCTGCTGATTTACGCAAAGACATAAAATCTTGGAAATGGTTAGTTCCAGACAGGATTACGAGAGCTGACAAGCCCATGAATACTTCCTGCTGTAGAGACTGTGTGTTGCAGCCTGATGATATTGACTGGCTTCAGCACCTCATCAATGAGAGATGGTAGACAGTAACATTTATTATAGTGATTAGTACATACTGCATTTTTGCTATTCACCAGCTAACTACAAACATCAGGTTTAACCCCTCAGTACTGTAGATGGAAAACAGCTGACAGAGAGTTATTAAAGGGATAGCTCACCCATAAAGGAAAACTGTCATCATTTACTGACCTTCATGTTGTTCCAAACCCATACTCTTTTCAGTATCAATGAAAGTGAAATCGGGACTGGGGCTGTCAGGCTACAAAATGATTTAAAGAAAAAAAAAACCCACCACATAATAGTGATCCAAATGACTTGTCCAGGTTAAAGTACCTTTTTTATTATTCATACTCCCCATTTCCAGTCAATGTAGGCTATAAGATATGAATTCCTAGGCTATATTTCTAAGTCTTCTTTATCTGCTTTTACACTTACACAGTTGAGCTTGTGCTTTAGTAATTATTATGTTCTATAAACTTTCCCTTGGCATGCTCACCCTATTGACCAAGAGGTGAGATAATGCAACACTCTGGTGCTTCACTGCTTTTCACATTATGTGCAGACTTCATACCATTTTCAGTCTGAGTGATGCTGAAATCATCTTGAAACAAGATTATGAGACTAAGTTTTTTCTTCCATTTTGTTCTTTTCTCCACAGAGTGAGCGATGACATCTCTGCAGACATGGCCTCTTACATTGCTGCTTGTTATTGCAGTACATTGGTCTAACTCAGTTGAAGACAACAAGATCCCTAGTTTGTGCACAGGAAGCCCCGGTATCCCAGGGTCCCCTGGGTTGCACGGCAGCCCCGGTCAGCCCGGCAGGGATGGACGAGACGGCCGTGACGCCCAACCAGGAGAGAAAGGAGAAAGAGGAGAGAGCGGAGAACCAGGTACAAAAATACCAACCTCAATGGTGTTTTTCTCACCACCTACACCCATGTGCTGCAGTAATGACACATTTTTGTAGGCCAACTCAAAAAGTAGCATCGCCCTGGTTCCCTCCACACAAAAAAAAAACAAACACGATTTTTGCAGAAAATTAGCTCTGTGACCTTCTTTTATCTTTAAATTTTGATTTAGAATCAATAGCATAGCAATAGCATGATTATATACACAATGAGGCTGTTAAAGCGGATTAGTAAATAGATGAGTTAACCTGTTTGCTGTGATGACGTCAATGTCCCCAATAACCTCTGTAGTCCAAAATGGCCACTCGTCAACAACCGTAAAAAGACACGTAAAAGCTATAAGAAAAACACAAGGGGGTATTACTGATATGTTTTATGTTGTAGAATAAAGCATAAAAATATCTTGAGCTTTTTTTTATCTACAGACCTTATTTCAGGCATTTAACCAAAAACCCATTTAAAAAAAAAAAACAGAAGTGCTAAAATGCAAACTCATTTCCTTATTTTGGCCTACAAAAATACCTGCAGAACTCTATTGAATGTCAATAGTAAAACTTAAAAATCCCATGATGCTTATGACAGGTCAGCCAGGCGCGAGGGGCTTCACGGGAGACCGAGGGGATCCAGGGGAAAAGGGTGAGCGAGGAACCCCGGGCGAGTGTGCGGTGGCCCCCAAATCAGCTTTTAGTGCCAAACTGTCTGAGGCCCGCACGACTCCATTGGTGGCGGGGGATGCGGTTCGCTTCGACAAAGTGGTTCTGAACGAGCAGGGCGATTACAATCCCGAGACCGGAAGATTCACGTGCAGAGTGCCGGGCGTTTACTACATCGCCGTTCATGCCACAGTCTACCGCTCCAGCTTGCAGTTTGACCTCATAAAGAACGGAAACACCGTGGCCTCCTACTTTCAGATCTTCGGGAACTGGTCCAAACCAGCCTCGCTGTCTGGAGGAACATTAGTGCACTTGATTCCAGGAGATCAGGTGTGGGTGCAGATGGCCCTGGGCGAGTACAATGGCTTTTACTCCAGCCCAAAGACAGACAGCACTTTCACTGGTTTCCTAGTGTACTCAGACTGGAAAAACTCTGCTGTTTTTGCATAGATTTAATAGAAGCAATAACTAACTTTGTTTGTCACATGCCAATTTCATAAAGTGGAAAAGCACTGTCACGGATCAGACAAAGGCCTTTGATTGGCCTTCATTTGTAATCATTTCAATATAATCAGATATGATCAGCACTGCACAGAATATTCAGTTATAAGCACATTTAGTCATACAGAATAAAACGACTGGTGGGTTGCCATGCAAAGTAGGAAATTCACAAATGAACCATATTACTTCATTGGAAACATGGAATCAAATTTTTTAAAGAAAACCGTCTACTGTTTTCTCACAAAATGTTTATTCTGGTGGCAGTCTATATTTTGTGAAAAAGCACAATAAATACTTTTCCAACACTTCTCTGGTATATGACTTCAATGAAATATGACACCCATAATTACCCAATTTGTCAGTAAATGGTACAAGGAAAAGCCATTTCTACTGCCGGGAAACGGAGAGCCGTGGTTTCATGTTTCAGGGTGCATTTAAAGCAATAGAGCGCCTTTATTGGGAAATGCTGTAATTATTTATTCACTCTTTATGACTGTCCCTTTTGTGAAACGCAAATGGAGAATTGTTGAGGACCGTACAGGTTACTCTTTTTCATTATAATTACAATGTAATAATGGAGGATGCAAAGGCATCATAAAATTATCTACTACTTTACATCGTATTCAAGAACAAATCATTTTTAACTAAATCACATGATTTATTGAAATTATCCGGCCCCAAGAATGATTTGTTGAAACTCCAGTCTCCATTCTTGTGAAATTTCCTATTATCTTTTATGGAGTCGTAAAATGTTATACCGTATCTCTAGTGTTTGAGTATATTACACCATAGGTGAAGACGCATTTACCTTTGTACCTTAACATTCCACAAGCAAAATGCAGTCATCACAATACGAATCTGTGCAATTTTCAAAACAAATTTTGATGAGTGGCCTCTGCCCCAGTTAACGCCCCTGGATTTCAGTTTGTTAAACTATGAACACTGTCTAATCTGTTCTACTGTTCTGACGTGTCTAATCTAATTCACTAGTTTTGACCAATACAAAGCTGCTTAGGTTGGAAGTGATTCTGAGTAAAGCTGCGATCACATTTACTGTTGTATGGCAAATTTAGTCATTTCAATAGGAATCCACATGATTTGTAATTTGTGCAAACGAATTCCCCATGCAACAATTTCCAGCTGATTGTGTGGATTTATACAAACTATAAAAGGCCAAAATCCATGATTTGTGTTTGGTTGCCTCACTGTGCTGAGTCACAGACATTATGTAATCAAGCCTCATCATTTTACAGACAAAGCTTTAACTTTGCATTTGCAAAACACAGCCAAGACCATTGTCTAAACATATAGCTAGCTTTCTCTCCTTTGTCTATTTCTTTCTTTCTCTGATTCTTCTCTCCTGCTTTTCTGAATGTTTTGTTTTAAGATAAGTACTAGTTCCAATTTTCCCCAGGCTGCTGGCAGAGTCTTACACAGAATGTTTGTGCAGTAACATTGAGAAGAATGAGAGGTACATTTGTATCCTCCCTTTGTGCAGTTAATTTCCATTAGGTCATGGCCTGCCCCTTCACTGCTGTTAGCAGAGCACTGCAACCAGACAGCAACAAGCTCAGAAGGGTGTCTGAATCAAACTCCCAAATACTTTTATCATATCACAACACTAGGCCTATATCATTTACGACTGATGCTGTCGTAAACTATATATATATATATATATATATATATATATATATATATATATATATATATATCATGTTATTTATAGAAACTACCATGGCAGCCTACATGTCCAAAACACGTAAAATAACAACTGTTTTCAGGTTAAAGTTAACTTACTGTAATTCTTTGTTTTTGGTTTCCAAACAACATCATAAAATCTCCATTATTAAATAATCTGTACAGGTCTGTTGCTTTCATCTCATCATTTTTTAATTTTTTTGTTAATATCAGCACGGGCGTCGTTTCATTATCCTTCCAGATAGGCTGCCTCGATCGCTCTAGAACTTTTTTTTTTTTTTGCAGGTGTCGTCGCTGTTGTTGGATACATAGACAATAAGGATAGTGTCTTATTTTTCGTAATATTTACTTAAGATGTACTATTTGGCTTCTCGGAGAACAGCGACACTGTCCGTTAAATTTCCATTCATTCATATTTTTGTTGTGTACTTCGGTCTAAGAACAGCAGAGGGCGTCCATTCATCATCATAGCCAGACTAATGTAGCAACTATTAGGCTAGCATTCAAAAACAAGAATTAGCAAAGAATGGTCTAGGACAAAAGTGATAGTAACAAAAAAAAAAAAAAAAAAAAAAAAAAAACGTGTTTTCACAAGTTACTTTCCATTAATTCAATAGTTGCCCTTTTTAGACAAATCCTTGTGGAATTTCATTATGTATAATGAAGGATAGATGTAATGGAAGTCCCCTGTGCAGTGGAAGTCTCTGTGTGGGTGTGAGGAACTGGTGTTTTTCCCAGTTTCCTTCCTCAGAGACAGAAACGTTCCCATTGACCCAGAGGCAGGACTTCTTGCTTGTCAAATAAACTCAAGCATGTCCACATTTGTTCAGTGGACCCAGGGCCAGACACTGAATTATACACTGTGAATTGGATGACCTACTGAACTGAGTCTATTCTAGCTGTCCTAGACTTGGTTGATATACAAGAAGTGCTCTAATTAATTTGTCATAGAGGAAGTCGAGTCAGAGTGTAGACCATTACAGAGAGAAAATATAAACTTGTAGCTGGACTCAAATTGATAAATCAATCAACAAACTAGTAAATCCTCTTTTATCTGTATAAATAGGAAGTTAACACTGTGTTAAATGCATTATGGTGCCTCTCTTCCTAAGCTTTTGGTTATTTTTAAAGCACTGTTCTCAAGTATGCAGTTACAGATAACAGACATGAAATGAGTATCCGAATGCAAGTACTAAGGGAATTGCTTGAATGCTGTATAGAAGTGAACAACAATGTGTGATTCACAACATTTCCTCTCGCAAAAAAAGCTGGAATGTGGAGCTGTCCAGTGCTGAATGTGTTTCCTTTTATAAGTATTGCATTTCACACACCTTTTATTAAATTAACCATATTAAAGCTGGAAAAAGTGGTTAACAAATGTAAAATTCCAGACCTGAGATGAGACTTATTTGGATATAGGACTATAGGTAACATTGGATCAGGTTTTGGAAATGTCAAGATTAACAACTGGAATCCCAAGTCCCACAATGCTGATCTCAGTAAGCCATGTATCACAATCAAAGACATTGTTGTGAATTGCATTTTAGTCCAATGACGAAACTAAAACAAGTTGTGCTGAAGACAAAGACAATACGACCACAGTCAAATACTGTTTATTGTTCATCTGGACAGTTAATGATTGTGGTTTTGATATTATCCAGGCCGCTGGAGAGACAGACATCTGCTTAACCCACAAGCTTCTTCAATTGAGACCTTTATAGAAAACAAACGTCTGCTGGACTAGAATACAAAAGGCTTGGGGCTAAAAATGTGGAATGAATGGAATGTTTAAAAACCTTAATTACAATTAAAAAACATGGGTTAGTGCTCATCACCTGCACTGAGCAGAATTGAGAGTGACAGAAATAGCTAGGGACTATATGGAATCAATGTATTTTTCAAAAGGACAACAAAGTTATGAATCTACTTGTATGAATCTTTTTCTTCAATGCACTTGATTGTCTTGCACATTGTGTCATTCTGAATACAATTGTGGATTTCGGGGTTTTGACCAAAATAATGTAAGGTCTGTACCATGTCTCTCTAATGTACAAGATGTTAACCAAAAATAGTGATTTCTAACAACACCCAGCGGACAAAGCTGAGCTAAAAGCCTTTCTGCCACTTGGTTTTTACCAGTAACCGAATTAAATTACTATCTCTCAAAACAAAAAAAACAAGCACACAATTTCGATTTGAAAATGCATTGATCAATACCATTTAAGCAGTGAGAGAGCCTTAATGCAGTTCAATAATAAATGACAAAAACAGCATCAGATTGTAGAATGGCTGGTGAAAATATTGTAGTGACACTTGTCTACTCAAATAGTGCAAAATGGCTTTGGTGGAATGATTACAAAATATGCAAAGCAAAACGAACATTTCTCCAACACTAAAAACAATCTAATAAAAAAAAAGAAAGTTCACATGAAACCTTTTATCACCTTTACAGTCAGGCAAAAAAAATGTATTAGACAACAATTCATACAATAAGGCCCAACGTTAGTAGTATTGTAGCATAAATGTTCCCCTTAAACACTCAATTAAGCAAATCTTCCATCTTCACAATTACCACAGCATTTAATGTTTGTTAATACAAAACTTACATTCATTTGATATTGCTGTATGACAAAAATAGTGTTGATTCCACAAGCTGATGAAAACAGTGACAATGTATATAAAACCATAAGAAAACACAGCCAGTCATCAGCCTCGCCATCGCAATTTATAAAAGATTGTGATTCAAATTTATATACAAGCAATAGTAGTGGAATGAACAGATGAAAAAGGGCACGTGGTTTCCCACAGTTCAAGAACAGTGCTGCTCAAATAACCTGAGGATGACGGAAACACATCCGTAAACATTTCCCTCAGAGATACACGTCCATGGTCTGAAGGATCATGTGGCGGCACAGGGGGCAGTTGTGTTGGTAGATGGGCTGGCTCAGCAGAATGTTGGTGCAGTTTCTACACAAGCACAAGTGACGGCACGGCAAAAGCACGACAGTCTTGGTGCTGTCCTGACAGATCACGCACTTCTTCCTCTCCTCCTGCTCCTGGAGAAGATTCAGCAGGTTGTCCGACGGAGGGCCTTTACAACTGTCCTCAGACGGAAACTTCCGGAGCGGCCTGTGAGCGCTGGAGCTTGGAAGCGGCAGGTTTAGAGGATCGTCTGCTTGGTTGGTGTCCTCGCGAGCGTTTTCCACCACCGGATCTGCTGCGTTTAGGTCAACTTGAGGCTCAAGGTTGTGCTCAGGCTCTCTAACGTCCCTTTCCGCAGCTTCTCTCCTTGCAGGAATCACCAGGAGGCCTATCCTACTACGATGCCAGGCCAGTCTCTGCCACACATTCCTCTCGAGGACGTAGAGGCGGTGTAGAGCTCTTCTGAGTCGCTGCAGGAGTGGCACAGAGTTGATGTAGTTGATTATGTTCAAAGATACTTGTCTTGGGATCGCTGGATTCAGGTATATGGTGGTACTCGTGATTATGACAAACGTGAGCAGCAGCCCGTAAGAGTTGAGCAAGAACACGCTCATGAAGATCTGGCAGACAGATCCCAGAAACTCCATGGCTAGTCTGCATGGTGTCCACAGCAGGATGGAGGTGCCAACGAGACTGCTGTACAGGAAGGTCAGCACAGTCAGGGTCAGCTCAAGAGCTTTCTGCAAAGGGCAGGACACTGCCTCCACAGTGCTGGCCAACACGGAGTATAAATTTTGCGTACCAATGAGAAGTAAGTTAATGATCGTGTTGACGAAATAAAGCAACAGGCTGAACACGATGCCACAGCCTTCCCACGCCTGCCGTAGCAAACTGTGTCCCGACAGCAAACCGCGGTGAAGAAGCTCTTTGGTGCGCAGTAGCAGATGTGAAGACAGGTATCCGATCATCTTGAAGCTTTCCAGCATGCCTCCGAGCAGTTGCGTCCAGCCTCCGACCATGTTATGGGTCACGACGGTCACTCCGTCCCGCATGGTGATGATGCAAAGCAAGGTGAGATTCCAGCACTCAGACACTGAATTTGTGAGCAGCATGGGCAGACAACTGACAAAGGAGATCACTGCCGCCAACAGATGAATTAATGAGTTGACAATCACAAAATTTAAATCCAGAAGGAGGCAAATGACATCTATGCATTTTCCAACTGAACTAAAAATCAAGCTCAGTAGACCCATAATAAGGATATCTGCTTGTGAAATGTCACTTTAGTTCACCGTAATGGACTATTATCATCTGTCATAGTATTTGTGCTGCCAAACGACACAGTTCAGTCTGTGCGTTCACAAACAAACAGCTTTGGTAGCCAAGCTAGCTGCTAGCTCGCGTGCTAACCCATTCGCGTCTTAACGTATCGTCTTGGCAAACCGCTTAAGATTTAAATAAAAGCAATTCCAGTCGTATTAAAACTGAGCATTAGCTGGGAATGGCACGTGTCCTCTGATTTGGACAGATACACTCATCCGAAATAGGGTTAGCATGCTGCTCACACATGGACGGAAACTGCTCGGCGGATGTTTACGTTTGAAAAATGAAACTGCCCATGTCGTCTGGTTGTACAGATCTCTGTATCCCAAACTTATGTTGATTCTTAGAACATGTTGTAATCCAAGCGTCCGCGCTATTTTATGAAGCTCCAAGACGACGACAAACTCAGACGTTTCTTTCTTTGAATTATTCGTGGGCTAGAATCGAAAGCGTCTCTCTCTGTAGTCCGTTGTTTCCGCTTTACTACATGTAGTTGTTTGAAGTGGATCAACTCTGCGCTCGAGCTGTGCAGAAACGCCCGCGGCTGCTCTTATTATGCACCACCTTTATTTTCTTTACCTTTATGGTTATTTCATGTTGCATGATCTGATTATATTGCAGATAAAATTGTATAGATCAAAGTAAAGTCATTATCTTTGCTCTTATTACAGGCATTTAGCTATTGTGGACTTTGTTGCCATTTTAAACGTTTCATTGTTTAGATTTAAATGATCAAGGGCTGTGTTTCCGCTATCAGTAGTTTGTCTATCAAGCTTGTTTTCTGTTAGCTGACCCTAATCTGTTTGTTTACAGCCCATACAGTGTGACAACGTGCCCTATCAAGATATTTTGTCACAAAATGAGTATTCAGTAAACTATCTATATTCCTGATCAAAAACATACAGTATGTTTCGTTTATATATATTTATAAAACGGTTATTTTCAATCCTTGATTCTGATTGGACAATAGTGCTTTATTCATGGTAAAACATGGATATGACCGCTTCCTAAGCTCAATCATCACAATGTCTGTTCTGTCATGAAGTGGACTTGATGAGAAAACATTTATTTGAAATGTCCAGTGAAATAATGATGATCTCATCTGCTCATTTAAATTGGACAAATAAACAAAATTATGATTTCCATTTATGCCAATCAAGATTCAAACCAGAAGAAAATATATGACTGATAATGGCTAATAGAACAAAAGTTGTGGTTTTGCTTGTCAATAGAGAAAGAATAGCCAAATTAGCTAGTGAATTTATAAATGCCTCCATTAATATTTAAAGGAGAAAATACACACACACACACACACACACACACACACACACACACACACACACACACACACACACACACACACACACACACACACACACACATTTTTTTTACATGTTGCAGGTCAAACACTGTTTAACCTTTGTTTGAGGTCAAGCAGACATTCTCTGCTGTAGGCCTCTTGGGAAAATAAACAAACGACACTGATATGAGGCCGTTTTTGGAAGTAACAAATGCCTGGAGAATAGATTTCCTTTAACAAATGTCCTTCTTCTAGTGCATAAGACAAAACATAACTGCCATATTTTCCATTCAGGTCACTTCCACACCATTAAACTCGATGACAGTCCTTAAGTGCTCCTGTCTGCTCCTTGCTACCTTGAGCATTAAAAGAAACCTTATCTCTTAGGGAAACAAAATACTGGTGAATTGATTACAACAATAGGATATTTTGTTGATGTCTGTTCTATTGTTTCACTCACCCATGCCTTAAGAAAACGTATTTCCTGTTATGTGATGACAGCTGCTGGATTCTGTTCAGACCAACAACATGAAAAAGTAGTTTTGGAAAGATGTGTGTTTCTTAGCACACATTTTGTTGTATTGAAGTTTTCCTTGTCCCCAAAATATTCTTGAAACTGTAGGACAATTCATAAACATTTTGTCACAACTTATTTACATTACATCCAGTCGTTTTGGAAAATGGAACTTAATTTAATCCCATTGTGTCAAGACTACATTAATCATGTTTTTTGACAAGTGGAATTAGCAGCATGATTTGCATGGGACTGGAGTGGGAGAGTAAATGTGTTATTTTGCATATGTTTTGGGAAATATTTGTTAGTGTTTTAGGTTCATTTATGTTGAAAATGAAGGAACATTTGTTATGTTGTAGTTTTGTGGTTACCTTTGTGTAGAAGAGTGGAGCTTAGCTTGTGGGCTAAGCAATATTGTCTATAAAAAAGCTTTAGCTGTACAGCTTTAGCAGTCCCTGTTAGCTTGCTACCATGTGCCATTGTTAGTTAGCAATTAACTGGAAGAGCTTAAACAGAGTTACTTTGGTTAAGTCTAATTTTAGAAAGGTTTACTGAATTCAGTTAGATTTTTGCTCTACAAAACTTTGAATTAACAAGTTTGTTTAACAATAATTGTGTGTTTGCAAGCTTTAATTAGCTAACTGTGTTTTCATAAATTCATTGAGCAAACTGCTTTTTGGGTACACATCATCAAGAAAGAGAGCTTGCTAATTTTTTGCCATTTACTTGCTTAATATAGGCCCTTTTTTGACCCATTTCGATTTTTGAGTTGTCGGAAGAGTACTAGATAGCTTGAAATGTTATGACCTTTTCTTATTTAGGGTCAAAAACATTCTTGCAAAGTGTAACACTCTGATGTGTTGTAAAATGTGCAATTGCATGAAAAAAACAAAACAAAAACTGAGACAGACGAACTCCAGAAGAACTGCGGTAATGTCTCCAAGACATTTGAAGAAACCTGCAAAGATGAAAAACTATAGGTTGCAAAGGGTTGTCTCACCAAACATATATTTGATTTAGTTAAAAGAAGTTAACTGATTAATCAGATGACATTGTTTTTGAACGTATCCTCACTTTACAGTATTTTTTTTACAAGTGCCTAAAAGTTTTCTCAGTACTGAAGATTTGCAGGAAGGTTTTTTCGAGTATCTTGGAGACGTAGCCGCAGTTCCTCTGGATTTAGTCTGTATCATTTTTTTCTGTTTCTTCATTAAATCCCAGATGTTGGAATTAAACTCGATCATGGTGATTTCAAGATCTCCACATTGTCGTCGCTGATCCCGCCTCTCCCACCTCCACTGCAATAGCCTATTCAGCAATTCTGTTCAGTCTGTCAGTGCCTCAGTCTTCCGTTCACCAGCGTACAAGCAAGTGAAAAGTAGCGATTCACTTAAGAAAAAGTAATGATTCTTTTTTGAAAAAGTATTGATTCATTTTTTTAAAAGTAGCGATTCACTTTCGAAAAAGTAGCGATTCTTTTTAAAAAGTACCCTAGTGATTCTTTTAAAAAAAGCAATTGTTTTCAGAAAAAAAGTAGTGATTCTTTTCAACGCATTCTCACCCCAAGGCGTCACCTTTGACCATGCTTCAATATTTGACGTTTTAGGCGATCCTACGGCGTCATCTAACTGACGCTAAAGGAAAGCGTCAGTTAGAGGACGCAGTTAGGTTTAGGTGTGGGGTGGGGGTAGGGTACACACGATCCTAGGGCGTCATCTAACTGACGCTAAAGGGCGCCTAAAGCGTCAGATATTGAAGCATGTCCAAATGCTTCCCAAGGCGCCAGTTAAGTGACGCCTTGGGGGTGAGAATGGGCTGTTCTTTTTGACAAAGTAGCGATTCATTTTGAAAAAGTAGCGATTCTTTTTTTTTTTTTAAAAGTAGCAATTTTGTTTTGTGCTTCTGACCTCTTTGTCTGTGCACTTAAATAAAGAGCATTATTGCATTTACATCCTGTTACTGTTGGCCGTTACATGCACAAATTAAAATGTCACTGAACTTTTGCTGTAATGAGCACTAAAACACACCAAACCAACAATTACTCAAAACACACACACTCGTGCAAGACACCCGTCAAGTTTGAAATCCATCGGACTAACGATTCGAGAGATAGGCTATATTTGATTATGAGACAGACGGACAGACAGACTTTCCTGTAATTTATAGATAGATATTCACAGTTTATGAAAAAGATTCTCATGTTATTTTTTTTATTTGTTAAAGGTTGGCTTTTAACTTTTTTGTGTGTGTGTTTTTGTTTATGTGTGTGATTTTTGGTGAATTTTACTGAATCCAATTAAGGTGAAATTTTAATGTTTGTAACCAAATTTAGAACTTAATAAGACTGGAATAGCTTGCAGCTGATACTGTGTTGAGTCAGGAAGTTTATCAAAAGCAATATGAGGAGAACTATTAAAAGTCATGCAGTTAGAGACAGACTGATATGCAGTAATTCAGAAGCTTCTATGGGAAAACACAAACTCTCAACAGATGAAACCACTGGTGTGCAGACTGGTCACAGCCTAGGCTATGACCTCACATACCACTGCAGCCCACAGGCTCCGTTTAAAAAAGAAGCTTAGGAAGGGAGCATGAAAGTGGAAGAGAAAATATTTAAATGTTCAATTTTACAATCCCTTGGGCCTTTATTCTTAGTCTGTGAAAATGTGCCTTCCCAGTGATGTAATTTTTACCAGGGCGTGATCCTTCAGCATCAGATTCCCATTGCAAACAAAGGAAATGCTGCTAGTGCTACAAAAGATTCTGAGATATGCATATGCAAGCCTCTCTCTCTCTCTCAATATATACATTTATATTCTCTCTTTTAAACTACATTTAAACTAAACTTTAAAATTAAACTAGCGGCTACAACAGCAGAAGACCCCACCGGGTACCACTCATCTCCACTACAAATAGGAAAAAGAGGCTACAATTTGGAAGAGCTCACCAAAATTAGACCGTTGAAGACTGGAAAAATGTTGCCTGGTCTGAAGGGTCTCTATTTCTGTTGAGAAAATCAGATGGTAGAGTCAGAATTTGGCGTAAACAGAATGAGAACATGGATTCATCATGCCTTGTTACCACTGTGCAGGCTAGTGGTGGTGGCGTAAAGGTGTGGGGATGTTTTCTTGGCACACTTTATACCCCTTAGTGCCAATTGGGCATCGTTTAAATGCCACGGCCTTCCTGAGCATTGTTTCTGACCATGTCCATCCCTTTATGGCCACCATGTACCCATCCTCTGATGGCTACTTCCAGCAGAATAATCCACCATGTCACAAAGCTCGAATCATTTCAAATTCGTTTCTTGAAAATGACAATAGCACTCATTTATCATTCTTACGTAGAAACGGGCGTATATGTTGGCATAAGTTTATGCTTACACTCCTCTCACCACCTGATTTATGAAGCTATCCATCAGTGTTGTAGTACTCGAGACTCGGACTCGTCTCGGACTCGGTCTCGAGACCATATTTTAATGGTCTTGGTCTCGTCATGGACTCGTGTCCATTTGGACTCGGAATTGACTCGTACTCGAACATTTTTTTTTTTTAGGACTCGGAATTATTCCCGAGTCCACTCGAGTTCAATTAAAAATATTTTTCATGATTATTAATGTATGTTAATAAAATATTTCTTTAAATTGATTGACACGCCCAGTGATTGGTGATTTTCTAGTGCGCAACTGCGCATGACAAATTGTAATAAAATTACTTTTAACACCACCTACTAAATTTTTACCCTAAACTGATCATATTTTTTAAACTAAGTAAATTCAGTAAAAAAAAAAAAAAGGATTTCTCTAAGTAAATAAAAGTAAATTAGGTAATCAACCCTCACTGGTCTCGGTCTCGACTCGGACTCGACCGTCTCTGGTCTCGGACTCGACTCGGACTCGACTCTCTATGGACTCGGTCTTGACTCGGACTCGACTCTCTCTGGTCTCGGTGTCGACTCGGACTCGAGTGAGGTGGTCTCGACTACAACACTGCTATCCATACCTTTGAAATCCAGGTGTACGCAATACCTGCCCTTTATAAATCCTGTGGCTGAAAACGATTGAACACGCCCCTATATATTCAAGTCTTCGCTCCCCCCACGCCCATTTTCGTGTACGCTGGAAATTTGGTGTACGCACTTTTGATAAATGAGGGCCAATGAGTTCACTGTACTAAAATGGCCCCCACAGTCATTAGATAGTCACCAGATTTTATGGGGGGCCAAACTGGAAATAATTATATGTAAATTGTGAATATATAAATGTAAATCTGAATATATAGTTACACATCTGAGTATATAAATGTAAATCTGAATATATATATGTATATCCTGAATATAACTCTGAATATGCATAATATGTAAATCTAAATATAGTTAAAATTCTTCCTATCATCACAGAAACAGCATTTTTGCTGTGATGAAGACCACTGATGTCAGTTTTTTTTAAACAAACCCTGTTTTGTGAAGACTCTATTGCAGAGATAGGACCCTAAATGTCTTCTGATCCCTGCCCTTGAGCCCCTTCACTCTTCAGACGTTCACAGCCACCACCCTTGTGTTTAATAGACAATAGTCCCTCTCATGAAAGCAAATAACTCCAGAAAAACATGCCCCCAGCATCCAGAATGGAAAGAATGACCTCTTTCCTACTTCCTGTCATTGAAGGAAAAGCAGCATTCTTTCCACCACTTCAAGAAAGCAAGACAATGTAAAGATGTTAATCACTGGTGCGTTGTCATCGGTCAAATCACAACCCATTTTCTATTGTAAGTTACAACAGGATTTGCACTCTTCATTCAGTCATGTGAATGGTTCTAATTGCAGAACGCATTGTGTTAAACAGAGCATGTCAAACATGATCCACCTTTAATGGACTGAGAAGAGAGACGTGCCCATCAGCTTGTATACATTTTGTATTTATCTTGTCTTTAAATATGTTTATACAGAGGCACGTTACAACTTAATGATCATTCACAAAATGATAGTCCTTAAAAAAATGTTGAATACCAGAGTAATATATTTCCTACATGTTAAAACCAGTTGATTTTATATTTGTAAAACCCAGAAACCCAGTACTTTACTAAATGCTTAAAATGCATGAATTTCTTTGCATGGAAAAGCTAACTTTTTTTTTTTTTAACTGTCGGTCTAGAAGGATGTATAATAAAATAGCAGCTGAGTTGTTGCTTCACAGTCACAGCCTTATCAGGCAGTCAATGACTTTTGTTTTACCACAAAACGGATTTCAGACAGATTTCTGAGGCAGTGTAATGGTTTAATTATTCACAGCAAATAGAGTGTTAACTAAGCAAATATTCAAATAGTAATTTATCAGTAGAAGTGAATCAGAAGTGGAAAATGTTGGCCAAAAATGTACATTTACACACAAAAATATTGATTGAATGAAGGTATCTCAGGAGACAGGAAGTGACGCTATTGGATTCAGATGTGTCTTCATACCCTATCTTTGAATGCTTCCTCTGAAGGCAGCATTTTTCAGCTTTCGGACGCAGCCATTGACTATTTAAACTAATGTTTAAATGTGACTATTGAAACTATTCCACTAATGTTTGACAACCAGGTTGTGTGCAATTCATTTATTTAATACCAACATGTTATTTTTTAACACTATAGTTACCCTAATTAAACTAAAACTACAATTTTTTTGTGAAATGTCTTGTTTGAAAAAAATGAATTTGTTCTTTCTCGAAATAATGCAAGGTTTGATATTGTTTCATTTGGAGATTCATTCATTGATTCTATTCTATTCTATTCTATTCTATTCTATTCTATTCTATTCTATTCTGTTCTGTTCTATTCTTTCTATTCTATGAGATTCTATTCCATGAGGTTCTATGAGATTAGACTTAATACAACCAAAGTAATAGAATTTGACAACTTGTACAAAATTTTACTAGATTTGTGAAGTGATATAAAATGTGACCAACTGAATCTGCATCTCTTGTTTTTAGTCAACAGAGCACCGCCACACTCTCCTCCAGGTGTGCAAACAAACATTACCTGAGGTACACAGCTGTCAACATCATACTCACAAATTACAGCCAACAACATGATGAATGCTGCCTTCACTATATTCTTTCATACTGAGCTTTTTTAATCTCAAAAGAGATGTGACTGGGTTGGTCATGTGAGGGGATAAACCATGCCAAATTGATTCTTGACTGCAGTCCCACAGGAAATCTTCAGCCTATTTTCAAATACATATTCCTTGGTTTGTCTTGTTCGTTCTCAGCAGTAGATCATTGGATGGATGATCACATTACAGGCTCTCTAAATCAGTTTTTAATCCACTAATGATAGACAGTTCAGATAAAGTCAATTTTGAAACTATTTAAAAAGCCAACTAATAGGCTTATTATCAAGAACAATAGCATTTATAATGACTGTTGATAAATATAGAAAGCACTGATTAAGACTTCAGGCTCTATCGACTGAATAAATAGCTGGTTTATTGCTAATGCATTTAGATTGCATGTCAAAAATATTGGCCAGAAACTTCAGGAGACATACAAAGCCAAATATCTCTCACCCAAACAGCAATGCATTATCTAAAAAAAACCAACAACATATTTTTGCATTAATTTGACCTGCACTGTCATCAGATCTTTAACTAATTTAACTAGATAAAGAAAATCTTTAAGAAAATGTAAACTTTTTTTTTTCATTTTCACAAATTTATTGAACAAATGTTCCATGAGGGAATATTTTCTCCAAAAAAGAATGGAAGAATGTTTTATGGACCGATGAATAAAAAAAAAAAAATACAATCACAGTTTTGGACTGACATAAACCGATGATAATTTCCATGTTATAGCGGATAAATATTCATAAAATTATCATGAATATAATTGAATGGAATTCAGGTGTGTTTGATTTGGGTTGGAGATGAACTGTGCAGGACAGTCGATCGGCAGGAGCTGGATTTGGCACCCCTGGTCTAAATAAATAAAAACTTTTTTTTTAAATTTATTATTATTGGTGTTTTTAAAGATCTAAATATGATCTTTGGTGAAATAAGCCTGTTGACTAAAGGAGTAGTTCACTTTTTAATAAAAACTTTTGCTGATAATTTACTTTGGACGGTTCAAGGTCCAAATGAGAGTTTCAGTGCAACTTCAAAGGGCTTTAAACGACACCAGATGATGAATAAGGGTCTTATCTAGGACCCTTCGTGTCATGACTCGAAAAAAGATTTGTTCATTTTGATGAACAAGTTTGAACGAGAGTCACGAACGCTCATCACAGAACAGAGCAAGGCGAGCATTTGTGCTTATAAAAGTTAAACTGTTTTATTAATTTTTTTAATGACCGATCTCTTCGCTATATAAGACCCTTATTCATTGTCTGGTGTTGTTTAAAGCCCTTTGAAGTTGCACTGAAACTCTCATTTGGACCTTGAACTGTTTGGTTCCCAATGAAGTCCATTATATGGAGAAAATCCTGGAATGATTTCATCAAAAACCTTAATTTCTTTTCGACTGAAGAAAGAAAGATGTGGACATCTTGGATGACATGGGGGTGAGTAAATTAATTATCAGCATATTTTTTTTATATTTATATTTATATATATATATATATATATTTTTTTTTAAAGTGAACTACTCCTTTAAATAAGCAAAATCCAAGTTTAGCCAATATGGATTAATTTAGCATACCAATATTGTTCAAGCTAAACAAGAAGCTGCATGACAAAGTCAAGGATGTCAGTCTTGGAACAGTAGCACAACCAGTCAATTATTTGAATATTAGAATATTATTTGCTATTCCTATTTTGGAATAGCAAAATTAGGACCTTAACCTCACAGACGTGTTGTGGAGGAACTCGAAGAAAGCAGAGTATGCAGTGAGACAGACACCATCACTGAACTGAAGTAGTGTTTGAAAATGAATGGGTCAAATTCCTTCAAGCTGACGTAAAATGTATGCAGAAATATGGAAAATTCTGAAGGGTTCACAAAATGTATAGTTTCCAGAAAACTACATGCATAAGCTGAAATGATAAGCACATTAAAGATTCAAATCGTGACCATTGCTAACGTCCGTGTTTCATGTGCGTTTGTGTTGCAGTGTGGTATAGGGCGCAGCCCACTAGGTTCCTCCCACTCATCTCTCCGCACTTCACGAGCTCTCTGTGCAAACATCTGCCCTCTCTGATGATCTACAGGACACTTCAGCTCTCCACCGCGCACAAACTCCTTACACCAAACCTCGGATCAGCAAGACATGACCCACCGTTATATCGTGCCCTTGGTCGTGGGACTGATCGTCCTCGCGTGCAAAAGTAAGTCAAAGTTTCAATTGTGCGGGAAAGTTTACAACATAAATGATATCGATGAGATGCTTTCATCGTTCATGAGAATTTAATGAGAACATTGTACTTGTACCTGTAATGCATTCACAATTCATGGTGCATCTGAAAGCTTAACTAAAATTCCTATATGATTGTAATTTAAACGAATGGTTTTCAAAAGCAAATTAATTTATGCTTCAGATCATAAAAATGTTACAGAATACTTTCGTGATTATTATTAGCCTATTATTATTATTATATATAAACGTAAAGTTTGCAAATACGTTCAACAAAACGTAGGCTATACGTAAACGTAAAACAAAATTGTATCATTATCAACACCCCACATGCAGGTTTGAATTAAAAGAAAGTGAAATGATTTGGCTGATTGCAACTTAAGCAGTCTTTAGTGAGTATTGAGTATGTCATCTTGATGTTCTTTGGCCAAAAATGTGAAATTAACTTTAATGACCTTTAAAATCATCTTTTATTCAATTTATTTATAGATTTATAAATGTAATTTATTATTTAATTATTAAACTGTTTTTCAAGGTTGCCATTTTTTACATTGTACCATTCCTAATTTTAATACATTTTAATTCAGTAGACAAAGATACAGTGTTATGACTTATGGGTAAAACAATGTTATTGTAGCATTATGGACAAGCGCAGGAGCCTGATGTGAGGAGATGTTCTTAACTGAAGGACCTTCAGTCCGAGCAGTGAAAGGAGTTTTGTGGCAACACAGTAGCAGGTCTATGTCATTGCCTTCACGCGGTCTGTTGTTAGATAACATTCTGTTTTTTAAGACTGTTTATCACGAGATTATCTCATTAAATGAATCTGGATCATAGCTTGCAGATGTGTTTTAGAGCTGTGTTGAATATATGATGGAGTGGCCTACTACATTTTGTATAACTAGATGTGAGAATCGACAAGGAAAGGAAGGAACTGCATCCCCTCCACCAATGGCATTTTCTTTGTTCAGAAGCATCTGTTAACGGACGTTTAAGTTTTTAGTCATACATTGTTTCCCTCACCCTTTTATCTCCCCATCTGTGCTGAACTTCCTCAGTATTTCTTATTTTTTTCTTATTCTTTTGCCTAATTATCCTCTCTTCCGTTGACCACTGTTCAAGCTTTTCCTTGTTGTGCTGACCTTCTCCTCTTCCTCTACTTCCTTTCCTCCACACCTTTGGAGTTCTGACCTAATCTGTTGTGTATCTCATCACATCCTTCATCCTTTTAACTGCTGTCGCTGATTTAGAAACGGACACTGATAATCAAGTCACAAATTTCCCCCCAAAAGGTGTTTTTTCCTGATTTTGTTAAAAAAATTAAAACAAAAATCCATCCATCCATCCAAAAATATTTATTTTTGACAGAGAACATTTTTTTTAAGAAAATTGACTTAAAACACTCTTTCAGGACATTGCCCGCTTTACATTATCTGCTTTTTCAATAGAAACAAGGGCAAAATATACAATAAGATGAGTAATCTAAAATTAACGGATTAGGTTTTGGTGCATTTGATTTTTATATTATCCATAACTGTTCCCAGTGTTTATAAATGTGCAGCACTTATTGCTTATGCAGCATTATATCTCTTTAAATAATTAGATAGTCAAAACTAACTATTGATTATCACTGTGTACAAGATCAGTTTCAGTTCCATGCTTATTTTATTTATAAGCTATTTCATCCAAAAGCTTGGTACTATAAACTTGAACATGTAAGTTTATAAGACAGTGTATAAAATTATGTTTTTTAAAAGGTATTTAATAAGCTACTCAAACTAGCTAAACAAAATAGTAAACAAGTACAAGCCAAAAATACTTAGAATACTTAATTATACTTTTAAGTTTATCTCGACCAACAAGGTCGATCATTATAGGCCAAATATACTTACTGTAGACATTTCTGTCAATATAAGCCACTTTAGTGCAATTGAAGTATATTTCTGAGAAGTACATAAAAAGTAGACTGAAAGTATACCTTTTATTTTTAAGTTTAAAAGAAGTGAAGTATATTAATATCAAACTGAAATAAACTTCTTTTTCGTAAGGGTGTTCAGGATATCTTTGGACCATTTCACTTTTCCAACTTGGTTGAATCCATCATTAGCACATTATTAAAGAAAATGCATGCGATAAAATAGCCCAAAGCCCATATATTCAGAGATGTTTATTAGACAACAATAAATTAACCTGTTTTTTTAGCCAGATCAAAAGAAATGATTGACTACTTTGTGTTAACATGTTCTTTTGTATGTGGTGCATGCCGAAATTCCAATGTGTTTGCTGGTGTTTTGCAGCTGTCTTGTTCTGTGTCAGATTCCAGGGGGTTGAACATGAAGTGCATATACAGTGAACAAAGCTTTAGTGATGCTTTGAAGAGATGCCTCCCTCTCTGAGTCATTGAAAGACTAAAGCACTAGGATCTTAACATTTTAGCACATAAAGACACAAATTGTCATTCTTGACACCATCCAATTAAGGGTTAAAGGCCATTTTTATCTCAGCGCTATGTGAAAGATAATGTGCATTTACTCTTACAAAGACATTGTAAAACAGTAAAGGTCTTTGTATTTAATTGTATATATCGGATACAGGGAAGTAAGGATGTCTTAACATTTCAGTCAATCATGTCTTATTAAAGTAAAAGAACAGAAAGTTCAGTTCATTTTGAAAAGTTACATTGACCAAGATTGACTTTTGATTATGTCAAAAGTTTGTTAGAGGGTTGGTTCATATTGAAAGTTCATCTCATGGCTTCATCCTAAATAAAAGGAACCAAGATAGATTTATCTTTTTTATTGTTAGATCTAGAATGAGAAGTTTAGTCATCTTGAGACAAAGAAGTGAAAGTATGATGGATTTTATCACACAATAGAAATATAAAATCAGAACTGGTTATAGTCAACATAATTAATCTTTATCTATTAAAATTTCTACGACAATAGCATGTATATTCTAAACAAAATGTAAAAAAGTAAAAGGCACATTTTTTTTCCTTTTATGAAATGGTGCTCTGAAATAGGCTACTTGTTTGTTATTATCGAGTCCTCATTTTCATCCATGGCAAAACTGAATATCATTCCACTCATCTGGATAAATGAAACTGCCGCTACTTTAATCTCTCGTATCACTCTGCAGACTCACACTCCTTTGTTTTATACAAACTGGCGCCATCTTGCATCTCTATTATTGGTGAAGAGATTTACAACTCCCAAGGTCCATTACATAGCTACGTCATAAAGCATAATATGTTTATTCCAAACAGAAGGTTGTTCAGGGAAGTTTTATTTCATTTATCTGAGGTTAAAAAAGTAAACTGTGTGCTATAGGAATGACCACTTCAGATGTGACCGTATCCTCTGTCTGAGCTTTTTGTGTTCATCACATGTATTAGTGAACAGTAATTTCTGCATGCCTTGCATTCAGTGTGTGCTACAGTATTTGTTGTTGATGAGAGGCATTCTGGGTCTGAGCCCTATTTTATTTGAGTGATGGATAGCAGCTGACCATCCATTAGTGTTCAATCACTGTGCTCAACTGAGAGTCATTTCCCCTTTACACTGCTCTCTGTTTCTGCTCAGACCTAGATCTTCTCAAGTGTGGCCTCTTGCCACTCGGTTTCCAGGAATAATCAATGCTTATTGTGCATGCATTGCATATGCATTATTTTTCCGTTCTATCCATATCTATGCTCTAAATATTGGTCCTTATAACAGAAGAAGAAACCAGTGTATGAAATTCTGTGTCTATCTGTGTTGTATAAATATGTGTCTGGTTAATGCAGTATTGTTGAGATTAAACTGACACAATCCAGATCTCTGCTAGCATAAAAATCCCTGCACTCTTGTTAAATTATTACTATATAAACTGAAGTTTGAAGGCTTGGCTTGTTTTCAGGAAAAGTCATTATTGCATTTGACAAGCTTGTTTCCCATTTTTTGTAGTTTTATGAGGAGACACGTAATAAAATCAATGTTTTTTGTTGTTGTTGTAATTTTCCAGAGTTTTTATGTTGTTTGAAATACTTAGAATTTTAACAAAACAAGCTATTTTTTTCCCAAAAATGTAAACACTGTGGCCTTATCCAAACATTATTCTGTTTGTTTGATCATCCCGACCAGCCCAACATAAAAATGCTCAACCAATGACAGTATTTTTTGACATTATTGGAGTAGAAATTATAAATAATTTTTAATATATTTTGCTTTCATTTAAAAGCAATCAGCTATGTCTTTGAATTTTAAACATGTTAATGTAAGAGTCCAGCATGACATATGCTACAACATACATAAAGTTTCAAGCAAGGGTCACTTGCTGCTGTTACCGTCAAGAGCATGTTTTATCTAAATGAGCAGACTTCATAAACTGTGTCACACCTTACCAATCGCAAAGTTTTTGTACATTTATGCTGCTAATTGTGACTTTAAACTCTTTCCAAAGGATGGTAGATGATACTGAACTCTGTAAGTGAACAGTGAGATCAGAGGCTCCACAATTCCTTTGCAGCTAAATTTAGTAATGTTTGATTCCTTGGCTTGGAGCTTAGTTATTTCCAAAAAGTGTATTACATTTTTCTCCCTCCATTATATACTGCACAATTTATAATATTTTAAGCATTGCTAATTGCAAATTTTAAATTAGGGCTATGTGTAAAACAGGGTTTGGGTTTGTGTGCACTTTAAGCAAAGCAAATGACATGACATGATGATCATGGCATGGTGGTCAGGGGAATCAGACAATGTTGGAAAGTGTGGTATGTGTTGTTGGATATCATCATATAAGCTGTGTGTGGAGGGCTTTCCAGAATTAAATATTATCATTAGCAGTTATTCAGGATGTCAAATGAAAATCGGCTTTGGAATAAGAAGTCTTGTGCCGGAGATTTACCTATACAGTTTTAAACACACAGATGGTCTGTTTGGAAAGAATTGTCAACTGTCTGGTTGAAATGTGCACTTTTATCATATTTAGTTC